ATTCTACTTACTTGGAGTGGACTTACTGCGTAACTTGCATGAAAAGTGCAAGGAAATGGAAGGGAAACGTAAGAAGAAAATGAAAAACAGGAAAATAGGAAAGTGAAAATGATAGGAACCGGGTAAGTATTTACTCTAGAAAGAAGTGATTTGGCTGTGGTAAACTTTCTCATTGATACTCAAGTGTAGCAAAGGCTAACAACTGAATACCAAGCTATATGTTTTTCAACAACCAAAGTCCCATAATATCCTCATCAAACTTGACACCCATACTGGATAACTGATCAAAGATACCTTGAAATTCATTTACATGGTCAAGTACTGAGCTCCCTTCTTTGTACTGCAGGCGTATGGCTTACTTAAGTAAGAACAACTTGTTGTTACCAGTTTTAGAAGCATACAAAGATTCTAGCTTTTCCCACAAAGTTTTAGCATGTGTATCATTAACAATATGATTATATACATTATCCTCAACCCATTGCCTAATAAAACCACATACTTGCTGATGCTCAAACTCCCATTCTTCATCAGACTTAGACTCAGGCTTACTAGTAGCAAATACAGGCAAATGGTAGTTCTTTAAAAACAAAAAGATCTTTTCATCTTTCCTTTCCCAAGTGTTGGAATAGTTTTGTGCCATCCACTCAATTTTACTCATATTTACCTCATAATTCAACAAGCAAACTGCTCAATCAACAAAATAACTGCAGCTCTGATAACCACTGTGATGGGAGTACCAAACTGACCTCACAACAAAAACTTCCCCATTGAATGACAATCCTATTAGGAAGTAACAATGAGCACAAATTCAAGTAACACAAACTGTCCCAAAGTCAATACACATCAAAATAACATTCACCACAGGAACACAAATCTTTTTACGGTGGAAACTCCTCCGGTGTGAGGATAAAAACCACGGGACCTTCCTCCGGTCCAAGGAAATAAGTTTCACTACAACAATATTGTCTTACAACTTACAGGCAAGCTACAACCATAAAAAATTAGCTATACCACAACAACCACAACAATGTGTAGCAAACACAATAGAAACAAATGTGTAGCAACACAATAGAGTGATAACAAAAACAGCTGCTGTCCTCAATACATTTAAAATGTTCTACTCATCCAAAAATTAAACTGATTTGCCAGAATCAAGAATTGGATGTTAGGAACAAGCTCACCAAAAATCAGCTCAATCCGACAAAAGATTGAGGGGCATAATTGTAAAACAATAATTAGTTAGTGGACTTCAAAATATGGGCTTTTACCACATAGGAAGGGAACCCAAACCCAACACTTTGAAGCAAGAATTTGACAAGCCACGAAGCTATGTAACCTGATCCACCAGTTACACATACTATCTTCCCTTCTCCACTCATTTCGCTATCCGGGTAATATAAAAGTTGGAAACGTTGCAAATAAAACTAGAAAAATAAGTGATTTTGCAGATAATTACCAACAATTTTATCTTCCTTCTGATAAAGATTGAAAAATGTTTCCTCTTGCAAACGAGGTTGTATCAAATCTATGCCTCTGTCTCTGGTTAGATTTTTCAGTACTATTTAAGACCCAAGAGATGAAACAGAACACACATTTTTACCTCGCACATTTTTATACATACATATATGAGAAATGTATGTACTCGGTGGTTTTCCTGTCAGACAAGAACATTTATTTTATTGAACAAAAAAAGGTTTCCCGTCAAATACATCTCTTTATTTGCTTTTCTCTGGTAGGAAAAAGTCTGATCCAATGATATTAATAATCGTAGTTATAGCAAAGTTCTTTGTTTTATAGACAGTGCCGTACATTAGATGTTAGGCATCACCTCTGATACCAATTTTTGCCCTTTCAACTTAATCTTCACAACTCCTTTACCAACAAGAAGAATAGAGAGAGTGAGAGTAATTGTGAGAGAGCAATTGTGAGAGAGAAAAATAGAGAGATTATTCAAGAAGAAAAATTGAGTTTAATTTTTCGGGTATTCTTGGACAGAGGGTTGTGAGTGTATGTAAACACTTTATTTATTTTTCTCCTATAAAAGATCTATGGCAGTCCGGAGACGTAGGCAATATGGGCCGAACTCCGTTATCAAATTGTGTGTTATTTTCTTTTGCTCCCTCATAAATCTGACTTATTGGGAATTTTGCGTAATTTTTTTTTCTTAACAACTGGTATCAGAGCCGAAGGTTTCGATAGGTCCAGCCGGTCAGATAGCGGTATCGGATCCGTGGATATATTTTGAAAATAAATATCCCACGACGAAGAGAAAATTACGACGAGTCCATTACGACGAGTCCAATTGGGTGGCTGTCCGCTTGGAAAGACTGCAAAATCGACTTAGTGATGAATAGTAAGATAGTAATCTTCAAAGTTTGAAGGTGAACAAGTACTATTGGCGTTAAGCTGTTGTTGAGTCCTTGCCGCAATAGTAGCTATTCACGTGTACAGTTAAACTATTCCGCATACAGTTTACTATTTCGACTGTTACTATTCATGGTCACTATTTACGTATACTACTGTTCACGTATACGGTTTATGTTGGTGATGATTTTCTGCGCAAGTCAAAATGGACAAGAGACATAACACAGTTACCAGCGACTCAGAGCAAAGTGGGCAAGTGTTTACAGAGGTGGACGATAGACATAACGTGGTGGCCAGCGACTTAGAGTAGAGTGGGCCAATGTTTACAGAGGTGAACGATATCTCAGAAAGTCCAATGGCCAGCGACTCAGAGCAGAGTGGGCCAGTGTTTGCTGAGGTGGACAATATCTCAGAAAGTCCAATGGCCAGCGACAAAGAGCAGAGTGGGCCTGTGTTTGCAGAGGTGGACAAGAGACATAACACAGTTGCCAGTGACTCAAAGCAGAGTGGGCAAGTGTTTGCAAAGGTGGATGACAGACATAACACAGTGGCTAGTGACTCAGAGTAGAGTGGGCCAGTGTTTGCAGAGGTGGACGATATCTCAAAAGTCCAGTGGCCAGCGACTCAGAGCAGAGTGGGCCAGTCGACTCAGAGCGAGATGGCAGTTGCTGAGGTGACGTATATCTCAGAAAGTATAATCATGGAAGCAGTCAGATGGGTTCGTATGAATAAGAGGATTGTGTTGCAAACTGAAGAAGAGCCTTTACGGCTTGAAGCAGGCACTGAGAAGGTGTCACAAGAAGTTTGGAGTCAGTTACGGGGAGCAATGGCTACAGAAAAGACTACTTCAGATCACATTGGGTGTCAAAAGAAATTCTCTGATATGACTACGAATTTGTCTGCTTACTAAGCTGTGTTGATTATGATTGATGTGTGTGATTATCCAGAACTTTACTACTTTGAACGAAACAGCATAAGTATGTCTTTTGCTATTGAAAGACTGTGGGTTGATGGACTTAGCAAAGCAGATTCTTGCTATGAAGATTAACAAGGAATTACGAAGAGCTATAGTAAAATTATGTGTTGTCACAGGAGAAGTACATTTGAGAAGTACTGTCAAAAGGTTAAGAATGGAAGAACGCGAATTAAGCGGTTGAGTGTGTCCTCTTGACTAAATGACTACTTTAAGATAAATTCACTAAACAGTGCCCGTTCTACGGATGAAGAGAAGGAAGGAAATGTGAAAAGGTCAATGCCGTTTTAGCATTTGGAAAGCTGTAATTCATGGGAAAGTGCATGTGGATTCGTGGTGTAAAGGAGCGCGCTCAAAGAGATCGTATTTGGAGTGCCGGCCTTGGTTAGCGCGGGTGCCCTCCACGCTAATAGTTGCCTCAATCGGGGGGATGGGGGGCGAGCTGTGTTAGGAGCATTCCATGGAAGGTGGAGCTCAGGCTGCTTGTTTGCTTCATTACATATATATGCCACTGCAACAGAGGGTAACATTTGGAGGAATTGGAAAGCAGTGAAATGGATTTTCATAGATGTATGCCAATCACATTTTTGGGCAAACGAGCCGGTAGCCAGGGGTGGCGGTTATTGCTTAGGGAAAGTGGTGCGAACTTTGTGCCATCGACGTAATGGAAAGTAGAGTGATGAAGGAATGAACTGGGAATAGTTCAATTCTAAGTGAGATGTGTAATCGTAAGAATATTTTCCTGGAAACCAGTGGCACGTAGCGGTCGGTGACTAGCGCTTAGGGGAATATATGGGCTAATCGTCTGCCACTTTGAGTGTGCAAAGGAGAGAGTCTGTGCTGTGGTTCGACGTCGAGATGGGTCACACCACGAGCACTATATATATATATATATATGAAATCCGCAGGAGAGAGAGGAGAGAGAGAGAGGAACAATGAAGTCAAAGAATGTGGAGAAAACAGTATTAGAGGATGCCGTGAATGGAGGGTATAATGCACATGCTCCTCGGTATTCCTCTCCCTATAAATAGAGGAGGATTGCCAAGCCGCAACACACAAGCACATCAGCATAAAAAGCAGATTAAAAAATGTATGAGAGAGGTTCTAGTTTTAGGGAAGGTTTCCTAAAACTAGTGGGGAGAAGAAAAATTAGTGAGGAAATTATGTATTGGGGGTATTTGGGAATACAACTTGAGTGACAGCTATTTTTGTATTACTCTCTTTTATGTACCTACTATTTTAATAGTGAAAGAAATGATTCGGAGATTCTGATCCCCGTGACGTACCTAAACAGTTGAAGGTGACACGAAATTTCTGTGTGTGCCAAGTGCGTGATTATCCGTTATTCCGCTGCGTTAATTTTCTCTTAATTCGTTGAAAGGGCCCAACGAGTGGTATCAGAGCTGATGCCCAAAAACTGGTATCAGAGCTGATGCCTAACATTAGATTCACCCATGAATCAAATAAATGGAAAATTAATTTTTTTATTACAACAAGCATATTTCTGATTATTTAATAAAAAAATAAAATGACGATAATTTTAAAAATATTTTTTATTAATTTAATTTATGACTGAGCTTTAGGCAAATTCAATCCATTTGATAATACATATCAAGGTATAACCTATGCATATACGGCCTAACAATATATCCGGATTCGAATATCCTTTCCAAAATTACTATATATATATATATATATATATATATATATATATATGTTTCCAATTATCTACATGCTTAAGAAAAGCAGAAAAAGCAATTACAATAAACATAGAGTTCGCTTGTTTATTTATAGTACTTCTTCATAGCATCATAATTTAATTATTTACAAGAGAAATATATATATATATATATATATATAATTTCCAATACACATGCTTAAGAAAGCAGAAAAAGCATTACCAAAATGCATAGAGTTCCCTTGTTTTTATTTATAGTACTTCTTCATAGCAGCATAATTAATTATTTACAAGAGAAATTAAGCCCTTCTCTTTCAAACATTCAATTGTATCCACAATAGTCACCTCCAAGGGAATGAATTTGACTCCCAAAGTCTTTGCTCTCTCCTTCGAAACCTCGAATTTCGATACGAAAGGCTTGTCATCTTCACATCTGTTATGCAAGAAAATGAAAATGAAAACAATTTCTTGAATGGTGAATCCACTTTTATGCAGTTAATCTCACATTACAAACAAAATGCGACCAGCTTACTTATCAGGAAGAGGCAGAGTAGGGTATTTTTCATGAACGATTTCCAATAATTCAGTGAAATGTACTACTCTTCCTACTATACAATATCTGCCATTAGCAGAAGGTAGTTCAAAAGCTTGAATATGCGCGAATCCGATATCTCTTACATCAACAAATTTGTAAATTTCATTAGGAAATGTTTCTCCTGCACAAAGAAATTAATTAAACCCACAAGTGCTCACATAGAATAGTACGAGTGAAAAAAAATGTTGCAGGCAGTGGTAACTTTAAGAGGTTGTTTGGTACAAATATATTTCATAAAAATTTCACAGAATTCATTTCCAAACCTATCATCCATTTTGATCCAATATCGATTACCTTTTATGTGGTTCAGAATCACCTCCAGAGTGAGATTTAGAGTTGGCTGTAAAAAAGGACCTATGACAAATCCTGGATGAATTGTGACTATGTCAATTCCATTTTCTTCTGCAAATTTCCAAGCAGCCTCTTCAGCTATGGTTTTTGCATACCAATACCAATGCTGATAGCATGAAAAATGGATTAATTATACCATAAAAGGGTAGTAAAATGATGTTCTAGATAGTGGTTTATGTCAATCTCGAACATGTAAAAGAGTTGATAAGAATATTTTTATCAGACCATAATATGCATACCTTTACTGACTCGCAGTAAGCAGAATCTGAATGCCAAGTCTCATCAATAACCACATCAGGAGTCAAAGGTTTTCCATTGAACATAATTGATGCTATTGAAGATGTTATTACAACTCTCTTGACAGAATGGACCTTTGCACATGATTTTAGAACATTCAGTGTTCCCTTCACTGCAGGATCTATCAGTTCTGTCTGCAATTTGTGTGAGTACAAAATTTTGACTTACATTTTAGCTAGGAGGTCAGGGGTCCGAACTCCGGCAGCCCCAATTTTCTTTAAATATTTCCGATTTATTGAAGAAAAGATTCATATATCCGACTCTAACTAGTTGGGACTAAGTCTAAGTAGTTGTTGTTATTAAAAAAGATTACCTGGGGGTCAGTTGTGTATAATATTGGACAAGCTGTGTGAAATACACCTTCACATCCATCAATAGCAGAATCAAAAGACTTTTCTTCAACTAAATTAGCTTTGAACAATTGGAGTCTCTCTTTAGCTCCATCAAATGCGCGTAAATGATCTGTTTGATTTGGATCATCTGTGATGCAGAAAATCAAAATTAGAAAAGTTTGAAAGAAAAATATTAAAAAAGGAAAATTTTGTAGCCTCCCAAGGTCAAACTCTTGAGATGGAAGTTGAAAAGGAAAGAACAATAAGACCCAGAACCTAAAATTTAAAGATTAAGGAAACAAAAAACACAGATTATTCTGAAATTATTCCACTTGGATCAAAGTAATAAACAAAAGAACCAATAAGGAAGTAGATACTCACTCAGATCAAGAACAGTAGCTTTTACTGTATAACCTCTTTGGAGTAAGAACTTGACCAGCCATGATGCTATATAACCTGAACCTCCAGTTACACATACAACTTTTCTTTCTCTACTCATTCTTTTCTTCTGTCTGTAGTTATGAGCTAAAGACACTAAAAGTTCATTCAAGAAAAGGAGATGGTGCTTCTATTATGGAAAATGGATGTTCCTATTCTCTTCTTTTATGGAAATTCATATCACCTACTAAAACAGGACACAAACAATTTGGCTTTGCATAATTAAGCGATGAGTCAATTCTAGTCATTTTCATCACTACATCCAAAAATTATGTTAATAATTCTAAATAAGCTGCTTAGTTGGTCCCAACTCCAACAGATGATGGTGATTTTTGTTGTCTACAGAAAACAAAAAAGAAGGACCACAAAGGAACAGACACAGAGTTCAAGAATTTGCTACAAAAAGATGCCTTAAGCCTTTTGGATGGGATCGTATACCTAATAGAAAAAGCATCTACAGAACTGAGAATTAACAGCAAGAATTATAATAATTTTTAAGTTTTGCAGCCATAAACATAACCTGTTCTATTAAGCTATTCTGATAAAATAGAAAATTAAAAAAAAAAAAAAAAAAAGAAAAGAATTTATTCCAAGATGTGTGAGTCATAACATACATCATACTTTCACAACAAATAAAATTTTTCCAAATACAATCTGTATCACAACACTTCTGGACTTACAACAATTTGGGGTTCATCAAGAACAACAAGTCTAGTGTCAAACAGAAAAAATATACTGTAATGCAAACAAAATTCATTTGTATTTCTCATCTTCTTGAATAAATAGTGTGAATCAGAAACTAAGAAAGCCCTTCTCTTTCAAGCATTCAATGGTGTCCACAACGCTGACCTCCAAGGGAGTGAACTTGACACCCAACTTTTTAGCTTTCTCCTTCGAAATCTCATATTTCGGGACAGAAGGCTTGTCATCTTCACATCTGCCATGCAAGGAAAAAAAGAACAAATTACGAATCCCTTTTATCACCAAGTACAATGATATATAATAACAGATCTTGCAGTCAAGCACAGATTCAAATTAGTATACTTTTATGGCAAAATTTGATATGTCATACTCAAACAGATGCGTAGTGCTAATAACTTACTTCTCAGGAAGATGCAGATTAGGGTACAGCTCATGAACAAGCTTCAAGAACTCAGAAAAATGTACAACTCTTCCTGATAAACAATATCTGCCATTAGCTGAAGGTAGTTCCAGAGCTTGAACATGCGCTAATGCAACGTCTCTAACATCAACAAATCTGTATATTGTATTTGGAAATGTTTCTCCTGCAGACAAAAAATGCAGTTACTGCTTCGTACACTCAGATTTCTCACAGAATTAGATATCATAATACTTTGAAGAAGGGTACCATTCATGTAGTTCAGAATCAACTGCACAGTGAGATTTACAGTTGACTGTAAGAAAGGACCAATCACAAAACTAGGATGTAGTGTGATCATGTCAAGTCCATTTTCTTCTGCAAATTTCCTTGCTGCCTCCTCAGATATGGTTTTTGCGTATAAATATAAAGGCTGAAAAATATTATACATATGAAATGATTAACCCGAAAAAAAAAACTATGTTCTTGATAATGATACATGATTAAAGTACTGATAACTTCAGCGTTATGTGCACACCTCTATTGACTTGCAATAAGCAGGATCTGAAAACCAAGTCTCATCAATTACCACATCAGATGTCAAAGGTTTGCCATTGAAGATAACTGAAGCCATTGAAGATGTTATGATCACTCTCTTGACAGAAGTGAATTTCACACATGACTTGAGAACGTTTATCGTTCCCTTTACTGCAGGATCAATCAATTCTGCCTGAAATATGGAAACCAAAACAAAATTGGGACTATCAGTTTTATATGAGCATTTAATTAGTGAACTTAAACATAATTAAAAATCTTTTGTATAACTAATATATATCGATAGGTAAAATGAGGAAAGAGTTCGGTTTCAATCATCTAAAAGATTACCTGTATATCATTTATATGATATAATGGACATGATGTGTGAAATACACCTTCACATCCATCAACTGCAGAATCAAAAGATCCTTCATCCATTAAACTTGCTTGGTATAATTGAAGCCTTTCTTTGGCTCCATCAAGTGTACGCAAGTGTTCTGTTTTCTTAGGATCATCTGTTGCCATAAATAAAGTCAGTAAAAAACACTCTTTATCTTGAATTCAAAAATAAATCACAAAAACAAAATTTAGCCACAAAGATATTTCACTAACAAAACTGAATGAGACCCATTATCTAAAAGCATAAAATCATAAAGATCACACTAATTAACTGCATTATACTACAAAATAGAGAAATAGAATAAACTAAAATGGAGAATTTATATATATATACATACATACACATATATACATAGAGAGAGAGAGAGAGAGAGAGACTTACTTAAATCACGAACAGTAGCTTTAACTGTATAACCCCTCTGGAGTAAGAGCTTCACAAGTCATGAAGCTATGTAACCTGACCCTCCTGTTACACACACTGTTTTGCCTTTTCCACTCATTTTCTCTCCCACAAATTTGAAGAAGAACAAATATAGTCCCTATTCTGAATGGAGCACTGTTGTTATTTATATATCTCCGTTACACACACAGATTATTCACCTTTCCTCTTTTTCTCTTCCCCACAAATTGAAGAAAAACATACTAGTTCCCTTCGTGAGCACGTTGTTTATTAATATAATAAATTAATATATTATAATAATAACATATATAAGCCTACACAACACACACTCACACCAACATCTTTTATAAGAGAGAGAGAGAAGAGACAAGCGAAGATGGTGTTATATATATATAGAGAGAGAGAGAGAGACAAAGCGATGGTGTAAACGATGTGGACTGCTAGCTATAAATATTAGCTGGTGTCTTTGGTAAGAGAAAGCCGTCCTAAATATCAAATTAAAATATTCAACCAATTAAATATTTATTAATCCATCAAATATTGCATTTGCTTCTTTATGTTTCTTGAAATTCTTTCACAGGAAAAATAAGAGTAGAAATTAATTTATGAAAACTGAATGAATAAATACACAAAGTTAATGTAAAATTAAATATGTAGTTTTTAACACTATAATCAAGACAGTCCAATACATAAATATGATGGCAAATGACGACCTCATGAACCTTTGAAGAGTACAACTTTGTTCTGGTATAAGTTTTCCTCTTCTTCTTCTTCTCTGTACTTTTCTTTTCCTTTTAACTTGAACTGATCTTGAAAGCAAAAGCAGCTTAACTAGAGAAAGCCCCTCTCTTTCAAGTATTCAATGGTGTCTTTAACTGTAACTTCTAATGGAGTGAAGTTGATGCCCAAGGTTTTTGCTTTCACCTTGGATACCTGATGCTTTGGCAGAAAAGGCTTGTCATTTGCACATCTGCTTACAAGAATTGTGTGATTTTATAAAAGGGATTGCAATTATCACTTAGATTTTCGCCACAATTCAAATAACAATGACTTAATTCTCAGGAAGGTGTAATGCAGGGAAATATTCACGTACAATCTTCAAGAACTCAGAAAAGTGAGCAACTTGTGCTGCTAAACAGTATCTTCCATTGGCTGAAGGTCTTTCCAAAGCAAGAATATGTGCATTTGCAACATCTCTAACATCAACGAATCTAAAAACTTGATTTGGAATGTTTGACCTGCATTTATGTAGACTCAACTGCCTCCATCAGATGAATTGAAGTAATTAGAAGGCAATTAGATTCCACGGAAAAATGAAACCTTAATTTGCTTGCAGGTGATATGGACAGTTTATTTATAATCACAAGGTAAAAAGGCCCATTTTAAATACTTCAAGGAAAATAAAAACATATGATTTTTTTGATAATTTTTCATTCAAATATGAAAGTATGCAGTCACCACTATATATATGTATATATATTACTATCTGACAAAAAGAAAAGACATTGCCTCTATTGTAAGAAGACTACCATTTATGTGGCTCAAAAGAATCTCGATGGTGAAGATTAAGAGTTGGCTGTAAAGGACGACTAATCGCCCATCCTGGATTTATTGCAACCAGGTCAATTCCATTTTCATTTGCGAATTTCCAAGCAGCATCCTCAGCTAAGGTTTTTGATAGCATATACCAATTCTGGGAAATACCAAAATAAGTCTCATCAATGTACTTGACAGTAATCTGTTTAATATCAGTGCTTTTATGAGAAATCGATTCAAGCATATAGTTTTAAGTCACTCAAAAAAAAATTATGAAAGTACATATAATGTTAATTGATGTAATTAAACAAGAACAAGCCTCATATCCTAATGCGTGTTGCTGATAAAACAATTGTCACTTCTGCAACTGAGAAGTCCTTGAGGAAAGAAAGCAGAGAACAGTTGCAAAGGAGAAATATGCACTTTATTTTCTTCACAGAAAGCCGGATCCGATATCCAAGTCTCATCGACTACCACATTGGGGGTGAGAGGCCCCCCATTGAATAATACTGCAGCCAAAGAAGATATCAGAACCACTCTCTTGATAGAAGGAACTTTTGCACATGACTTGAGAACATTAACCGTTCCTTTTATTGCAGGTTCAAGCAATTCATTCTGAAATGCAGAAAACGTAGAAACATTTTATTAGGATTCTATTAACTACTGTGTAAAGTGGTCAATGTACAATGTCAATAATGCATTATGTAGAAGATACAGCATCACATCAAATCAACCAACACTTATGTTTGGGCATCAAACTAGGCGTAAGATAAATGTAAGGTTGTATTGTAGAGACTGCTCTTAAGTAAGTAGTTGCAGATACAATTGACAAGAAGTTTACCTGAGGGTCATTTGTTGAAAAAATTACAGGAGAAGCTGTATGAAAAACACCATCGCACCCATTAACAACTGGGTCAAAAGCTCCTCCTTCCAATAAATTAGCTTTGAACAAGTGAAGTCTTTCTTTATTGAATTTAAGCAAGTGTTCTTGTTATTAGGGTCGTCTATATATGATGTATAAACAAAATTAGTCAATGGAAAGCAGACTACAATAAAGATAATGGATGTGTGAGTCAAGTTCATAATGAAAATGGCCACTGTCATAATTGTTAAAAAGGAAAAAGAAAACAGACAGATTGTAAATCTTGAATTCAACTAAAAAAAAACCAAGAGAAGAGAGAGAAGGGAAAAGTAAAAAATTGAGCAATGGATTATGTTGGGATGAAAATTTAATCAAACCCAGGATTTAAAAACTAAAATTTTTGTAGGAAAGCCATAAAGATCAAACTGACTTGAATATTTTAAGCACAAAAGAAACGACAAAGAAGAATGAAAATTAAGATCTGCTGCAAAACCGAAAGAAATCTAAGCGATATTCTGCTGAGAAAACTAAATGAGACCCAGAACCTAAAAGCTTAAGATTGCGGAAAAGCCACAAAAATTTAACTGATTTGGTCAAATTAAGCTCAAAAGAGAAGCACAAAGAAGCTAAAAACAAAGAAAAAGATAGACTCACTTAAATGAAGAACAGTGGCTTTAACAGTGTAACCTCGCTCGAGCAGGAGCTTGACCAGCCAAGATGCTATGTAACCTGAAGCTCCTGTTACACACACAACATTTCCTTCTCCACTCATACTCCCTCTTTCTAAGAAGCCAGAAGAAAGGATAGCTTCAAGTTTCTAATTTACCCCAACTCGTCACTTATTGGCTATTGTATGCGAATTTCAATTTTACATTTATTACACCCTAAAAATTAGTCTTCCTGTTCATTCTGTTCGGTTTTAAGAGTTTAGGTGTTACTTGTCTTGTCTTTGAACAAGCTTCTGACCTTTCTGTGTGTTAAGTTTTGTGGCATCTTGTTCTTTCTTATGCCTCCCTGGTTCTTGATTTCGTTTCTTGTTTTGATTATGGAGGGGGATTTTATTGAAAACAATTTATCTGACCCCACGTTGGAGGAGGATTGACCATTCATATTAACAATGCTATTTTCTCCATAATCGACACCCTCAGTAATCTGATAAAATAAATAGTAAGTAATCTTTTCTTGTCTCAGGGATAAAAGATTACTTAAGCTGGCAGGAATTTTTCCATTTATCATATTTTCTGCAACGTCAAGAACTTGCAAGGAAATTAAACTTGAAAGACTAGATGGAATCCCTACTGACCTCAAGATGAGAATTGTAAGATGATACTATCTCCAATCCATCAAGAGAACCTGCAGAGAAACACAATTTCCTATGCTTGCTGGAATATTTCTTGAATAATCAATAACTTCAATCATCTCCATTTTTCCTGATTGAAAGACAAATTTAATGCAAAGAGAGCACCAGAAATTTCCCAAACCAGTTGGGTATGCAACCTGAAATGTTTGCATAGGTTTTGATAAATCAAGAAAAGTGATGTCTTTTTGAGATTCAAACCATAATGGAAGTGACGGGCCAAAACTAGCATGAAACCATGTCAAGAAACTCAAGCTGAAAAGATAGGAACAAAACTAAGATCTAACATTTACAATAAAGTACTAATTACAAAGCCAGCGGTAGATAATGCATGTTAATAATTTTCAATTTTCAATTTTAGTCAATAATTTTATCTAAAATTAATATCGCTAGATTTGATGAAAAATTAAAAATATGGAGAGGTGTTTTTATTTGCCATTTTTCTCCTTCAGTAGCAGCATAATTCATACAATGCAGAAATAAAATATTTATAACATTAAAAATTTACTTTTTGGAACTTTAAATATAAAACTTTTGGAAGTGAAATGAAAATTATCTTAAAGGTTAAGCATTGGACCTAATATTTTCGCTATTTTATTTATTTAGTTTAAACTTACTATGACAATTGAAGAGCAACTAGTCCAATAGATTATAAGTAAAAATGTTTATTCATGGTCAATGACGGCCATATTTTTTTTTTTTTTCTTTTCAGAAATCAAAACAAAATAAAACCAACGTGCAGAAAGCAATTGAAGAATACAACTTTGTTCTGGCATGAGTTTTCTTCTTCTTCCCTGTGATTTTCTTTTTCTTTGACTTAAATTGATCTTGTGAGAAAAAGAAGCTTAGCATGAGTATCAGCTAGGGATTTGGGAACATCATCCACAGATACTAAGAAAGCCCCTCTCTTTGAAGCTTTCAATGGTATCTTTAACAGTAACTTCCAATGGAGTGAAGTTGATGCCTAAAGTTTTTGTTTTCTCCTTAGATACCTTATACTTTGGCACAAAAGGCTTGTCATCTGCGCACCTGCTCACAAAAGAAATTGGTAATAGTAATTTAGTCAATACTGTGTATTCTACAAAACGGATTGAAGTTATCACTTAAGATTAAGCAGTACTGTTAGTAAAGCAATCATAAACAGATTAATTTTAACTGTCACTGTCATCTGAACGAACTTACTTCTCAGGAAGGCGTAATGCAGGGAAATGTTCATGTACAATCTTCAAGAACTCGGAAAAGTGAGCAACTTGTCCCACTAAACAGTATCTTCCATTGGCTGAAGGCCTTTCAAAAGTAAGAACATGTGCATTTGCAACATCTCTAACATCAACGAATCTAAAGACTTGATTTGGAAATGTTTGACCTGCATGTAAATAGACTCAATTGCTTCCATCAGATGAATTCATTCAAGATTAATTGTAGTAATTACTGGGAAATAGATTCCAGTAGAAAAATAAAACATTAATTTGCTCAAGAAAAAAAGAAAAAGAGACATATCACTTGTTTGATGATTTTTCAATCAAATGTGGAAGTAATACAGTCACACTATATGTGTATATTACTGACTGACAACAAGAAAAGGACGCCCTCTGTTGTAAGAAGAGTACCTTTTATATGGCTTAAAAGAACGTCAATGGTGAGATTAAGAGTTGGCTGTAAAGGAGGACCAAACACCCATCCTGGATTTATCGTAACCAGGTCAATTCCGTTTTCTTTTGCGAATTTCCAAGCAGCATCCTCAGCTAAGGTTTTTGAAAGCATATACCAAGTCTGGGAAATACCAAAAGGAGGTTAGTATTTTGAAGTCTCAATCAATGTGCTTGACAGTAATCTTTTTCAACATCAGTTCTTTGATGAGAAATTGATTATGGAAGTACAAATAATGTTGTTCTGGTTTTTATACGAGCTGATGTAATTAAACCAGAACAAGCCTCATATCCTAATGTATGTTGCTGATAAAACAATTGTTACTTTTGCCACTAAGAAGTCCCTGAGCAAAGAAAGCAGAGAACTATTGTAAAAGAGAAATATATACTTTATTTTCTTCACAGAAAGCCGGATCCGAAAACCAACTCTCATCAACTACTGTATCGGGGGTGAGAGGCTTCCCATTGAACGTTACCGCAGCCATAGAAGATGTCAGAATCACTCTCTTGATAGAAGGAACTTTTGTACACGACTTGAGAACATTAACTGTTCCTTTTATTGCAGGTTCAAGCAATTCATTCTGAAATGCAGAAAACTTAGAAACATATCACAAATTATCGAGTACAGTTATCAATGTACTATGTCAATAATGCATTATGTATGAGATACATTATCACATTAAATTAACCAATATGTATGTTTGTGGCATCAAGCTAGGTGGAAGATAATTGTAAGGTTGTATTTTAGACACTGCTTTAAGTAAGGCAGTTGCAGATACAATTGATAAGAAATTTACCTGAGGGTCATTTGTTGAAAATGTTACAGGAGAAGCTGTATGAAATACACCATGGCACCCGTTAACAACTTGGTCAAAAGCTCCTTCTTCCAGTAAATTAGCTTTGAACAAATGAAGTCTCTCTTTGGCTCCATTGAGTTTAAGCAAGTGTTCTATTTTATTATGGTCATCTATGATGTATAAACAAAATTAGTCAATGGAAAGCAGACTATGATAAAGATAGTAGATCTCTGAGTCAAATTCATAATGAAAATGGCCACTGTCAATAATTGTTAAAAAGGAAAAAGGAAAGAGACAGATTGTAAGTCTTGGAATTCAACTAAAAAAAATCAAGAAAAACCTCAATAAGCCAATCAATATGTTAAGTAGAAATTGAACTCTGGATTATATTGGGATGAAAATTTAGACAGACCGAGGATCTAAAAACAAAAATTTTTGTAGGAAAACCATAAAGATCAAACTGACTCGAATATTTTAACCTCAAAAGAAACAACAAAGAAGAATCAAAGGCTATTCTCTGCTGAAAAAACTGAAAGAAAGATGTCTGATACTCTGCTGAAAAGCCTAAATCAGACCCAGAAACCAAAACTCAAAATTAAGCAGAAAAGCCACAAAAATCAAACTGATCTAATCAAATTAAGCTCAAAAGAGAAGCCCAAAGAAGCTAAAAATAAAGAAAGATAAACTCACTTAAATCACGAACAGTGGCTTTAACATTGTAACCTCGCTCGAGCAGGAGCTTGACCAGCCAAGATGCTATGTAACCTGAAGCTCCTGTTACACACACAACATTTCCTTCTCCACTCATACTGTCTCTCTCTCTCTCTCTCTCTCTCTCTCTCTCTCTAAGAAGCCAGAAGAAAAGATAGCTTCAAGTTTCCAATTTTCTTAATAAATGTATTTACCGCAACTCCGTCACTTAATGGCTTGTAAGCGAATCTCATTTTTACATTTATTACACCATAAAAAATAATCGTCCGGTTCATTCTGTTCGTTTTTAACGATTTAGGTGTTCTTGTCTTGTCTTTGAACAAGCCTCTGACTTTTCTGGTGTTAAGTTTTGTGGGATCTTGTTCTTTCTTATTCCTCCCTGGTTCTTGATTTCGTTTCTTGTCTAACCATGGAGGGGGATTTTCTTGAAAACAATTTAGCTGGTCCTGGTCTCATGTTGGAGGAGGATAGACTATTCATATTGACTATTACAGTTTCTTCATAATAGACACTGTAAGTAATTGGGCCGGATTTTCAAGTTCGGGTTCAACTCGCCCGGATTGCTAATAATCCGCTGCTTTTGAAAAATCAAATACGCAGACGGGCTCAATTCCCGCCTTCAAGAAAAGAAAGTACGCCAAGCTTCAGTAACACTCTTTTCATTTCTTCTTCCTCCTTCCTCTCTCTGTCTCTCTTCATGGCTTCTCTCTCAGAATCCAATCTAATTTCCAATCTAGAATCCTCTACTTCTACTCCTATCTTCTCTTTCTTCTTCGATTACCTAAACCCTTTCTCTGATCTCAGAAATCCCAGAAAGTCCAAACCCAAATTCAGACCCAAAGCCGATCTGTAGCCAAGCAGTTCCTTCCATTTCTCAATCGCTGCCTTTCAATTTTACCAAAACGCCTATCTGATGCCTCAAAATTGCGCTCCCAGGACAGTAAGGAAATCCCAAAGTTCGTGAATGAACTATACGATATTTACTGTTTGTGTTTGGATTGTTTGGAAACTGTATCTTCACAGCTTTCGGGAAAGCCTTACATGATGAGTATACAGAGGTTAAGGTTAGTGTATTGCTTGGAGACTTGGGGATTGTACAAAGAAGCAGAAAGTGAAGTGTTTAGGGTTTTGGGGAGACTTAGAGATTTGGGTTTGGAGGAAAAGAAGAAGGAAAAAGAGTTAGGGAAGTTCCTGCCTATTCCAGCAGAAAATAGAGATGTGGAGCTCGCAAAGTTGCTGGTTGAGTTGGTAGAGGTCACTGTTAAGTGTTCGGTATTGGGGCAGAGTAAGGATGGAAGGGATTATATGAGAGTTATTGGGTTGGTGGAGGAGGTTGCACCATGGTTCAGGTATGTTGAATTCTAGCTCTTAAATGGAGTGGATGGACAATAAAAAACAAAATAACCAAAGGAGAATTAGGATAATTTCAAGTTTCTGGATTTTTTTATAGGTTTGAGATATTTTTTTAGTGCATGCTTTGGCATTTGGGAATCGTGGGAAGAGAAATGTAACGAAGTTTGTGATCTTGTGAATTCTGTTATTTTTTTGAAGCAAAAAAGGCGGATGGCTAACTGCTGAAACGCAAAATAATAAAATGGTGGAAGATAATGTTGCATTTAGCTCTGCTGGTGGTTATAGTGCTTGGTTTAATGGATATTGTGCATTTGGGCTGTTTGAATACGTGTCTACGTTTTCAGAAGAAAAAAAAAATCGTTTGATTGAACTTAGGAACAGTTTGCGCTTTAGTGGTTATGTGGGAATGATATTTTTACTGAAGGAAGATGTATTGCAGAAAGCTTTTGGTTCTATTGGAAATTGTAAGCCAAATGTTTGAGGCATCACTTTAAGAAAACAGTGGGAAAAAGCAAGAAATAAAAAAAAAAAGGTTAATGCTTTCTTATTTTAGGCAGGGTTTTGCTTCGCATTCCAACAATTACAGAACTCCTACTTTTGCTACAGCGCAGCTATTATTTCGTTCAAAATGTTCTGTTATTAAAAGCAACTATTGAATTGATTTTAGGTTTAATCATGTTACGCTATATGTGTCTTAAGATGGGTTCTCACTGAATGCTTGATGGACTGATAGGTGCATAATTTCATCATTTATGTATAGGAATACGTTGAATGGTAGTTTGGACTTGGATATTTAGATTACTGATTGTATAACGATACGTTTGAATGTTTTAGGGTGTTAGATGCCAATGCATATGAGAAGTTGCATAGGTTGCTTGTGACATACCTTGGCAAATGCACTCTGTTTTTGGTTGGGGATTTAACAAATTTTGATGAAGATGTAGTCCGTGCTTTCTGCGTGACAACATTGGATGAATATGCCAAGTCATCCTTGAAAGATCAAATCTACAAGGTAATATTTGCTAGATCTTTGCCAATGAAATTTCAGAGGATCTTTGTTTGTCTCTGTAATTGGTGCTTTGTTTGCAGTATTCCTGCTGGATCTGTTCGTTGCTTTTCTTGCTTCAAGATGAAAAGCCTTCAGTTGTCATTGACATGTTAAAATGTGTTTTGGGCTCCCTTGCCTGGAAGTGCAAGGTAATGCAAGTAGATTTACCTGTCAAGACTTAGAAAGTTCTAAACTGCTGTTTTCTAAGTGCCAGTAAATCAATTCTGGGTATTAAGTTGTTTATGAGTTAATCCAGAAGCAAATATCTTCTTTGTACTATTGATAAACCTTTTGATTTTGGCAGGTTGTAGGGCAAGACTGGGGAATGGAATTTGTTGAACTTGTCTCTTATTGTGCCAACAAATGTCGAACTGCAATTGGTAGTGCTGTTGCAAACCATCTGAATGACCTTGCTTGTGATTTCTGTCCGGTATCATGTTTAGATCATTTGCTTATGTAGCTTCCATCTATTGCATACATTTGCATCATTATCTGGATGAGGACAAATATGTAAATATTTGTATGTTCACTACAAGTCAATCTGTTTGGCAGGTTTTGAAACCGCTGGATATGATTCTCAAGCTTTATGCTGTAGGATTGACCTTGACTGATTGGGGTACTAAGTCCAAAATTGGTGATGTTACATCCAAAGGTGCAAATGATGGAGTTAGGCTTTGCAATTTAACATCTCTTCTTGGTTCATTGCGAAGTTACTTTTATGTTGGATTCAGTGAGAACTGTGTGCCATGTGTTGTTGAATTCAAGGGTTCTGCTGGTCTATTGTGTTCAGAGTCGGATTTTCATCATGTGACCTCTTTAGCTTGCCTACAGGAGGATAGAAGGGTTTATCTGATAGGCTACTTAAATGCACTGAAGTTCTTGTGCCAGCCGCTTGCTGAACTATTAAACTTGGAGAAAAAACAAATTATTGCCAGAGATGGTGTAAGGTCTTTTTGTACCTCATTTTCAAGCATCGAAGGGGCATTTGGTCAGTATTTTTATGTTTTCCTATCTTTGTGCAGGTAAAGCAACTATAACATATGCTTCTGTGTTTTCCTGTTATTGATAGACATGGGGCTGCTTATCTAACAAATGAAATCTAATATTATGCATTTGATTTTAGATCTTGAACTATTGGATGATATAAAAAGGGTATTACTTTTAATTTAATGTTGGTTCCCGTTCTTAATGGCAGCAGCTGGGGAAGCGAAGAGAATAGGAAGACCAGGAAAGAAGTAACTCAAATAGGATTTGAGGAACGAAGTTTGTAAGTACTGTTTCTTTGGCCTGTTCGTGCATTAAGTCCTGAAGCATTGGGCATGACCTATGGTAAATTTGAGTGAGATAAATAACATCCAGATGCGCATTTACTGCTCAGATCTCTTTGGCATCTTTTTTTTTTTTTTTTTTTTTTTTTTTCTTTTAATTTTTTTTTTTTTTTTTTTTTTTTTTTTTTTTTTTTTTTGAAGGAAAAAAAAGCAGAATTGTTTTTAGTTCGTATATATCATAACTTTGATAGGTCGGGCCTGGAAAATTAAAGTTTGAACTATAATATGCTTGCTAAGCTGAATTTGTTAGCAAGCTTACTTATATTGGTGCTTTTTTGAAAAAACAATGAAACTGGCGATTGATTATGAAAAAATTGGTAGCCAAGGTGCTCACTGAGCATTTTCTGACATTTGCCTGTATAAGCATGCAGTACAGCATCTCAAAGAGAGGGAGATGATTTTAATGCAGTAAAGCATGACATTTGCCTGTATAAGATGATTCCTAGCATTGCTGTTGCTGCCTTTACTCTCTCCATCAGGACAAAGCATAAATTCCAGGTTGGGATTCATGTTCTATAATATTGAAAAACTCAAACTACAAGTTTTATTCACTTTTGCAATGCAATTTGCTATAAATTTTAAATGTTGCACTTCTCGGGGTTGTTATTATTTCAAGTCTGAAGATAAAAATGGGCCTATTGTGCTCCTCCTATTGCAATTTCCAATTTTGGCTTTGTGAATTTATTGTGGAAAAATGTTTTCTTGCTTGTATTTCATCAATAGGGACACACATATATACACACATACAAGATACTATAAATCTATTAGTAATCTAACTCCTAATAGAGTTCTATTTACAACTAATCCTTAACACTCCCCCTCAAGTTGGAGCATAGATGTTAATCATGCCCAACTTGTTACAAAAATAGTCCACCCGAGGTCCATTTAGAGCTTTGGTAAAGATATCTCCTAACTGTTCACTTGTTTTAACATGTGCTGTAGAGATAACACTCTGTTGTATCTTTTCACGAATGAAATAACAATCAATCTCGATATGTTTTGTTCGTTCATGAGATATTGGATTTGATGCAATGTGAAGAGCAGCTTGATTATCACATCATAACTTTGCAAGCAAGGATACTGGACAAAATCATAACAATCTAAATTTCTCGATACTGTTTTGCTCAATCTCGATATGTTTTGTTCGTTCATGAGATATTGGATTTGATGCAATGTGAAGAGCAGCTTGATTATCACATCATAACTTTGCAAGCAAGGATGGCTTGAAGCCAATTTCCTGTAACAACTGACGAATCCAAATTAATCCACAAGCAGATTGTGCCATAGCTCGATATTCTGATTCAGCACTTGATCGTGATACTACATTTTGTTTCTTGCTCCTCCACGATATCAAGTTTCCACCTATAAAGACACAATATACTGAAGTTGATTTTCTATCAACCTTCAAACCTGCCCAATCCGCATCTGAAAAACTTTCAATGTCCAAATGCCCAGGATTACTGTAAAGCAGGCCACGACCTGGATTACCTTTCAAGTAGCACAAAATCTATCCTAAAGCTTCCCAATGGATAACAGTAGGAGAAGACATAAATCTGAAATTACTCTATCAAGATAGCACAAAATTACATATCCTAATATGCATCCCATAGAAACGGATATATATTAACTAAATAGGAATCCTGAAGAAAGACATTAATATAATTCCCGCGCTTAAAGACAGTTCTCACAGAGTTATAAGTGTTCTAATATAAATTTGGACGTGTTACATTGTAAGATAATTCAATTTGCCCACTAAACCTATACTAAATACATCTACATGATCAACTCAAAATATGCGTGTTCAAACCAATCAAATTGGATAAGTGTGCCATATACTTAGGTAGTTTTCATTGGTTATGCATTTTTGTAAGGCTTGTCGGAGTCCAACTTTCCAGTTCGCTTCAACACCAAAATTTAGGTCCATAAACTGGGTCTTTTGAGGGATAAATAAGCTAGCCTTCTTTACATCTCTATATATTACAATTCAATACCTATGAATAATAATACGTCATATCAATCTAATGTCTTTAAATTTTTGTGTTCTTGGAATACTGAGTTTGGTAGCGACAATCTCCAACATTTGAGTAAGAATGTGTATGTTCATGCTTGATACTACTCTCCCAATTAGATCCAATAACAATGTTCAATTAATCAATCTTTAATATGTAACCACTAAGTGTAGATATCATACACCAGTACAATTAAGTATTACTTTCTGAAAATTAAAAAATACATGAAATCTTCAATTCGAGGATAGTACTGCTTCTTAGAGTGCTAATGCCATAGAAGTTGACAATGTTATCACGCATTGTGGAACAAAATTTACCACAGATTTACCTTAAGCTGACGACTTTGTTTATAGCCAGTAATAATGAAGAATATATCAAAGTTTTGCATCAACTTTACTTTAATCTCGACTCAAACCCCTTTCTTGAAGTCAACAAAGCCTGGTGGTGATGCTCGTACATGATTATTACAAATATCCTCCAAATGAAAAGGATCCCATGAAGAAGAAGGTCGGAATTACTTTAACGTTCCCTCAGCTTGATTGTAAAGGCCAGTCGAAGGAAGATAGCACTGCTAAAGGAAATAAATAAATATACGCGAAAATAAATCAGTGATAGACAATTATTTTTGGCTATTGATCGAAGAAAGGAGAAAAAAAAAAGTATCAAGTAAATATTATAAAATTAAAGTGCCTCATAAAAAAACTTTTTGAGAAATATCCTTCTTATATGCATACTATAAATTCGAGCCTTGAGGAAAACGAGAACAACGAAGGGATCCCATCCAGAATTATACATCTTATAAACCGTGTTTGACCATGAAACACTTCCATACTACATAAACCAATTATTACAGCAATTATTTTCTTAACACGTAGCCGAGTTATAGAGAAGCACACTATATGATTTCCAATAAAGTTACCATTATTTATAAAAATATACTATATTATGGCATATAGCTATCTTCCTCTTAATTTTCTATTGCTGCCACACCAACAATTAAGTGGAATAAGACAATAGCAAGTCCTGGTACAATTAGTTTTAGCGATATATAATATTGACAAAGTTAATTAAGAGTTACTTACCAAAAAAACAAAACGAGATGAAGAATGTAAGTAAGAAAATGAATTCATAGTAACGTGACAAAAAGAATGTGATAATAAGCAGATTTAGGGCGGCGCCATAACCAACTTGCGTTTAACCTTTTCCGAAGGTAAGCATACGGGTTAAGGTACAGGTTAATGAACATGATGGGAGTGTGGATAAGAGCACCAGCTGGTCAAGGTTGAGTGACGAGATGAACCGAGAATTACCCACTTCTTCTTTGAATTTGAAGCGAAGGCTAACGGTGGAGTGAAGTGAGTCAAGATTCCTGAACGCTGCTCCTACGGATTCTAAAAAAACCTAAATTCAACAATATGTGACGCAAGAGATGCTGGAAAAATGGCACTGGATAGCTATCGCAGAATTAGGTAGCAGACGCACATCTCTATATATGCAAGCAGACAAGTTATGTTACTAGGATTCAGCGAAAGAAATAGGAAGCAGGGAAGACAAGAACTTTATGGAAATTGCGGATTGAAGCATCATAAACTAAAAAACTCATCATCCTTCCCCATCACTACTATCGATATATAGAAGAAGAAATCATGGGATGTGATACTTACGTAAAATAGTGATATTAACTACAGACGTAATATAACGGTAAGATCGGGAAGAGAAATCATATCTGATGCAACCTTTTGACGACCTGAGAGATTAACTCAAGTGAAAACACAATACGAAAGGCACTTTGACTAGTCTTTGGCGGAAAACCTGTGGAAAGTAAACGGAAAACTATCTACGAACAAAACATAGTACTATATCCGAACAACCTACGATATCTATCATGTAGAGAAAACAGAAGCACTATCTGAAAGTGAAATACAAAGAGCATTATACCGGAGTGAATGTTCCAATATTAAGCATGAACGTATGTGTAAAGAAAGTGTTAATGTTGCGGATTAATATAGATTAAGAAAATACTAATAGCTTTATAGTGCATAATGATTTGAATGTCCTCCAGAGTATCGAAGGAAACAAGACATTATAAGGAATTTCAATATTAAGAACAGAAGAAGGCATGCGATTAATAAAAAAACATGCAGTAGAGACAACATCAGCCTAAAAATGTTTGGGGACCTTCATTTAGAATAGAAATGCCCTAGCAACCTCAAAAAGATGTCGATTTTTTCTTTCTGCAACCCCATTTTGAGGAGTATCAAGACAAGATGTTTGATGGAGAATACCATTCTATGACATATAAGATTAGAAAGAACTAGATAGATATTCTTTAGCATTATCACTGTGTAATATGCGAACAGAGGTATTAAATTGAGTTTTAATTTCAACACAAAAGGAATAAAAAATAGAGAATATCTCAAAACGAGTTTTCATTAAAAATAACCAAGTAACACGAGAATAATCATCCACAAAAGTCACAAAATACCGAAAGCCAGTTTTAAGAGTTAAGGAGTTATCATGTTCAACAAGAATTTATAGTCACAACCATATATCCCGAATTAAGCCAGTTTTAGGATATTACTCATATGAGACAGCTGAACATGGACCGTAAAATACATATTCAGAATATTTTATTCTCAACCATCGCACATAGGCGTGTTATGAACTTTCGCAAATACCAAGTGATGATGTTTACTCGAGAGGATAGCTATATGGGTAATTAGTCTTTGTTAGTTGGTGTTTTGGCGCATATAGGAATATAGGACAATATAGTTCTCCACTTCACTCTCCTCAAGGACTCTGTACAAGTACCATAGTACAAACGTGCCGGACACAAGCTTTTAAAGCTACGACTATAGCCTGTAAATTATATGAGTATTAGAACACCGAATATCTCGAGTATCAATTGAACCTCTTTCTGAAGAGGAGATAGTGTAGACCACCCATTCCACGCAAGTTCAGATTAGTGAGTTCTAACGACTAACGTTAGTTCATGCGTCTCAGAAGTTTATTATAAAATGCTCTCCAGGACTACAATTGTGCCATTCTCCACTTAATTCTTGCTTATCGTCCATATTATAGATCACTGTGAATTGACTAATCTAACTATTTTAAGTGAATGTACCGCGATAAAAGATTATAACACTACATTAAGTTTTTGCAAATATATTTATCGCAAATCGAGTAATGTCCATGATAAGTTGTTTAATCCGACAAGTGGGTTAGATTATCGAACGAGTGGGAGAACTGATTCCGGCTAAGACTCAAAGAAATCTTTTAATTGAATGACTATTGATTTAGGGCATGAACTGTGCACTTAGACCAAATTTTCCCTTACAGTAGTTGCAAAGTGCAGGTGCTTTAAGATTACATTGACTAGTTTTAATGTATACGCTGGACTACCCATATTTGTCATGTATCTTTAGTAATTTATACTATGTTATATGAAAAATTAGAGCAATTCTAGGAGATTCTTTAGATCGCATGTGCTCGCATAATGTGACTAATGTCGTTAACCTTGTCATGTGATCGGCAAATTACCAGAGGCATTCCAAATTTGAGCTGCCCTAGCTTCTTTGATTGAGGCTTAGTGAGGTACATAAGACGCATGACAGCTGTGGAGTTTTGCGCCATCTAGCTAGCTTCATAAGTAGTCTCATTGTTTTCTCTATAGTAGTAGCTTATTGTAACTTTTGAGTGATCTAGAATTGTTTATCAGCCATCTTTGTTTCCATGAGATAGCAGTTTTGGGGCCGAGGGGAGGTGCAGCCTAGGGCTCTTACACCTAGTTTCATGTGATATTGCTAAGTCAAGCTCAGTATATCAATCACAATGAAATTATTGATGCCAACTCTTTGATGAGTTGGACAGAAAAGATCCGATGTTCGTAGCACATTTATGATATGAGCGTATAGATAGGATGTTTTCAGGACAGGCCTAGAGTTACTGATGTTGACTGATGCACTGGAGATTCATCGCTTAAATCTACTACTTTCTTCAGTTCTCCGTAATTTAGTGCCGTTCGAGCTTCATGCTATTATCATCTGAGACATATGGAGGTATCTAAGTGCGTCAGACTCATAGTCTAGCATAAGCTTATGAGGTGTTAATCATAGCGATGAGATATAGAGCGACGGATTCCTATACTCTAATATATTGTGCCTCGTATGTTGTAGATAGTGCTAGAAAATTGATTAATGTTAGAATCAGAAGATATGGTGAGAATCGCGACGCAATCCTTGACGTGTATTCGTCTATCATTGCTCAATAGCGCTCTGCGAATATGAGGCTTATTGAATCTCTTAGCTTGTGTCTTCTATAGCAAGGTATCGATAATAGTTTGCCCAGGTCAAGTCGTCACATTTGCATATGGTTAAGAATTGTGCCGAAATAACCCTTTTAGGGCCAGAATTATATCTCTAAGAAACCTCACCTGGAGCATCACATTCGGGTCTCCCTATATGATACTACGAATTATTTTCATCCACGTCCTCCTGCGATTTCCTGGCTATGCTCTCATATGAAGTATCATGATACGAATCGCGACTTAGATTACGGGACTCTCACAATAACCGATAGGCGACTGAGGAACCTCATATTATCAAGTGAGATGGTGGGAATAGGTCCATTAGTTATTATTGGATGACACAACCTATGCTTAGTCTACGTTGCCTAAATTCCTAGTGATCAGAATAGTTCCTGTAATAGAGTCAGACAAGTGCATGTAGGCATATGTAACTTCTATCTACTGCGCTGATGATAAGCTATGTGATTTTGGTGCTAGACGATTAACACAAAATCTCGAGAAAGACGAAAAGACCTGCTCTCATAGATATGGCTAATAGACTCATGTCATTAAGCCATCCAATTTTTTCTAATGACTTGGGTCGTGAAATTAATTTGTAACCTCATGTATACATCGGGATTAATTATAGATATAGCCAATATAAAGATCTATTAAGTTCCTACATGCTAAAGTCTATCATTATAAATATACCTTGATCATAAGTAAGTGTCTCCACAAAAATACTTGCAAATGAGTAAAGTGTGGTTCTCTCATACCCTTGCTGTTGTGGACAGTACCACGATACATACATCCTCCTTTGCAGACCTTCGATACATACTGAGAGAACATGTGCAGGCCTATAGGTAACTTGGAAAATTTCTATTGGTTCCGTTGAGTAATTAGGAAATTCTATAGATCATTGATGATTCTCGCCGTTTTTTGACTTTCTTTTACAATCAATAAGTATCTCTACAAGTGAGGAGTTGAGTTATACCCAAGCACGGCATAATCGTTGTTTTTCTGTCATAGACATCAGCCACGCGATGATACAGCTATAGTGACAAATTAGTTTCTATGTCAAGCATGCAATATATACATCCATTGATGTCTATGCATCATTTTGATGGGGTGTTGGCTGGTTCTAACTAGTAAGAGCTATTCCTCTTCTGAAGTCTCAACTTCGGATAGTCCCTTTTGTGTCTGGCTTGTCTCATCAGTTTTGGGATGAACGGGTTGGAATCATTCAAATTAGATGATCATAACTTTTTTCAACACTCCACAGTAATAGAATTCTAATCTGCTGGCTTTGACTTCAAGTCTAAATATACTTAGTTCCTTTTTAATTAACCGGACTTTTTGTAGTGATATATACTAATTCATGTGTATTGGTAAATCAATATATTCAAAGATAATAGTTAGTTTAGAATCTGTAAACCTGCCTAAGATCCATTAATTTAATTATAAATATCTAATTACTATCCCTTAACCTAGACAACAGCAGAAAGAGATAGATAGCCAAATAAAAAAGTAAGCACATAGTAATCAACTGACATAACATTGCAGCAAACGAGTTAAACCTTGAACGCAACTAAGATGACTATAATAATATTGATAAGACTGAAAACGACCCTGTATCAAAATCTTCGTCCGAAAGTATGGCGTGAACAAATAAACCGAATTCTCGAGTCACGATGTGCTTAGAAGTTAGAATACCGAAGACCCAGAGAACTTATTTCGAACCTCGCTCTGGAAAATAGACCGACGCGACCTCCACGTCGCCGAACGTTCGGCCTGGCACAAATAGCAGTAAACAAAATAGTGCGCAGCACGTGGGGCCACCCAGCGCAATGCAAGGCGAAGAGGTCAATACGTGTAGATTGTCGGATTTTTGGCAGGAGGAACAGATCTTGACATTGATCCTGGAGCAGAACTTGGAAAGGAATCCTTCTGAGGTAGGTTGGTGAGATCAAAATACGGTTGACACCTTAGAACTGATCACCGAGACTGATTTTAGCGGACTGTACAGCTGGCATGGAAATTTCAACGCAAACGAGAAAAAAAAAAAGTGATTTAACGAGCCAAAAGGCTCTGATACCATGTGAATTTATGTGGAAAAATATTTTCTTGCTTGTATTCATCAAAGGACACACATATATATACACACATAACAAGATACTATAAACTTATTAGGAATAACTAATTCCTAACAGAGTTATATTTACAACTAATCCTTAACAATACTCATTAAATATTTGATTCAGGGGAAGACTTGGGGGGGAATGCAGTGAATTTATTGTGGAAAAATATTTTCTTGCTTGTATTTCATCAATAGGGACACACATATATATACACACATACAAGATACTATAAACTTATTAGGAATCTAATTCCTAACAGAGTTATATTTACAACTAATCCTTAACAATACTCATTAAATATTTGATTCAGGGGAAGACTGGATGCACTCCTACTGCTGAAGAATTGACTTTAGCCCTAAAAAGTCATGATCTGTTCTTATATTTTGGCCATGGAAGTGGCATGCATAATCTAATGTGCTAATGCACAAAATCACATGATTTTTTTTTTCCCCGTTGTCTTATTTATTTATTTATTTATCTGCACCTATCTTGAATTGCATGTAATGTGCCTCTGACAGTACAGGAGCTCAGTACATTTCTCAGCAAGAGATTCAGAAGGTGAAAAATTGTGCTGCTACCCTTCTGATGGGATGCAGTAGCGGTGCGTTGTCATTAAATGGCTCTTACATTCCAACAAGGTACTCCCCTGTCCTATCTTCTAGCTGGCTCTCCCATCATTGTTGCAAATCTTTGGGAAGTCACAGACAAAGATATTGATCGGTTCAGGAAGGCAATGCTTGATGCCTGGTTAAAGGAAAGATCTAATGATTGTTCCCAACGTTATTTACTAGCAAAAGAATTTGAGGCCATGAACTTGAAGGGACGGAAAGTTGCTGCTAGGAAGAAGGCACAAACGAGAAAAGAATCCGAAACTTGTGATATTGATTCCTTAAAGAATTGTTGTAATCATAGAGCCAGGATTGGATCATTTATGAGTCAAACTCGAGAAGCTTGCACACTCCCTTTTCTGATTGGAGCATCTCCAGTTTGTTATGGTGTTCCTACAGGTATAAGGAGGAAGAAGGATTCATAGGATTCATTTGGCCATATGACCTGGATTTAGTTTTGAGGTCCTTTGACAACATTAACAGCACAACTGTACCTGAAAATTTAGTTGGCATCCACTGATAGGTCTCTCTGTTTATATGAGATTGTAATGTTCCTCGGTCATTCCGAATTCCATTTTTCTATGAATGTATATCTTATTTCTTTATAGGTCTAATACTGTATATACTTTTGAATAATCTAAAATTCAATTTCAGTTCTAGTAGAATTTCTTTTCAATTTTATTCTTGACTAGACTATTAAAAAAACAAAAAAAAAAAAAAGAATAATTGTTTTCTAAGAACTAAATAATTGTTTTTTAATTTTTATTTCGAAATAAAATAGCCTTAATTGTAAAAATTTCTTCACTGTATCCTTAAAACTTAAAATTATAGTTTTGCTGCCATACATCTGAGCAGATTGTCTGGAATTCCAAACAATTTTTCAAGACATGGGGTCTCAAATAGCAACCTATCTTCATTGTTAATGACAAAAAATTATTATCAGACTGCTTTTGGCCGACAAAATAAAGACCAGGATCAAGATCAAACTGACTTGAACATTTTGAACTCAAAAGAACTAACTAAAAGAAATGAAGGACTATGCTCTGCTGAGAAAACTGTTAAAAACCCATTTTATAGTGCTTTAACAGTATAAATTAATAGAAAAGGAAACCAAGATGGAGTTTTAATGAATAGTGACAAGTATTCAATTACACCTGCAAACCAAATAGTGTAAATGATGTATGTGCAGGCTTCAGCTTATTTTTAGAATGCTTCATAATCATTACAAGACGAAGGCCTCAAGAATATCCATCAATACAAATCAGAAGCTAACTAGGTTCTTCTCCTTCAAGCTTTCAACAGTCTCCTTCAAACTTACATCAAGAGGAGTGAACTTCACACCTAGACTCTCTGCTCTCTCTTTCGATACTTGATATTTTGTCGCAGGTGGCTTGTCATCTGTACATCTGCCAAAAATCCAAACCTAATGAAACTATGCCCATTTGCCAGTGTATGAAACTGGTAATCAGAAGTACAGCTCTGGTCTTTCTACCGAATATAATCAGTATGTTGACTAATAGACTTACTCTTTGGGAAGATTGTTATCTGGGTAAAGTTTGTGAAGAATCTTCATAGCCTCAGAAGAGTGTATAACTGTCCCAACTAAACAGTATCTTCCAGAAGCTGAAGGATTCTCGAAGGCACAGATATGTGCATTGGCAACATCTCTAACATCAACCCATCTGTATGTTGTATTTGGATATTTTTCTGCTCCTGCCATCCAGTAATCTCAAGTGTTGCATCACAAATAATCTCAACTACAAAAGAATATCCATAAAAAGAAGGAAGCTGTGGAAGGAAACTTTGGAATAATTTGGCAATTCATGACAAAAGAAGGAAACTTTGGAAATTTGCATGGAAATTTGTGATTGAGCATAAAATTTTTGGCTATATCCATAAAAGGAAGTTAAGAACGTATTGATTTTCATGTCAGAAGATGCAAAATATTCTAACTAGTAGATGAAAAGAGTACCATTTATAAGCTTCAGAACTGACTCTGCACTGGTATTAAGAGTTGGCTGTAAGAGAGGACCAATCACCAATCCTGGGTTTATTGTAACCATGTCCATTCCATTCTCTTTGGTAAACTTCCAAGCAGCTTCTTCTGCTAAGGTTTTGGAGAGCATGTACCATAACTGATAAGGAAAAAGAGAAAATAAAGGTACATTGGCCACAGATAAATTGATGAGGGTGAAGGAAAAAGACAGAGAATTTGCATATGAGAGGCTCCAGTTAGTTGCTAACTCATATTTATCATCAGATAAATCCTTTCAGGCAGACTAAATGAAAACAGAGAAGCATACCAAAAGAGAGGCTATTTTAGTCCCAAAAAGCACTTGTATGCACCTTAGATTTCTCACAGAAATCAGGATCTGAAAACCAAGTCTCATCAACTATTACATCAGGAGCAAGAGGTTTGCCATTGAAAGCAACTGCAGCCATGGATGATGTTATAACCACTCTTTTGATAGAAGAAACTTTAGTACATGATCTAAGAACATTCAGTGTCCCCTTCAATGCAGGATCAATAAGTTGTGCCTGAAAGGAGAAATCAATAATTATAAGGACTAGCATACATAACAAAAATCAAAATTTGGGGCAAAATTCAAAGTAACATATAAAAGTTCCCAGCAACAATAACAAAAACATAAATAAAAAAAAACCATAGCGGTTGATCACATTTTAATCAATCAATTTTGCTATAAGCTGATATAGAAGCATCCTAGTTGGAATTTTTGTTCAAATGTTCTCCTAAAACATCACCAAGACTATAGGTAATTGTACTTGAAATTGACAATTTTGACGATATTTATATTTTGAAGCTAATTTTACAACTATGTAATTGAAGGGAAAGAAAATGTACCTGGGGATCAGTTACAGTGAAGTAAAATGGGGATGCTGTATGGAAAACACATTCGCATCCCTTAACCACCGGATCAAAAGATCCTTCATCCAGTAAATCGGCTTTGAACAATTGCAGTCTTTCTTTAGCCCCATCAAGTGCAAGTAAGTGTTCAATCTTCTTTGGATCATCTGTGCCATCAATAGAATTCCTTGAATGTTATGGAGAATACTATATTTTGTCATATATATCCATTGAAGCGAAAGTCACAAACCAATAGAGCTCGGTATATATAAACTGCTGAACTTAACAACATAGATGAGCCATCTGAGTGATGGAATAAATTAAATAGCCAATTTTTTTCTTTTAAAACTTAAGAAAAATGTACTCCCTACTTTTATATAAGAAAAGAAAAAAAACATGTATACTGATACAGCAAACCCATTTCTGATTTCACATTGTTTATTCTGCTTGTTATCTCCACAAAATGAGAACCATTTAAATTCCAGCTGGTTTTAGTTATGAATTCCTGAACAAAGTATCGTTTTTTCTTGTATGTTTTCTGATGTTCTAATTTTTATTTACCTCCAACATTGGTGCAAATAAGACATTATTTTCTTATTTGCATACATTGATAACAGTCCCTTCCAACATTATCACAAGCTGAAACTAATTAAATCAATCCATTCAAATTTTTAGCAATCAAAACAATTTGCATTCCAACACAAATTTAGGCCATGAAATAAAAAAATTGGCTCATCAATTAAAAATTCTCCAATTCCACATCTTACATCAGAAAGGTAAGATTTATCTAGGACCCAACACAAGTTTAGCCTATGAACTCAAATTCAGAGTTTGTTCTCACCAAAACTCGATTTCTAAAACAAATTACAATCGAAAAGTTAATCATTTCCCAGAAATCGAACAACTTAGAACAATCACAAAATAAACAAAGGTGAAAATTTTCAGTTGCTATCTAACTAACAAACAAGACCAAGAACATAGAAATGAAGTCAACGATCAATTCATGCACTCCCCACAAACCCAAGTACTAAAAAATGATCATAAGATGATATAAGGATTGGAACTTTGATATTATAATGCGATTTCAAAGCCAAACCAAGAACAAAAACGCAGCCAACAATCAAAAAGAAAGATAAGAGTTACAATCACAGACTTGGGTCACGAACTGAAGCTTTGACTCTGTAGCCACGTTGAAGCAATAACTTCACTAGCCAGGAAGCTATGTAACCGGATGCTCCGGTCACACCCACTAGTTTCCCTTCTCCACTCATTCTCCCCTCTGTTGGTTCTCAGATTTTTTGCAAAAGAATCATGTTTGATATTTGTCTTTACAAAGCAGACAGTGGAGCTCTACTGTCGTGAGCAAGAATGGCTTAACCAGAGATGGATTGGGCTCAGAGATAAATGGCTTTGGTGCAAAGAATGGTATTAGGCCCATTCTTCAATAGCCTGCAAACTTTGAAATTAGTTTTTGTTGGATTTGCAATTAGCCACTTTTCATATGGTATGGTTGCAAACAGGAGAACCCTCTGAAAGTAAAACTGAATTGAATTGAATTCTTATATTTATTGACCTGGAGACAGATTCAAGTTTGGATTTTCCTCCCAAATACTAAAAAAAAAAAAACATTGAGAAATTGGTCAATCCTTGAGAATGCTACTTTCTCGTACTTGTAAACTACAATGTTAAACAGAGAGAAAAAAAATAAAAAATAAATAAAAGCTACAAACAGAAACCAAAATTCCTCAAACTCATCCTGGTTTTGCATGCCCAAGTTAATAATCTGTCCGCAACTGTATCTGCAAATCCAAAATAAGCATCACTCCAAGTTCTTTTGATTGCCAAAATGAAAAAAGGAACCAATAAACCAGCTGCAAATCCCAACGCAATTACCAAATAAAACCACTTGTCATCAACACTGCCAAAGTCATTCTCATCAGTAGTTCCTGTATTTCTTGAATTATCACCAGGACATTCAACTTCAAGGGGAGCCCCACAAAGACTAGGATTTCCAGAAAAGGAAGATGCCTCAAAAGTTGTCAAGTGCCCAACAAAAGGGATTCTACCTGAAAAATTGTTGTCTGATAAGTTCAAGTATCCCAAGAATGATAGTAAAGACATGCTTTCAGGAATTGGACCTGAAAGCATATTTCTTGACAGATCAAAAGAAGCCAGTTGACGCAATTCTGAAATGCTATGAGGAATTTGACCGCTGATGTGATTTCTTGACAAGTTCAAAACCACTAAGCCTACCAAATTTGATATTACAATAGGAAACTCGCCTTTCAAATTGTTTCCTGAAAGGTCTATGCAAGTTAAAAGGGAAAGAGTCTTGGTGTATTCGAAAGACTGACCTTTTATAGTCACAAATATATTTTCCTGATAGTAGAAACCTGGCAAAATCGCATAAGGTGAATTATAATTAATGTTCTGCACATGAGTCATGGCTTCAAAATTGCCAAAATTAGCAGGAATAATACCATCCAACTTATTTTCTGCGAGGTCAAGTACTTGTAGAGAACTCAAATTTGCAAGTGTAGATGGAAGCTCTCCAAAAAATGAATTTGATCTTAATCTAAGAATTTTAAGATCCTTAAAACCATTTCCAGTCCATGATGGTATAACACCTGTCAATCTGTTATTTCCAAGGTCTATAGTCTCCAAGAATGACAAATTTCGGAAAGACAATGGGAGTTTTCCAGAAATCAGGTTGTTGCGCAGGTGTATAGTTCGAAGGAATTTTAGTTCACCAAGAGACTCAGGAATCACCCCAGACAAGTTGTTGCATTGAAGGTCTAAGACTTGTAGCAGATAACAATTCCCAATATTTGTTGGAATGTTTCCCGATAAATTGTTTTTTGAAAGATCAAGAATTACCAATCCAAAAAGTCCTTCCCCTATACTGGTTGGGATTTCACCAATAAGTTTGTTGCTTGCAAGTGAAAGGTGGTTCAAGAATCGAGTGAGGTTGCTTATGGATTTTGGTATAGGACCTGAAAATTTATTATTGGAAAGATCTAAGGCTTTAATCCTAACATTTGGAATAGGAAGAGCTCCTTCAAGGAGGTTATATTTCAAATCAATACTTGCAAGAGGATATATATTGAAGGGATTTGGTAGAGAACCTTGCAGTTGGTTGAAAGAAAAATTTAAGAAGACTATATTGCTAGAAATACTCCAAAACCAGTTCGGTATGGAATCTGAAATACTAGCATTTGAGAAATCAAGAAAACCAATGTTTCTTTGTGATTTAAGCCATGCTGGAAATGAAGGACCCAACTTGCATGAACCCATAAAAAGATAACGAACTTGAAAGGGAGGAACCCAATTTGAATCCAGTTTGAGAATTAAAGAATTGGCAGACAAACTCAAAGTCTGCAATTCTTTTAACATCGAAAAATGAGATTTGGATAGAATACCAGAAAGATGATTGGAAGAGACATCTAGGAAAGACAACTCAGAAAGTTGGCCAAGATTAGTTGGGAGAGATCCGCTCAAATGATTATAAGAGACATCAAAGAAAGACAAGTTCGAGAGTTGTCCTAAACTATACGGAAGAGTTTCATTTAGTGCATTCCTGCTGAGTGAAACAGTAGTCAAGTGTTTCAAACCTCCAATAGAAGTAGGGATAGAACCGTTAAATGAGTTGAAATCCAAAATGAGTTCAACAAGATTGTGAAGCTCACCCAACCAATTTGGTAATTCACCTACGAATTCATTGCAACGCAAATTTAAGTACTGCAAACTAGAGAAGGAACTTTTGGGAAGGCAAAATTGTGTTTGTCCAAGAACTTCAGGCAAACTTCCTGTCAAATAATTATATGATAAATCAAGATATTTCAGATTGCAAAGTTTACCTATTGATCTTGGAATTTGACCGTTGATGTTATTGAAAGGCAGGGAAAGATGAGTCAGGGATGTCAAGTTTCCAACGAAGCTAGGTAACTCACCATATAAAGAACAAAAATCTAAATCAAAAACTTCAATCTTTTCCCAACTTCCCTTCAATACTTGATAAATGTTGGCTTTAACACTGTTCCCAGAAAGATACAAGAACCTCAAATTTGGAAGGTCACTATAACCAATTGGAATACCTCCATTGAAAAAGCTGTTGCGGGCATCAAAGAATTGAAGCATACTAATGTTAGGAACCCAATTGGGCAGGGTGGAGTTGAAATCATTGTCACTAAGGTCAATAACAGCAATGGAGCTAAAATTAAGAAAACCATGAAAAGAAACGGAACCGTGTAGGTTACAAAAAGATAAATGGACATCACTTAAATGTGGAAGCATGTTCAGTGCTAAAATCCAATCTGATCCTACCATTGACAGGTCAACTCCATTTAGTGCCAGATATTTTAAAGAGGAAAGACTAGTCATCCATTCAAGACTGTCCACAGTTAAACAACAAGAATCAGAAGAGACATTAAAATACTGTAAAGTAGAAATGTTTCCCAAATTTTGAGGAATTTTGCCGCTAAAACCTGCACTTGCAAGATTTAGATACTGCAATTTCTCCAAAGAATGAAAGAATATGGGAATTGGAATCCCATTAAATGAATTAGAACTCAAATCCAAATGTCTCAAGGACTTCAGTTTTGTCAATGAAGGTCTAATCTCCCCACTCAATCCCCCTACCTCGTACTTGTATGGGTTGTGAAGATCAACGGTAATAACAGCTGATGTACTATTATCACAATATATTCCCCACCATTGACAACAATTATTTCCCTGCCATGACGAGAGCCAATTCTCAGGATCCTTAAGACCACTTTTGAAGTCAACAAGAGCTTCTCTATCAGATTTTAAGCAATCCACCATCTGGGCATAGCTATTGTGAATTAGACCTGCCATCAAAGCAAGGGCAAGTAGGAGCATTGGCAGGAGTGACAAAGTTTCCATCGATGTAATTGCCAAGCCTTAAACCATAGAGTTAAGCAGACAGAATACTATATATAGACAGTTCATGTTTTTGTTCAGTAAAGAAAGCTTCTTTTTCTTCGAATTATGAGTTGGAAGTTTGAAGCGTTTTTTACCATAAGACATCAAAGAAAAGTTAAGAAGATGAGACATCAGATAGTTGATTATTGTTTATTACAATTGCAAATAACTTTATGTTGTTGGTATTTTCTTTTTGTTTTTGCTTGATATATTGTTTTATTAGTCAAAAAAACACCAATCATAAAACAATGAATTCCACATTGTTCACATAGTTACAATCACAAGTACCTTTCGTCATATTCAGGTTAAGTTGGTGAAGAAATAGACACATTTCTATTAGGTCCTTTGAGGCTTTATGTTTTCTTAATCCAAATCCAAGGAAAGGCAATTCCAAGAGGAACTAGTAATGAACTGAAAGTTTGCTTCCTTTTATTTTATGGAATTGGAAAAAGAAGGAAGAGAGGTGAGAGAAAGGATATGAGAGAGAAAATAAATTAGGGATTCTTTAGAACTATGGTTTTTAGGAATTTAACTAACTTTAGAGGGATCCATGACATTTAATTTTTTAATGTAAAAGTTCACTAACTTATCAAAAAGTTAAAGTTAGGATGTAATTGCAAGAACTCTTAAAGTTATATCTGTGTATTGGACTAAATTTTAACAGAAATCTTAACTACTTATTAGTCATTCCTACTTATTAAAAGAAAAATTAAAATAGACCTAAATAATATAGGTTGATGATGTCTATAATTATGAATTTGATTAATAAGATATATTTTCTAATAATAGAATAAAAAAAAACTCTAGCAGCCTCACTCTCTCTTACTCTCTCTTTCCTTATATCCTTCTAGATTTTATTTCTAAACCACCACCAACCAGCTTTCTTTGGGCGGCGGTGGTTTCTTTCCATCCCTCACTATTTTATTTTATTTTTTTTAGTTTTCTTTGTAAGAATTTTTAAATCTATGATTGTTTGGAATAAAATTTAGATTTAGTATCTCATATCGAGTGTTTTTGTACCCTCTTATTGGGTTTTTTCTTTTTCTCCTTTCATATAATTGTTTCTCGTTATTGAGGAGATTTTATTTGGATTTATTCTCTGACAATTTGAAATACAAGATGAATTATTGGTTGCTTGTGATTGGAGACTTCAGATCTTCAAGTTTGGGTAAGTTTCTTTTACCAATAGAGTCTAGTAGTACTGCGTGTTCCTTCATTAAAGTTTGTTATATTAAACTCTTTTGCGGGTGTTAAAATTGTAATAAGTTTCTGAAAAAACTATGTTTAGGGCAATATTGCGAAATGTTTCTTTTGAGAATGGACCAGTACCTTGCCAAGATCAAGAACATTTTCAAACAGAAGATTTCAATTTTCTATATTTATATTTCTTATTATTATAAAAATATTATTATGATGTACTCAACTTATATTTATTATTAATGAATTACTAAGTTTTCCTAAAAAAAAAAAAAAAAAAAAAAAAAAAACAAGCTATGTATTATTATTGTGTGCTTGGATTGGAGGACTTTCAGATCTTTCAAGTTTGTGGTAAGTTCTCCTTTCTACCAATAGCCATTCTAGTCAGTACTTGCGTGTTTCCTTCATTATACAAGTTTGTTTATTATTAAACTCTTTTCTGCTGTCGGTCGGTGTTAAATTGTAATTAAGTTTTCTTGAAAAAACTATGTTTATCAAATATTGCGCGGATAATGTTTCTTTTGTAGAATGGACCCAGTTACCTTTGCCAAAGCATTCAAGAATCATTTTTCAACAGAAAGATTTTCAATTTTTTCTCCAATATTTTATATTTTTCTTATTATTTATAAAAATATTATTATGATGTTACTCACTCTCATATTTTATTAATTTAATGAATTTACTAAGGTTCCTAAAATAAAATAAAAAATAAAAAAAAAATAAAAAAAAGATGTATTTTCTATACGTATAATATCAAACCTTATTTAATGTGTTCATTAATATTATTTATACATATGTATGTTAAAAAAAAAAAAAAAAAAAAAAAAAAAAAGATGTATTTTCTATTACGTATAATATCAAACCTTTATAATGTGTCATTAAATTATTACATATGTATGATTAAGATTAAATTATCAAACCTTTTATAATAACATGGTAATAACCAATTTTAACATATAAATTTCCATTTTGTCAAATTGTATTATCAAGCCAGATAATAGAATTGATTGATTATAAAAAGTTTATTAAGATGCTGAAAAATTAATGCAATATCATTCAGCATCAAAGAGAAGAAATTTGCAATGGAAAGGAAAGTTTAAACCTTTAGATTACTTCATAGCATTTAAGGAGGACAAAAGTTGAAAGATTTGCAAATAACTATTAAAAACTACTTAAATAGAGAGAAAACACTACTTGCTGCACACAAGTAAGAACAACTTCCTAAACCTCCATTAACTGGAACAATATCTGCATATATCACTTGCTTCATTCTATAAAACTGAATCTCTCACTTGCTATGCTTCTTCCTCCGATGCTGTATTTGCTTCATTAATTACAAGGTGTGAAATAAAAGTAGATGCATCCACATTCTGGTTCTCTTCCTTGTTCTTTTCCAATTCCTCCTCTTTGTATCAGGAAGAGAAGAATAAGAAGAATGCTCAGTTGAGACTCCATTTGCTTCACCTAGTAAAACAAGACTCTCCACAAAAGTATCCAAATAAAAAGAGTGTACATCGCCCTCGAAGCCAGCATTCCAGGTTTGTTTTGTCTTTGGATCATAGAGAAAAAGTTCTCCACCTGCTCTCGCCAACAGAACCCTACCATTGTTCCTAGATGCAACTAACCTTTGTACCCTTTCTGAAGGTGCAAATTGAAAAGCTTAGTCCAAGATTCTGCAACACCATACTCTTTCATCATCCAAACTGAACCAATTCTGCTCCAAGACATCTGACTCTCGCAAATGGAACTAACATAAGCGCTTCATCAAGTACTGCAACTTCCATATCGATATACAGTTCTCCGACTAAAAAATTTGGCACTCCCATTTCCCAAAACACCTCTTTGCCCAAATCAAATGATACAATCATATTGCGTATGCTATCCCTGTTTCGTGCAGTACCAAGCCAGTGGCAAGCACCATTCACAAAGGCACAGAATGAATACTCCCAAATTACATATTTCAGATCATTATCCACCATTCTCCAAGACCCACTTCTCAAACTGTAAACCTCAGCCAATGGTGGAACAACATAACAGCAGCGACGATTGGCATGGAAATATACTAACCTCACCAATTTATAGTCATCAATTGTGGAATCAAAACCAAACCCAAGTGAGTGCATAAGAGGTCCATGTGACATATATAACACATCTGGTTTAGGAATTGATAGTGTCTTTCTAATACTAGGGTTCCATAAAGCAGCTATATTAGTGGAACTGACTGACAATATCGTCAGACAAACAAACTACTCCGTTACAAGAACCAAGAATATTGACATAATAACACAAGCCTTTAAATGGGTAAGTTAGTTCCTTTACAGGAAGAAGGGGGAAGCTTTCATCTGAGTAAAGAAAAAAGCGGTCATTGTGTTTCCTTAGACCCTTAGTATACCTAAAGAGAAGTAGGTCACTTTCCACGGAGGTTTTCTTCAGGTGTTGGCTTATAAAAGAAGGGCTGGTGATTAAAAAGTTCCATGCTTTTGATAAGCGCCTCAATTTGAGGAGTGATTTCACCGGCAATCTTGAGAGAATTTCTCTTGGCACTTCTTTCAGGAAGATGATCCGACATGATACCATTTCTTTTCTTGGTGCAGGATAGGACCCTAAAAATAGTGTGGGGCTTTCAAGTTGGGCTTAACTCTTCGATTATGGTGGGCTGTCTGTAGGTTCGTTTTAACGAACTCTTTTTCAAATTCGGATGTTCAGGCTTTTTAACACTCTCCTCTCCTGAATCTCGCAACATTCAATTGCCTAAAAAAAAAAAATCTCCAAATGGTTCAATGACCTTAGTTTAGTAGAATAAAAAAGACCATCCTTTCCACTTTCCAATGTGAATTCGGGTTCAAATTTATTGAAGGCATGTAAAAGATTATTCATGATTGTAATTGTAATTATTTTGCTTCTCAAAATAAAACAAACTCTCTAATCTGCAGAATCAGAAATTAATATGAATTACATGTTACGTTCTTTCTGAGTTATACTTTTTTGGCGCATTATCAGTTATCAAAGCCTGCACCTTTCCTTCCAATCTTGGAAGCATACTTGATGGATACTATAATATAAGTCAAGCATTACAAGAAACAAAGGAGCTGCTATTTTCCTTAACATGCTGAAAATTAACACATAATTCAGCATCAAGAGGGAGAGAAAAGAAATACAGATTTGCAATTACTAAGAAATGCATGTTAAAATGATCAGCTAATCTTGTTTTGAAACTAGGGAGTTATATCAGTACAAACTTCAAGATTAAGAGAGTTAAAGTAAAAGGAAAGAGATAGAGATTCCACTGATTTCACATGCACTACAAAATTCAGCTAATCTTCTTCATCTCTGTAATTGTACCAGAAGATGATGGATTCTTTGAACCTTCGCTTGCTGCAATTTGTATAACGTCTGTAGAGGAAGCATGCTCATCCAAGACATCGCGTCAGCATTATCAGACTCTCCATATGCTTCTTTCCTTTCTTCTTCTTCTTCTTCTTCCTCCTTAGATTTCTTCTGGTATGCACCAGCACTAGAAGAAGCGCGCTCCATTGCTGCTCCTTTTACTTCATTGATTGCATGGTGTGAACAAAAGCTAAGAGCTTCCTCGACGAGGACCCACCCCCTTTCTAAACCAGCACCAACAAGAAACGCTCATTGGTATTTTCAATTCCTCCATTAGTATACCTGATTATAATTAGGTCTTTGTTTCTTATCGTTGTATTGGTGAGATGGAGGGTTATAAAAGAAGGGCTAGTGATTAAAGAAGACCATGCTTTAGAAACGCACCTGTATCTGATGAGTGATTTTACTGGTAATCTTGCAAGAATTCCTACCACCACTTCTTGAGGTAAGTGATCTGACATTTTCTCCCTCTTCTTGTTTACTCTCCTTTTCAGCCCTTAAAAAGCAGTTTATGTAATTGGAAATCAGACAACTGAGCGTTAGAGAAGAATTTAGGTAGGATTTTTCGTTTGAAAATGTTTCCATTTGTTTTAGAAGTTTCTGCTAACGAATTGCCATAGTTGTAAATTACATCATGTTTTAATTTATATTTTAATATATTAGACAAAGAAGATATTAATTAAAATTTTTATAGTAAGATTTAGTAATTATCTATTATTTTAAATAATTATAAATGAGAACGATCATACAAAAATATTAATTTGAAAAAAAGCTATTTTTATTAATAATTATTTTTACAAAATTAATATAATCCAAATATAATATAAATATAAATTAATTATCGATCGACGAGGTAAATCAACTTTAATTTCTAACCGTCAATGTTAATAAAACATATTTAACTACATAAATCAATAATCAACTATATGAAATAATGAAATCAACTATTAAGGCTTCAAACTCTTAACTTCCAAATGTATAATGTAAATTTTTAAACAAATTATCTTCCAAATGTATTTATTTATTATGTTTTATTATTTTAAGAATGTTTCCTTCAAAAGAATAAAATTTTCAATGCTACACCAATCTTTTTTTTTTATCTAAGAATTTTTTTTAAGGAAAATTACACCAATCAATCATTTTTAATTACCTTATATTGTGTTTGTATTTATATGTTTAATTTGAAATCTAAAATTTTAAAGCGTAAAATATATTTTAAGTAACACCTATTCTAAAAAAAAAAAAAAAAAACATTGGTTTATATATTCCTTTTAATCTCAACTTTAGGAATCATTTTTTTCATTATTTTCTTTTCGAGATTATCACATTTTAATTTTTAAAATTTAATATAAATCAATCGAATTAAATTTTATAAACATATAGAATTTAAATAATGTATTTTAATTAAATTATCCAAGCCTATAAATTTAGGCATAACATTCGAGAACTTAATCCCACGAAATTATTAGAATTTTTAAATAGTAAATATTAAATAATTTTTTGTTGGTTCAAAGGCTTTTACAACCTTTAATTTTGATAATTAAGAAAAATAATAAATTGAAGTGATTTATTATATAAATTATTCTAAAATCTTCTGTATAAAATTAATCAAGAGAATTCATTAAAGTGAAGATTAAAATCTATCCTAATGAAGGTCAAAGAATTAAGATTACTTGAAGACTTAAAGTCATATGATTAATAAGTTGATCATTTGATCGAGATTATCACACTCTTGTTAAAATAGAAAGATTAATTATGCTTATTCTAACTAAAATTAAAAATATATTTCTTGCAGTTTTTCAATGTTTTGTATTTGAAGGAAGTTATATTCTTTAAAAAAATATATTATTTGTTTACAAATATTATTTTTGAATTAAAAATATCCATTTGTGTGCTAAAGAGATTTTGTGGGAGACAAACTAATTTCTAGTTTTAGTTTTAAAACTCTCTCTATCACAGTTTTAATTTCCTTCTTCTTCTTTATACTTCAAATGCATTATCTCTATGAAAAGAGAATGAATCATCTTTTTTAGAGAGATTTTTCAAAATTGATTTGAAAAACATCTTTAAAAACTAATAGAAATTTATAAGTTCTTCGAAAAATTTATGGGCAATGGTTAGTTCTATAATTAGGCCTATTTCTATTGTATTTGGCTTTGCTCTTGCCTTTGAAAAGAGTACAATAATAGAAGATTTCAAGATAATTTCTTGAGAAGTGGATACAGACGTGAGAAGTACCGAATCACTGTATAATTAACTGTGTTGATTCATCCCTCTTGGATATTTGTCTATAGAATCCTACATTTTTAACCGCAAAAATACACTTTTGAATAAAATGGCTAAATAGTTAAATGCAACTACATTTCAACAATGAATCAATATATTTATGAAAAAGGGGGAAAAGTAACAATAGTCTCAAATATCGGGTACGAAATAGTACTTATAATACATAAAATATATTATAAAATGTAAAATAAAAGTTATATGTTGATTTTTATATAGTAATTTGATATTTAAATAAAAATAAAAGCAATTAGCATATAATAAAAATTATATAAATCAATACGTTGAAAAGAATATAAATGACATGATTCATATTTAAATTGCTATTTTAAAGAAATAAATAAATATATTAATTTTTTTAATGAGATATTATAGTGCAAGATATATAACTAAAAAGAAATTCTTCATTTTCTCCCTCTTGTTGTTCCAAATTGTCAATTAATTTATATGATAAAAATTATATAAATCAATACGTTGTAAAAGAAATAAAATGACAAAATGATCATATTTTAAATTGCTATTTTAAAGAAATAAATAACATATATTAATTTTTTTTTAATGAAGATATTAATAGATGCAAAGATATATAACTAAAAAGCAAATATCTTCATTTTCTCAACCTTGTTGTTCCAAATTGTCAATTAAATTTATATTAACATTGAAGGAACTTATTTAACTTATTTTCTTTTATTATAGTGCAAGATATATAACTAAAAAGAAATTCTTCATTTTCTCCCTCTTGTTGTTCCAAATTGTCAATTAATTTATATGAACATTGAGGAACTTATTTACTTATTTCTTTTATTCCAATAGAATTTTACTGTATATATAAAAATCATTATATTTATTAAAAATCTAAATAAAAATTTATAGTTTAATTATATAAATAAAAAAAACTAAAAGAGTTTAAAAAAAACTAAAAAAGTATATATAAAAAAAAAAAAAGCTTATACTGAGTATAGTTACGTTAAGCACGTCATAAAAATAATTAGTTATTTTAAAAGACGACTACATGTTGACTGACACGTGGAGTTGACGTCAACATAAAAATATAGTAATGAATCATTGCTACCCGCCAGGACTCACAGATTCTCGAGCATTACATTGTTCAAACCAAATACAAAAGCTGCAGAAAGGAAAATTGAAGAGAAGAAAAGAAATGGTAAATCCAATCCCTGAAAACATCCAGAGGATATGGGAACATTGGAACATCCGTATCGCAGTTCTTTTCAGTCTTTTCTTGCAAATCATTCTCATTGGATTAGCTCCTTCAAGAAAATGGACTGCAAATAGAATTATGATGCTATTGGTATGGACAGGTTACTTGCTCGCCGACGCAACAGCAAATTTTGCGGTTGGACTCATCTTCAACAGCCAGAGCAATCCTAAAGACTCTACTCTCTCTCGTGAAAATGGCGACCTTCTGTCTTTCTGGGCTCCATTTCTTTTACTCCATCTTGGTGGGCCAGACACTATCACTGCTTTTGCTCTTGAAGACAATCAGTTATGGCTTAGGCATTTGCTTGCCCTAATTGTCCAAGCCATTGCTACTGGTTATGTTTTCATTCAAACTCTTCCAAAGAACAAGGTAATGATTCCAACATGTCTGCTATTTCTTGCTGGGCTTATTAAGTATTTGGAGAGGACTTGTTCTTTGTATTTTGCTAGCAGAGATAAATTTAGAGATTCTATGCTTAGAAAACCAGATCCTGGGCTTAATTATGCAAAATTTGTTGAGGTTTTTGCTTTAGAGCAACCAGAAGAACTCCAATTAAAGAAAAAAAATGAAGGCGAAAAAAAGACTACTGATATCCGTCTTGAAGTAAGAAAATTAAATGATCTTGATCTAGTAAAGGAGGCTTATAAGTACTTCAAAATCTTTAAAGGACTTATTGTTGATCTAATATTTAGCTTTCGTGAGCGCGATCAGAGTAGATATTTCTTCAATAGCATATCTCCAGGGGATGCTTTTAAAGTACTAGCGATAGAGCTCAATTTCATTTATGAAGTTCTTTACACAAAGATTGTTGTTGTTCACTCCAAGAAGGGTATGTTTTTCCGCTTCATTTCTTCTATTTCGGTTATCGCAGCCCTTACAATCTTTTATTTTCATGTGAAGAAGCATAATTTTGACAAATTTGATGTTAAGGTTACTTATGCCTTGTTGCTTGGAGCCGTAGGTCTTGATACAGTAGCCCTTATAATGGCTATTTTCTCTAATTGGACAATTGTTGCTGTTCTAGAGAGAGTCAGTGCTAGGCCTGAGGATCAATCATCTAATTGGCCATTGCTTCTCTTTAACAAATTCCTTTCTCTAAAGAGATCAAAGATGGATGCTTGTGGAACAGACAAACATACTCTTTATACACCCATTCCTTTTCGAAGGTGGTCTGAATCTGTCAAAGGCCATAACTTGATTAGGTATTGTCTTAAAGAACGCCCAAGAAAGGTTCACCATATCAAGCACTTCTGCTTTGTTAATCAATGTGTCAGCATAAGAAAAAACATTGATCAGTGCATAAAAACCAGTTACAGAAAAGTCATCCATCGGTTTTTATGCATTGATAAAGCAATAAAGTGTCTGACTGCTTTAAAGGATGGACTTATTCATCTGGTGGGTCTGAAGGATTTTTTGGATGAGATGAAATATGTATCGAAAGAGCCACTAACTATGGAGCTTTGGGAATTTATCTTTAGTGAGCTGCAAATGAAATCTTGGTTGATTGATGACCCAGAAACTGCAAGAAAAATTTGTACAGCTAGAGGTGAATGGGTTCTTTTAAACAATGGTTTGGGTAAAGATCAAAGCTATTTAATGACTTATATTGTTGGTATTACATTTGATGAGAGTCTGTTAATGTGGCACATTGCTACTGAGCTTCTGTACAATGATAAAAATGGGATTGACAATTGTGATGATCAAAGAGAATTCTGCAAATTTCTGTCTGATTATATGCTGTATCTTTTAATTATGCAACCGACAATGATGGCGGCTGTGGCAGGTATTGGTAAGTTGAGATTTCAAGACACATGTGCTGATGCAGAAAGATTCTTTAGAAAGAAAGGCATACGGTCACCAAATAAGATGAAAAAAGCGTGTAAAAAGATTCTTGAAGTGAATACACATTTTAGGCCTACTGATGTGAAGGGAGATGGAAGCACATCTGTGTTATTTACTGCAAGTATGTTAGCTAAAGAGCTGAGAAAATTGAAAGCGCAGAAATGGAAGATATTAAGCCAAGTGTGGGTGGAAATGTTGTCATATGCTGCAAGTCATTGCACTGCAACTTGTCATGCCCAACAATTGAGTAAAGGTGGAGAACTTGTTACTTTTGTTTGGCTATTGATGGCTCATTTTGGCTTAGGAACCCAGTTCCAAACTAATGTGAGCTTGTTATCCCAAGGGCAAAATTGATTATCAGCATCTTGTACTGTGATCTTTTATTGATGTATCAGAGTGATTTGTATTCTCACTTTTTTCTTTGTTCTTGTTGTTTGTCTGTCCCACCTTCCCAGTGTTTGGCATCTTAACGCATTACAGTATCATCCATTTGATTAATGGATAATACTGTAATGGCAAAATAATACTAAATAAGTAAACGACAAAATAATAATAAATAAGTAAGACCAACCGATGTTGGTTGGGATGTAGTGAGACTCATTTCTCTTAATCAAAGGTCTTGAAGTTAGTGTCGATTTTGAGCATTGAATACATATGGATATAAATTCTCACCAGAAAAATCACTCTTTACCTATATAATATTCAAGTTCAATGTGTCAGTGGACTTTCATATACTAGTTGTTATAGACTAAAAATGATAATAAAATGAACAATTGTAGAATCCAATTAAAAAATAAATATTTACATAAATACAGTTTTTGAAATTTAGAAAAATAACTATTACAGAGGAAAAGAACTACAAACCACTCATGCACGTTTCTACGGTTGTATTATACTATAGTTTTTCATCTTCTATCTAAACATGGAAGAAAGTTCTCTTGAACGATGATAATTATTTATTACAACATTACTTTGACGTTCATGCAACGAGTTGATTGTAATTATAGCCGTGCTAATTAAAATTAGTAGATAAGGGGTTGACAATAATCTCAGACCAAGAAATCATCACAAAAGATACTACTGAGTGCTTTGAAATATTAAATACTATATTTCTATTCAAATCAATTGCATATTAATTTTAAATAGAGCTAAATAACGCAACTAGAGATGAAAGTGGTGCAGGTATTTTAAAATACTCGTACCGTTTCGATCCATTTAAAGATGGTTCCGATTCATTTAAAGAAGATATGAGGCGCCGCTCCGATCCATTTAAAGAGAATATGAGTAGTTATAAATAAGTTTGAGACGAGTAGAAATAGTGAAATTACTATCCATTATGAATACGGGTAAAGCACGGATATAAGTCTTTAAATACCAGCTATATTAAATCAGTATTTTATCCATTATTAATAAAAATTACATTTTAAATAAGTTTAGATTTAAATAGTTTAAGATTCCAAATACCCTACCCGTTTAAGAGAACTTTAAACGGGTTTTAGACGGATACAGATAGTAGCAATGTAAATGGATTCGAATACGGGTACTTAAATTGATATTTAAACATATTTAAAACAAATAAGGATAACAAAATTTTAAATGGACATGGGTATTGATAGCTTAAAATTCGCGGGTACCCATATTGCTTCCATCCCTGACCGCAACCACAAAATATGACAAATTCCGAAATAATCCACTATATAAGAAGAGTGGGTACAATGAAAATTTAATAATACAAATACAGAAGAGGATAATAGAGCGAGATTAACAATCTAAATGCCAGGATTCTTTATGACCATTGCAATCAAAATTTTCTATAAGGACAACCAATTTCTTTAATCAGAAGCTCTGTTCTCTTGCATTTTGATAGAAGAACTTTTGCCTTGCAATTTTAACTCTGTTCTTGCCACACCCCGCAGTCTGCAGAAATCATGCAAGGATTAAATGCATGTATTGATGATACATAACATAGGATGGGTCTAAAATTCTTACCTTCTCAATCTTTTACGAAACACTGAATATCAGAAGCACCAAAGAAGTGAACAAACAATGTCCCTGACATGAAAACCATCTCTGAATTTGGTTATGATAAAACGTGGCGGATCACCTAACACAAAAAAGACAATTAAAAAAAAAAAAAAAAACGATGGCGGAATTCAACCTAACACAAAAAAACGACAATTAAAAAAAAAAAAAAAAAGAAAAAAAAAAAAAAAAAAAAAAGGAATGGGAGAATTGGACTTCCACTTCCCAATCTCATCCTATCAGCCAAATTATATATGTTTGCTCATTGATGAAAAAATAGATTTGACATCAGCCTGTAATGTAGAAACATTTTGTGCGATTATAGCAACCGATTGACAACAAAATATGCAAAGCAAAACACAAAGAAATAGCTTTAAGAATTGATTCTTTACCTCCTTTGAACTCCATAGTCGACGGATGCTAGAGATTCTCCAAACTGCCAATGAAAGGTGTAAACAACCACCCTTTTTAGCTCCTGTCAAGATAAATGGTAAAGAGAATCAACAAATAAGTGGACTAGCATAGTTTCGTTATCATATGCAGAATAATTAGAATAAAACGATAGTGTAAGAGTGACATTTCTTTATTTTTTTCTTTAATTATTCTCTTTTTTTTTTTTTTTTTTTGTGTGTGTATGTGTGGTTTTTTTTTTTTTTTGTGTGTGTGTGTGTGTGTGTGTGTGTGTATGCGTGTGTGTTTGTGTGCGCATGTCATTACATGGTTTAAGAATTCACCGTTTAGAACATGCGTTTGTCTTCAGGTGAGGTAATACATTCCTAGCAGAAAGAAAACCAGGACAGTTTATCAATTTTGAAATGTGATCCGCTCTCTGTCATTTGACAGACCAATCTCCATTTAGTTGGTAGTAGCAGTGTGTTTGGAGGTAAAGCACGATTAAAGACAAAAATATCTTCTGAACCACTTCTATTTTGCAACATGTTCTCTATCACTTCTACATATCAAATGAAAAATTGAGCTTGGAGATATCCGAAGAAAGAATTAAAAACAAAAAAGAGACCAAGAATGGTATAAGCATGAACCTGCCAAAGCCACCATCTATTGCATCAACACCAGATTTGGCATTATTAGAATTTCAGAAATGTGAACAATTGTAGGTTGATCCTAATTCATTTCACAAGGCATAAGTTGAAAAAATTAAATGTGACAGAGGGAATTGAAAGTTCAGACAAGATCATTCTGAAATCATAAAAGCTAATGATGACGCAAATTCCTCAGAAGCCATGCCAAGAAGTGTAAATGTATCAAACACTAATACTTTTAAAAAATATGAAAAAGGATAATATGGAGAATTAGGATGAGAAAACCAAGAACGTAAAGCAAAATAAGAAGTAAACAAAAGGAATGTTGAATGTATATATGATTTTGTTGCATTTCATTTTGCTTTTTTTATGCCATGTCTGCATTACCTGTAACTCTAATCAGGATCATCATAATTGTTCTCTCCTTTGATTTGGGTTCCATGAAGAGAAGCCAGCTTGATTTCTGTCTAGCTCTATCAAAATCCATATCAGAAGCTGCAAGCAAAAATAAATAAATAAATTTTAGTTCTCCAGGCTCAGAAACCATCATGCTTCTCTGTAAGATTTGAATATTCTAGACACCTGGTCAAAGAACACTTAATAGTTAATATCATATTGAAGAACCATCCAACTGTAAAAGCTCAAGCTTGTCTGGATATTTCTTTTCTGACAGCATTCCCTCATTTGATACCGGATAAAGCAAATCTTGGTTTTTGTTTCCCTTGTGATGGCCAGGAAGAGGGGAATATTTCAAGTGTCCGCTGATCATGTCTTCTTAGGGTATGGAAATGGAAATGAAAAGCAAGAGATATTTTTTCTTGAAATATGGTGATCAAGATTCATAAGATAAAGAAATCAATTGGCACCTTAACAAAGTTGAAAATTTCGGTATGCTTATTTTGAGATAATGCCAGGAAGTCATGAAATATTTACGTTGAAGCACAATGTTTATATCACAAAAACATATCAATGAAATAACAAAAATCTGCTCTGTTTGATAGGGTACAGTCTAATAATATTCAGTTGTATTCTGAAGCATACTTTAAAGTATTCACAGGAAGTTTTTCTTTCTAAGAATTTGAAATTAAACAGGAAAAGCATGCTATCAAGCTTTTGTATCATTATTGAATTGAATATTGTTTAAACCTCAGCAGGTGGGGCTTTTGTTTCATTAAAAGCTATTTTACCAAAAAAAACAATGAAGATGAACACACATGCACTCATATACATTCGCAAAAGAAAATAATCTCAGAAACTTCCAGTTACACAAATATGTTTAGAAACAAATAACATATTTTAACAAAGTATATATATCATGACATAAATTACTTGAACGGTAAAAAAAAGAAATTAAAACCAAAACAATTAGTTAATAAAAAAAGTTATTGAGGTAACTAGATGCTTACTAAGTAGTTAAACAGAACAGCCTCAATGGTTTTGTATCTAAAATGCTTGGTTTTCAGTTTAGTAACTTCTTGTCAAATAATGCCTGCAAACAGATTAAAAAGTTAAGAATTTGTAATGAAACTTGTAGAGCTACATGATAAATCAGTGAAGAAAGAAGAACGATGAGGAAGTTAAACATTTTAGTAAATTACAACGGTGCATCTGGATAGATGTATATTTGAAATGGAGGTGGATCTGGATTTGTGTTTCAAGTGAAAAATCACGAAAAAAAAATGAACTTGGTGTCAAATCCAAATGCACAGTCATATCCAACGACTATTTATCCAAATAAAACCTAAGGAAATTGAGAGGTTGTACATGAGTACAAACCTGTGAATAGCAGAGGATACTTATTATTCATCCAACAACAGATAGCATCGGTCCCATTGAATCCTCTGTCCATCAATTTGAATCTTTGGGATGTGAGAAATATTGCGCCAATCCAAGCACTTCTTGTTTCCACATCTTTCCTTGAGGCGAGGACATTGGCTAATATCCAATAGCTGTAAAGAGGTAAGGTGACGCATCCCTGGAGGCAAAGACATTAATTTGGGGCAGCTCACGATATATAGCTCTTCTAAACAGGTGAGATTTTGCAGCCATTCTTCGGGTAGATATTCGAGATCCTCAACTGTGATAGTCCTTAATTTGGAGAGAGGACTTGCAGTAACAGTGGAAGAATCCTTGTGATCCAATAGATAGCTGCCCTCCCATTGAATCTTTTGGCCATCAATTCGAATATTTCGGATGTGAGATATTTTTTGCCAATCAGAGCATTTGCTGCTTCCATACCTTTCTTTCAACTTGGCACAATTTATAATATCTAATTCTCTTAAAGAAATGAGGCTATACATCTCAAGAGGCAGACTAGCTAACCTTGGGCAATCCATGAGATGAAGTTCTTGCAGAGAAGTGAGCTTCTGCAGTAATTCTTTGGGTAGAGTTTCAAGATCCTCAATTGACACAATCCACAATACCTTCAACATGAAGAGGGAATGTCCAGGCGTGGAAGAAGTTGACGCCGCTGCCCCCATCACCATCTTTATTGTCTGCTGGAATGGTTCTAAGCTGGCATTCTCCAATAATAGCTTTTCATCAAGCTTTGGAAATATTGGCATGCAAGTCAGCTTAGGGCAATCCCGGATTTCTAATTTACAAAGACTAGGAAAGTGAGAGAGACCCGCTATATTTTTCATGGCTGGATCTAAGTTACCCATCTTCTTCCACCAACCCTCCAGGTTCGGACAGTCCAAGAGATAGAGTTCCTTCAGAGATAAGAAGAAGTTTGATTCCTCTCGTCTGCCTTCTCCATTAAGGAAATGATCCCCTTCATGGTCTATGTACTTTAAATTAGGAAAACCTTGAATTCTTAGATATTTTAGAGACTGGATATGATGTAACTGTGGAAGAAGCTCACATCTTCCACAATCTTGTATCCAGATATCAACTAAATTTGTGAGGGAAGACAGCCAATTAGGGAACCTTACACCTCCATAGTCACACACCTTAAACTTTTTCAGATTTTGATGTGGCTGAAGGCTTTGCAATGACTTCTCATCATAATCAACATGTACACAGTCATCATCATCCCTATTCCAACACAAAGACAGCGACTGAAGATGCTGCTTCTTTCTTAAATTAGCTACCTCAAATTCTGATAAGCCAGTTTTCACATGCTTCAGATTTCTTATCTCTATCCTCCCTCTCAAGTTGTGGAGAGCATCCAATTCCTTCAAACTCCCGATATGGTTAGAGACAGAATTATGGTTGGCCACCACAAACCACGTTAATGATTGAAGGGAACTTAATTGTCCAAGGCCACGTGGCATGTGCCTCAAATTCCAACATCTCTCTAAGTCCAGATGCCTAAGATTAACAAGCTTTTTTATGTCTTTTGGCAGTTCCTTGAGCTCTTCACAATCGGAAAGTTTCAGCACTTGCAGATTTTTTAGCTTGGTAATAGAATCTGGAAGTGCCTTGATTCGATCATTTTTGGAAACATCGAGATATCTCAGATGTTTCAACTTGTCAATGGAAGTTGGCACTTCCTCAATTCCAGAATTATGCAAATCAAACACGCGTAATTGCCTGAAGTTTGAAAAAATGGCTTCAAGGTTTGGCATTTTCCATCTTCCATCTTCATTGCTTAACCAAACTTCTTGACTGGGCAGAAGAAATGTCCGCAACTGTTTTGCTTGAAATAAGCCGACTGGAGTCTGCCAAGTTGAATTTAAATGGAAACCGAGTGACATATGGTAAGTCTTCTCATCCATGTTTATTGTATTTGAATTTATTCTGTTACTCCCAAACCCAGCCACTGAGGCTGCAAGATCATGCATTAAATTGTTCATTCTACAACTTTTTATGCTATCTAAGGCATCTCTTTTCACTTCTTGAAAAAAAGACCGCTGCAGTAAATCCATAAAGTACTCAAGACCAATGTCTTCAAGACACTGGCTTGGGTCTGATGACTTAATATACCCTTGTCCCATCCAGAGAAGAATTAACGTTTCAACGTCAAGCTCATAATCCTTTGGAAACAACCTACAGTACGCAAAGCAATTTTTCAAAGGTGAAGGAAGAAGGTCATAGCTCAATTTAAGCGTTGGCATAACATATTGCTCTCGTATATTCACTTTTGAAAGCTCCTCATCCTTGAAAGACAGCCATTCAGACTCCACATTTTTGCTATACAATAGACTTGCTATTGCTTGAATGGACAAGGGAACCCCCATGCACATTTTTAATATCTCCTTTCCTATTGCCTCCTGTCTTGGGTTCGGGACGTACCCTGGTTCAAATGCTATTTGCTTAAACAGTGACCAAGACTCTTCATTAGATAAGCTACGTAATTCATACATTATAGTGCTTCTTGTAACGAGGCCAACATTTCTTGAACGAGTGGTTATTAATATTTTACTTCCTCTTGCACCACCAATCATTGAAAGGATTAGATCCAACCACTTCTTACGATCTTCAATACAGACGTCGTCTAGCACGACTAAGTATTTTTTCCCGTTAATTTTTTCATGCAGAAGATTTATTAAAGTATCCATCTCAAGGTGACTACAGTCCTCACCAGTCATAGATTCTAACATATTTGCAACTATGAGTTTTACATCAAAAACATCAGACACATAAACCCATAGTTTTAGCTCAAAATGTGTTTTAACTTTCTCATCATTGTACACATGTTGGGCCAGTGTCGTCTTCCCCAATCCTCCCATTCCCAATATTGAAATGACAGACACATCCATGTCAAAGTTAGAATCCATTAAAAACTTTATGATTGCAATCTTGTCATCTTCTCTTCCAGAAAAAGAGGAGATAGTTTGCTTCCTACTCCTGGCCCTTACAGGTGTCTCCGTACTGCGTTCAACAATATGGAACTCTTCCAAAGCTGCGGCTAACATCTCCAGTCTATTTCTAAGGAATTTAATTTTAGGAGCCATCACTAAACCGTAAGTAAGCTGGTTTGAATGTGAAAAGAAAAGGCGTACCTTCTTCCCAATTTTATCGCCAGTCAACACTCGCCGCCGCAAAGCCTCCGTAGATAAATCTTCCGACAACATTTCTGCTTCATAAAATACTGCTTTGAAGTCATCGAGCCAATATCTTATTCTAGAATCGGAAGAGGACTTCTCCTCTGCGTCAAGAAGCCGAGATCGGATACGAAGAACAAGTTGCTTGAAATTTTCAATCTCACTTTTGAGGCTCCATGGCCACCAAATCTCCTGGAGAGATTCGGAATTCAACTTTCTCATGATTGAACCTGCAATGTTAAAGAGCGCAGCTCCTGCCATTTCCATTTCTTTCACACTGTGAGCAAAGAAGACTGTGTTTGTAGAATCCAACAGCTGAAAGGCTTATGCTCCGGGTAACAAAATCAAGTGTATAAAACAAGCTTGAAAAATATTTAAAAAATTAAAAAAAAAGAACTAAATTATTGGCGTTAGTCTCCTCGCAATCCTTGTCGTGACAGCCAATCATTTTCTTTGGTAGAGAGTAGGGGCCAACTGGATTCTTTTCTTTCCTTTTAGTTTGAAATAGATCTTGATCTTGGATCTTGGATCTAGCGACTCAAATAATTCTCAGTCTACATTTAAACTGTAGATTCGTTATCTTTCGCCTCTAAAAATTAGTTTATAGTCAAAAATTTAAAAGCAGTTTAAAAGGCTATTACCGAAGGCAACTTGAGTTTTCAAACATTCATTTAATTCTAGGGATAATATTAATTTTGATATTTGTATTGGTCATTTTTTTATTTTAGTGTCTGAATGGAAAATATGATAATTGAGTGTCCAAAATTTATAATTTTTTTATCTCCTGATGATATGGACTATCAAAAAATCTAATGGGACTGATTGAAACTCATGACCACTTGCGTGTCTGCTTACGTGGATCGACTAATTTTACATATAGGATGCCTGCATGCAAAAGGGATAAAATGTGTCATTTGCCCCTCTTTAATATCGCCCAAACACAATCCAACATCCCTTCTTCTCCTTTCTTGGTTAAAGGATTATTACCCACAAGTGTCATTATTTAAGTCTCTTTTTTTCTTTTTCTCTATATTCTCTAGTAATGGTTTAGGTTTGCTTTTATGTTTTCACCTCTATCTTTCTTTCTCACTTGGTAAGTGTCTCACTTGGTAAGTGTCGCGTATTCTTGTGCTTGATAGGTTGTGTCCTTGAGGTTAATGCGCTCTCTACCCCACTAAAGATTTAATGTTGGAAAAGAAGGGTCTATATCTCCTCCTCTTGTAGTGCTTGCTTTGCCCCATTTTCATGTTATCTTGCATTTGGATCTTTTCATTTCTTTTATTACAACATAAGTTTTGGATCTCTTTCTATCTTTCCCACTTTCTCAATATGAAGCCATTCTATGAGGATTTTTCATTTGGGTTTTTGATTTTGGATATGGGTTTTCAAAATAATTTGAGAAGAGAGAGGAAGAAGGAAGTGTTGGATTGTGTTTGGATATTAAAGAGGGGCAAATGAGACATTTTATTATTTTTGTTGCGTTGACATTCTACTTGTAAAATTAGTCGGTCCATGTAAGTGAACACGTAGGCATTTGTGAGTCACAATCAGTCTCATTAGATTTTTCGGTAGTCCATGTCATCAAGAGACATTAAAAAAAAAATTTTACAAGTTTGAACACTCAATTGCCACAATTTTTCATGCAGACACCAAAATAGAAAAAATGATAAGTATAGACACTAAAATTAACATTATCCCTTAATTCTACCATGTTGTATAACTGGCGGTGTTACTCTAGCTTATTGAATCTCCCAATAAATAAAAAAAGCTTAATTATAAATTGGTGTCTAAACTCTTCAAAACTTTTCAGTAGAAAACGTTTATAAACAATTGTCTGAAGCCCTAAAATATTTTTAATTAGGTGTCTCCATCCTAAAATACAAATATGATACGCGGAACTCATTCAATAATAAAAAATAAACCGTGTAGGATGACAAGTCAACTGCCACGTCAGTTCATCCCCACTCAATGAAAATGAATGCCTCGTATTGTAAATAGAGGGCTTGAAAAGTTAGGCTTCCATTAAAAAACTATGAAAAGAGGGGTTCTCTAAACACTAGCTCTCAGTTCATCTCCACTCCCCTATTTTTCTTTCTATCTCAGGCTCCTCTCTCCCATCCTCTCCTCCTCCAACGCTTCACCGAGTCATCAAGAACCCAACTTTTCTCTTTCCATCTCGATTCCTCTCCCTATTCCGTCACTGATTACAAAAATACCTTCCCTTCACCATTTAAGGCAAAAGACGCCCTCTTCTTTCGTATCATCAGTTATCTCCATGGTCTGCTTTGCTCGCCATCTTTGATCTCTCACAAATGAAAAACTAAATAAAAAATCACAAAAAGAGTAAGGAATTTCTTTAGTTGAATATTAAAAAATCAGATAATTTTTTGTTAGGGTTTGGACTTTTACAAGAGAGTTAAATTGAACCGATAGAGTTTGGGTTTTTAATTCTTTAATTTTGTTGGATTAGATTCGCTTGCTTTTTCTTCTTCATTTTAATTTCCAGAACGGTACTCTAAAATGCCGATGCATATGTCTAATAGCCATAGAAGTTAAGGAAATTACAAAATCAAGTGTAGGTACTAGTGGGCAAGTGTTAATGGAAATCGCCGATAAAGATGGCATTTTAGACAGCAGTGATGGTGGTGATTTGATTTCTGAAGCCGATGCTGAGAGATGAGAACTGAAAATGATTAAAAAGTTTGAATTGAAAAAACAAATAAAGTGAATAAATAAATTGCAATTTCTGGTGGCAAGGACTGAAGATAGTACTAGTAGATGGTATCACGGTGGCCACCAAAGGCAAAACCAGCTGGACAAGAGGAGTACACACGGAAAGTAGGCATTGATTGATGGTACTTTCAACTTTCAACATTAGGCATTACTTTTGCCACGAGAATTTGTCCATTTTGGTAATTTCATATTGCTTTGCTGATGTGCCAGTTTGAGCTGAGTTGATAGTTCACGTGGGATGTTGAGTTGGCAATTTGTGGAATCTCTATTTGCTATATCATCAATCTGGCATGCCATTTGTGCAAGAGAACTTAATTGCAATTTTTTGTCCAAATATTCAATTGCAAACATTTTCCGTTCAAATATTAAAATAAAAGATTTTTAAAATTACAGACACTTATAATATAATTAACCCATAAAAAAATATCATATAAAATTTTTTTGTTAATGAAAAATATTGAAATGCACTCATGCATTAACCATATTATGTCCAAAACATAAAAATCACCAAATTTAGATTTGGAAAAAAAAAATGCAAAAAGCAATCTGAAAAGAAATAAAAATAATAAATAATAAAATTTTATTTCTTCAAAAATAAAATAGATCTTAATTAGGCTACTAAAGCTTAATGCTATGTTTGAAAAGGGGAGGTAGAAAAATAAGAAAAAAAAAAAAAGAGAAAATTATTACTATTCAATAATTAATTACGTACCTATAATGGACTGCAAAGTCTGATTACGGACCCAAAACCTCTTTGCAAGCTCTACAGCTCCCAACTGATATGGATGATAGGATAAGGCCAAGACGCATAGTAACCTTTAGGTTAATAACTAAGAAGCTAACGGTTAACCAGCAACAAAGCTGACTTGAGAGAACCCCTTGACCGATGCTTGAAAGATATTGCACGCCAGTGTTGAATGAATTGCAGTAGAGGCAAAAAAGATAGGTCAACATCCTAAATAAGACAAGGAGTGGCCACCGATTAGTAGCTGACTTAAAGTCAAAGGAGAAGAGCAACCGACTGGGACTAGTACGTGTTGTCCATAGGCAACCTGGCCTAGCCAGTCATTCATTATTTGGGTGGGAAGGAAAATAAGAAGGAAGGAAAATGTCATTTTTATAAGCATAGTGTAAATATGTGTGTTGAAGAAGGTGAACAGCACAATGGGAGGCAACAACATCAGCATGTTTGTTTACTTCAAATTTTTTTTTATTCATTGAGAGGCTTGATTTGTCAAAATAATACTGGAAGCTACAGAATAAGGTTAGCCTTCCATGGACATATCAAATCGATAAAAACACTTGTGATCGAGAGAATTCGAACTCGAGACTTTCCATTTTTCACATAAGTACAAAGACCAACCAGACACACCTGGTTGACTTTTATTTATTTCAATTAGTCTTTTATATGACGTTCGTTGTACGTTGACTATACTTGTTATATACTCATTTTTATTTATATAATATTAAATCATAAATTTTGTTTAAATTAAAATAATATAGGTGGTTAATTTGTATTATACTTTGCCGTAAAACTACTTGCAATACTATTTATTATATACTTAATTCTATTTTTATATAATGAAGTAATTTTAGAATAAAGTTCAACCCAATCCTTAGACCTAATCATTTAGTCCATAATTTATAAATTCAGATTTTTAAAATCCTAATGGGTGCTCAAAAAGAAAATTAAGTCATCACTCAATCTTTAACCCCCTGCCCTCAGCCCCATATCAATATCTATATACAACTACAATGAAGAATAATAATAAATTATTTTTATTGCTAGGTAAAAGAAAAAAAAATGAAAAGATGATCTGAACTAATAATGAAAATCACTTTGACCATAGCGACAGTATTACTTACTCAGTGTATCAGACAAAAGAACATATGCACATACATATAAATTCTTGAAACTCTAAAAAGTGACCCAAAAGGAAATCGAACTCGATGACTTTTTCCATTTTTTTTCACATAAGTAACACAAGACCAAACCAGACACACCTGGTTGACTTTTATTAATTTCAATTAGTCTTTAATATGTAAACGTTCGTTGTACCGTTGACATATATCTTGTTATATACTCATTTTATTTATATAATATTACATCACCTAATTTTGGTTAAATTAAAATAATATAGGTTGGTTAATTTGTTATTATATCTGTTGCCGTAAAACTACTTGCAATACTCATTATTATATACTTAATTCTATTTTTATCTAATGAAGTAATTTTAAGAAATAAGTGTCAAACCCAATCCTTATGAACCTAACTCATTTAGTCCCATAATTTATATCAGATTTTTAAAATCCTAATGTGCTCAGAAAAGAAAATTAAGTGCATAACTCAATCTTTAACCCACTGCCCTCACCCATATCAATATCTATATACCACTACAATGAAAGAATAAATAATAAATTATTTTTATTGCTAGGTAAAAGAAAAAAAAAATGAAAAGATGATCTGAACTAATAATGAACTCACTTTGACCATAGCGTACAGGATCACTTTGACCATAGCGACAGTATTACTTACTCAGTGTATCAGACAAAAGAACATATGCACATACATATAAATTCTTGAAACTCTAAAAAGTGACCCAAACAGAAAATTAAAAATGTTTTTTAAACACTATTTTCTTGTAAGTTAAATAGATTTAAGATATAAGAGAAAAAAATATCAAGAAAATTAAAAATGTTTAACCATCAATAGTTCATCTATTTATTGCTAGGGAGATATAAATCTCTTACTAAATTAAAATGACAATAGTTACTAATTATTCAGTAACTAAATTGATAGTAGTTACAAATCTCTAACCCTCTGCCCTCAGCCTCAAATCAATGTTTATATACAATTATAATGAAAAATAATAATAAATTATTTTTATTGCTGGGTAAAAGAAAAGAAATAAAAAGATGATCTCAATTGATAATGAAAATCACTTTGACCATAGTGGCAGTATTACTTAGTGTATCAGACAAATGAATATATGCACATACATATAAATTCTTGAAATCCTAAAAAGTGACACAAACAAAAATATATAGTTCTAGTTTTTTTTTTTTTTTTTTTTTTTTTTTTTTTTTTTTTTTTTTTTTTTTTTTTTTAGTTTTCTAAACACTATTCTCTTCCTTGTAAGTCTTAAATAGAATTTAAGAGATAATAAAAGAAAAAAAATATCGAAAAAATTAAAAACTGTTTACTAATCAAAAGTCATCCTATTTATTGCAAGAAATATACTATAATAATTATTCTTACTTAAATTAAATGATAATTAGTCTAACAAATTATTCAATAACTAAAAAAAAAAATAAAAAGAATTATTCATTAAGATAAAAATTTTCAAAACTCGACCCTAAAATAACGTTTTCCAAGTATCTAAATATATAAATACATCAATAAAATATTATATTTTAAAATTTAAAATTTCAAATTGTTTACCGATCCCATGTTTAATCATGTTAAACTCTATTTGAAAATTTACTTTTTAAAGATTTTATGTCCACATCACACAAAAAATTAAAGTTCACCACATAAAAGAACAAAAATCATTACTTGAAAATTATCTTTTTCTTTTTTTTATCTCCTCCTCCTAAATAAAATATTATGGTATATTTATTTAAAAATTTATCTTTTAAAAAAGTATTTCCCAATCAATATTATACAACAATAAGAAAAAAAAAAAGAATATTAATAAAAAATATATTTTCTTTCTTTTTTATCTATATCCTAAAAGAATTAAATATTTAATACATAAAATATAAAAAATTTTCAAATGTCTCATTATCGTATATATATTCATTAAAAATAAATTTACTAAATATAAAACTTCAAATTTTGAAATGCTTAATTATATTTACATGTATTTATTCAAAATTTTTATTTTGAATTCATTAAGAGGCCTGATGGCCGAAATAATACTGCGACCTACACAATAATCAAATTGGTAATTCACCTAACACAAAAAAAAAAAAAAAAAAAAAAAAAAAAACATTTCCAATTATATATAAATATATAAAATATTATTTATATATTAATTTTTTTTAAAATCTACAAATTTCACTATATATACCAACTATATTTTTAGGTTTATGTTAAATTCTATTTGAATAATTTCCTGAATCTTTTAAAGAAAGTATATCCAATCAAAATCTTACAAATCAAAAGAACAAAAAACATTAATAAACAATAATATATTTTTTCTTCTTTTTTATTTTCTCTCCTAAATAAAATATTTTATCACTATGTTCTTATTTGAAATTTTTCTTTTAAAAAAAAAATCTAAATCTCATATCAATAATAAATATTAAAGAAAAAAAAAAAGAAATATATTTAATTCTATTTGAAATTTTTTTTTAAAAAAAAATCTAATCATATCATATAAATATAAAGAAAAAAAAAGAATATATTTATTTATATTCAAGTTGGGGAAAAGCTGAAAAATTAAACGCTTAATACATCAGTTTAGTTTTGGAATCTCTATTTGCTATATTAGTTATTTGGTTTAGCATAGAATTTAGATATTAGACGTCTGAGGGATAGATAAGCTTGAAATTTGAACAGGAAACATGAAGTCTTTTGATATTAAAGTGTTAAAACTCAGTAGAATTTTGATATTTTTGTGTGCCAAATTTATTTAATCAGAAAAAGGTTGGTAGGCATGAGGTTAATGCTGCTAGTTAGGGGTGGCCATGGTTCCGGAACCGCCGGTTTCGGTTTCGGAACTGAACCGAAAAGTAATGGTTTCGATTACTATTTGGAACCGCACGGTTCCAGTTCCTCAACGGTTCCAAAATCGACGGTTCTAGTCAGTTTTCTGACGGTTCTGATCGATTCCGGTCGGTTTCAGACGGAACTAGAACCGTCGATTCCGACTGGAACTGGAATCGCCGATTCACGGTTCCAAAACTGGTGGAACCGGAACCGAACCGGTTTTGATTTTGGTTCCACGGGTTCAAAACCGCTGTTCTGGTTCCAAAAATCGAATTTTGGCCACCCCTACTGCTAGTTGTAAGACTATGAACCTTTTAGAGTATGTGATCATTCTAATTTTAACATGTTCAGGCATCAACATGACTAACTTTGTCGCGCCTTATCCCATAATAAGACGTGACATGTCACCCGTAATATACTTAATAAGCATTTAATTTTTATAAATACTTACTAAATATACTAAAAGGAACTTAAAACTTTTCATTCATTCATTTTATCTTGTAGAAAAGTAATTTAGTTATTATAATAAATGTAAAACTTCTTCTAGTTCTTTTACTTGTTATAATATATATATATTTTACTTGTTATAATAATATTATATATTATACCTCATATAATATTGATACTATTATACTAGCTTTGGGAGTTTATATTAAACCTAATTACATATGTCCGCCTCGTGTGTGCTCTATATATATATATATATATATATATATATATGATTGTATATATATATATATGATTGTTCTATACATCATACAAAATTTCAAAAGAATAATATACACAATAGCTACAATAGTAGCCCATTTATCTACGATACACAAAAAGGACTTCCATATGAGCAAGATTTACTTTCCTTTTTTCTTCTTTCCTCTCCCTGTGACAGTACAGAAAATACTATCGCTAAGCAAATTGCTTAATGATTCATATATATAAAATTATATGTAAATTCACATTTTTCCAATATTAATAATAATTATAAATAAGTTTGGTATGAAAAAATGAAAATACTTTTTCATATACTCTTACTTTAAAATCAAGTTCTCTTAAAACCCAATGAAGAGTTTTAGAAGAAGGCACATTAACAATAACAATAGAAATTCTTTACTAAATATTAAGTAGCTGCCTTATATAAAAATAATAATTGAAAAGCACCAATTCAGTTTCCAGGAAACATCCATTCAAGAAACTTTACAATATCCAATTTAGTCTCAGCAATCTAAATAGACTCGATCCCAAGGGCCATCGGTGTCATATGAGTCCATCAAGACAAAACTATCTCAACCTCAATATGTGATTTTTATCTCAACAGAAGAGGGACAATTTCAACCTGAGGGAACATTATCATTTGTTTATCATTCATTTCCATATCGATCACAATATCAACTTCAACAAATGAAGTGATATTGGTCGGACAATAACCATCTATGAGACTATAAATCATTTCATATATTAAATATAATTGAAAACACATTGGGCAACAATGCATTTCCACAAATACTGCTAAAAACATTCATTCACGCACCCCTTATACTACAGATAACAATTGACCAACATTCTCCTTTGTTTCAAATAAATAGATTTTCAATTTAACTTTAAGGATCATTGAAAATTATAAGATATCAAGTCATACTTCTTTTCTTTCAAAATCCATGAAACTTTTATTTCAGTATTTCCTTTTTTTATCATAAAACACTATATGAAATTTAAGGTAAAATCAAAAACATTTTAACTTTGAACAAAGTAAGAAGTAATATTGCACTAACCTGAGTAAGAAGTAATATTGCACTAACCTAAGTTGGAAGGCCTTTTGAGCCTTACTCCTCTGCTTATTGACAAGTCATACTTCTTTTCTTTCAAAATCCATGAAACTTTTATTTCAGTATTTCCTTTTTTTATCATAAAACACTATATGAAATTTAAGGTAAAATCAAAAACATTTTAACTTTGAACAAAGTAAGAAGTAATATTGCACTAACCTGAGTAAGAAGTAATATTGCACTAACCTAAGTTGGAAGGCCTTTTGAGCCTTACTCCTCTGCTTATTGACTTATCTTCCAATCTCTTCCTCTTAGATACTGTAGCGTGAAATTAAAATTCATATTAACTTCACACTAACTAACAAATACACATTACATTTTCAGTTCTTTGTTTTCGACTTTTTATTGATATTTAAATTCTTTATATTCTCATTCTTAGTTCACATTATATTCTATTTATATTAAGTACCCCTTTTATTATATAATTTAAACAAAGCGATTAACTAAATCTTTCATAAATTTATTTATCACTTTGAAATCAATATTTCTTTAAGCACATGTTTAAATTTATTTATTTACTTTAATATTTAAAATAAATCATTAGATTTGCTTAAATCCATTTATTAAACCACTTAGCCAAACTTGACTTTCATTTAGCAATCATATTTTACTTTTCAAACCAATTTAGTAATTAACCATTTAGATTCCATTTAAAACAAGTAGTCATCCCGTTTACTAAAATCAAATGTATATATTTACTTATTTATTTTACCAAATAAATTTAATAAGGTTTTGCAATAAAAATCCCTAAATTTCTTTACTTCGTTTTTTTATTCTCAAAATATCACTTAAAATTCCATTTTCAAATACTTTATTAAATTTGATCAAATACAAATCAAATTTTACATTTACTTAACTAATTTATTCGTTTTCAATGTTTCACAATTACAATATCAATATTTATTCTATATTTGATTAACTCATTAGTAACTTCACTGTCTTAATTTTAAATTTGCATAATTAACAAGTTCTTGTCATCTATAATTTATGATTCATAATTTGCTAATTTCACTGAAATTAATTGTTCTATCAATTTCACACAACTAACTTAATTATTTTAATCAAACTAATCTACTTCAATAACAATAATTTCCAACTTCCAATTACACTGAAATTTAGCGAACTGAATTTAAACAACTGAATCGTAAATATATACCCTTTGCAATTTTGGGTTTCGGAATCGGGTTCAGTGCGAGAAGCCGGTATTTCTGCCCCCCCGAGGGTCTCGCCGGAGACTCGTCGGCAAGTCGCCGGGTTGTCGCCGGCGCCGCCTTGCTCGGTGGCCGGATATTTCAAACAACCCAGAAATGCACGTTTTTTTACATCTTTTTGCTCCGTTTCATTAGGAGATCTCCGATCTCATGTCCGATTAACGAGATGGGTATCTCAGAGGCCGGAAATGGTGATAAATCACCGGAGAAAGGATTTGCTACAGTGACAGAAGCTTCAAGCTCTTTTCCCTCAAAATCGACCCAGCTTCAGTTCAAATCAAAGCCATAATCTTCTTCCTCGCGTTGAATAGATGTTTTTAGTGTCCTTAAAGACCGGGAATGGTGGCCGTTGGTCGGAGAACGAAGGAAAAAAGAGAAGGAACAAATGGCGAGAGAGACGCTGGGCCCCTTCTTTTTTTTATCGTTTCCTTTATGTCTTTTCTTCTTTTCTCTTGTCCTTTATGTCTTTTCTTCTTTTCTCTTGTCCTTTTTGTCTTTTTCTTCTTTTCTCTTTTTCTTTATGTCTTTTCTTCTTTTCTCTTTTTCTTTTCTTTATTTTCTTTTAATTACCTTTTCATATATTTATTTTAAACATAAAATAAATTTTAATAATTATATAAATTTACCCTTTTTTTTAATACATGAATACTAATAGTTGTCAAAATAATTCCAGTAATTATCGATCATAATTACTTTGATCAGTATTTACTATCAATTATTTTCCATTATACTTTAATAAGTGAATGATTATGACTATTAATAAATACTATTTAAAACTATTTAAATACTCTATAAATAGAGAAAATTTAAATTAAATTATTTTATTCTATTTCTCACTTTGACAATAATTATTAATAATTTAAATAAATATTAATAGTTATTGACAAAACCATAATCAAACGATTTAATTAATTATTTCTTGTAATTTTCTCGGGTACTGAGAAATCAAAATGTTACAATAGGTGTAAACGCAAAATTAATTATTTTCTTTGAAAATCTTGCCTGGTTTATAAATTAAAAAATACCAAATGACTCTATATATAAATTCACTAAAAATTTATGACATTTTATTAAAAAAATGAAATTTATAGTGTTACAAGATAGATTTTAAAAAATTTAAAATTTTATATTTTTTTTATCAAAATTCAAGTATTAAATAATAAATTCAGCCAAAACCAAATCTTATCCTTTTAACTTTTTAATGGAAAAAAAAAAAAGAAAAAAAGAAAGGAAGAAGTTATATTCACTTTTTGTACTCTATTAGGTATTTCTTTTTTGTTACACTATTGCAAATTAATAATTACATATAAATTATGTTTTTGGTGTTTAGATGCTTGTCTTGTCCTCTCTGCAACCCCCAAAAATTACATAATTGCATTTATATACCAATTAATTTCTATAATAATGCCCTAAATAATGCTCTTAATCATAGTAAAAATTGCCTAAAGCTAATATAAAATAATAAAATAAATATCAACTGTACATTTGAAATATAGTTTTTACATATATTAATGACATATCTAAAAAATCTTCTAAAAAAATAATATCTAAAAATATTAAATAACATGTTAAAAAATGGGATTAATTTATAAATAAATTAAAATATAAACCATTCTTCTTGGTGGTTTCCTACTGTGGCGATCCTTGAAGCCAAACTATACTTCACCTAAAACCTTGCAAGTTTCAAACTTTCCTGTCTTTTCCAGGTTTCACTCACAAGTCACAAGAAAATGGCAGAAGGAGTAGTATTTGGCATTGCAGATGAAATTATTACGAAGTTGGATTCTGAAGCCATACAGGAACTATCCCAATTGCGGGGTTTCAAAGATGAGATGGAGATGCTGAAGGCTATATTGCATAGAATCAAAGCTGTTGTTCTTGATGCGGAGGAGAGGTCCTCACGTGATACGCAAATTAAAGCTTGGCTTGAAATGCTCAAATCAGCAGTTTTCAGCGTAGATGACATGTTGGATGATTTCTACACCGAGGCTTTAAGGAGGCAATCATTGACTGGCAATAGAATTGGGAAGGAGTTACTCCTTTTCTTTTCACATTCAAATCGTCTTTTTTATGGTCTCAAAATGATTCGTAAGGTTAAACGTATTAAACGTAGGCTGTGTGATATTGCCGAAAGTAGTGAAAGGTTTCATTTAGAAACACGGCTTTCTGAGACAGGAATCGTGTCTAGGCAAGGGAAGCAAAGTCTCTCCTCTTTGCCTGAAAGAATTATTGGCAGAGATACTGATATGATTAAAATTATTGAATTTTTGCTGCGTTCTGATTATGAAGAAGATTTGACAATCATTTCAATTACTGGAGTTGCTGGATTGGGAAAGACAACGTTAGCTCAATATGCATACAATGATGAGAAAGTTAACACACATTTTGAGCTAAAACTATGGATTTCTGTTTCTGATAATTTTGATGTAAAACTCATAGTTGAAAGTATTCTAGAAAAAATGACTAATGAGAGACATAAGAACTTCCAGATGGATATCTTGACAGCACTCCTCCGCGAGAAAATTAGTAGGAAGAAGTATTTAATTGTTCTGGATGATGTATGGAATGAAGATACTGAGAAATGGCTCTACTTAAAAGGTTTGTTATTAGGTGGTGCAAAAGGAAGTAAGATAATGATAACAACACGACTTAAGAAGGTTGCAGAGATAGCACACTCAATTTTAGTTCATGAATTACGGCCATTATCTGAAAATGAGTCGTGGTTGTTTCTCAAACAAATGGCATTGGAGCAAGGGCTAGAGCTAAGCTTGAACTTGGAGGCAATTGGAAAGGAGATTGTAAGAAAATGTGAAGGAATTCCTCTCGCCATAAGAACAATGGGGGATTTATTACTTTCTAAAAATACAGAAGCTGAGTGGCAATCTTTCAAAGAAAATGAACTGTCAAGAATGGGTGACAGTGATATCTTACCAGCTCTGAGGATGAGTTACGATAATCTCCCATTTTATTTGAAATACTGTTTTGCCTATTGTAGTATATTTCCAGCGGACTATAAAATTGATGTGGAAATGTTGATACATCTTTGGATGGCACAAGAATATGTTGAAGCATCAGATCTAAATCAAAGTCTTGAAAATATTGGCTTTGAATATTTTATGGATCTCCTTAATAGGTTTTTCTTTCAAGAAGTTGAAAAGGAGAGATGGGGTACTGTAAAAACTTGCAGAATGCATGATTTAATGCATGATTTAGCAACACTAGTTGCTGGGAAAGAGAGCATTACTTTATCAGTGTCACATAGTGGATTTTTAAGTGAAAGAGCTCGACATGTATCAGTTGTTTTTGATGATGACATTGTATGGGATTCACTTGCTAGGTTCGGAGGAAGCATGGTACGAACACTCCTTTTTCTTAGCAAGCGGAGTTCAGAATTTGTAGAAGAACAACTTCATGGAATCTTCTCCAAATTTAAAAATTTACGAGCGTTATATCTGCATGACCAAGGAATTGAAATGGTCCCACATTCCATTTGTAGGCTGAAGCATTTAAGATATCTTGACCTTTCTCATAATAGAGTCTTGGATAGGCTCCCTATTTCAATTGGTAGGTTACATAACTTACAAGTGCTGAACTTGGTGTTTTGTTATGGGCTTAGGGAATTGCCAAATTCAATAATTAGGTTACAGAACTTATATGTACTGAAATTAGATTATTGTACGAAGCTTGAAAAATTGCCCCAAGACATCAAAAAATTGGTCAATCTCAGGCATCTTGGCCTTTATGGATGCCATGGCTTGACTCATATTCCCGGCGGAATTGCCCAGTTGACCTTGCTTGAGAAACTGTCAAGATTCGTGGCGGTTAAAGATAATTCTGCCTCCATGCGGAGCAGCAGACTTTCTGAATTACAAGGCTTGAACAATTTGGGAGGCATTCTAGAAATAGTAAATTTGAAATATGTGAAGAGTGCTGAATGTCGTATTGCCAATTTGAGAGAAAAGCAACACCTTCAGGTCTTAATTTTACAGTGGATCCCATTTGGCCAACATGGTTATGATCTTAGCGGTGATGATATTGATAATGAAGAAATGGTATTAGAGGGGCTCAGACCACATCAGAACTTGAAAGAGCTAGTCTTGTATGCATACGGTGGAGTGAGATCTCCAAGTTGGCTTGCTTCTATCACAAATTTGGAGAGCATTACTTTCAAAAATTGCCCGAGAATAACCATGATGTCCAAAAATGAGAATGATAATGTGCAATGGCAAGGACTTAAAAACCTTCGTTCTGTTGAACTTAAAGAACTTCCAGAATTGGCATCTCTCCCAGAAGGCCTTCAATATGTTATCACCCTGCAACGTCTAACAATAGGAGGGTGTCCTAAGCTGATATCTTTGCCAGATTGGATTGCCAACCTCACTGCATTACAACATTTAGATATCTCTGATTGTCCCCAACTGTCAGATATATGCAGAAACAAGGGTGAGGGTTGGCCCAATATTGCTCACATCCCAAATATTGTGGTTTGACAACAATATGGTTCAACAAAATGGCTGCTTCAAACTGTCATTCGAATTTAGAGATATCCCTTTTTTAACAGGTGTGCAATTATCGCCTCTTGGAACTCCTCTCTCTTTCCTTTTCATTTTTTTTTCCTTCTCTGTGGAAATTATTTTTTCAATGTGTTTATACTATGAGGTCGCAAGTCTAAGCATAGTCATATTGCATGGCTACCAACATCTTGCAATACCCTCTAAACACCCATAAGAGTTGGTCAAAGAGGTTGAATGCGAGAATTTGTCTGGTTGTCATGATGAGGTCAACATAAGTTAAGCTCATTTTAAAGAGTTAACTTCTATTTCATTTTTTCCCCCTAATTTGTCATTAATTCTCTTTGAGCAACTGTTGCTGCTCAGTTTTTCGAATTTATGAAAAGCTTTATCAACTAAGGCAGTTTAGTATATTGTTGATTAACTAAGGCAGTTTAGTAACAGTAAACGAGATCTCAAGCGTTATGTTTGTTCATTCGCATATGCTTTCTAAATACCCATTAGCTCCAATAGATTGTGTGGTAGAACACATTAGTTGGCCATATTTTCTCTTCCATTTTCTGGATAAATGCTTTTCCCGTTATCAACTTAAAAAGAAATGTTTGGATTTGGGTTTCATCTATTAGTTCAATCTTTAAACAAATATGCAGATAGACTACTAGTAGTTCTTCAGGTTATGCTTCTTTCCATCTCAATCATTTGTGGATCAGTCGGTTACCTATTGCTACTTATTGTTTTCAGGTATTCAAAAGGTTTATTAAGCTTAACCATGGGTTTACGTAAACAAGGTTAGATTTGATGAACTAAGTTTCTTACTCAGTTGCTTTCCAAAAAGGCAAAAGATTTGAATAAATTATGCCCTGTATCATTATTAAATTTGCTTTGATAATTCTTTTTTGTTTTCTTTTGGGCTGAATACTCATTCTGAGTCTGAACATTTTTGTGAATGAAATGAATTGAAAATTACAAAGATGATATAATTAACTTCATTTTGTTTTGATATTTCAGAAAAATGAGAATCTAGAGTTTCTGCCAAATGGTTCCAGATTACATTATCTTCTCACATTCCTCAAGAAGCTGTTGGTTACGAGGAGCTTGATCTACTGCAGCATGCAACATTGCTTTGTTTTCTTGTTAGTGTATAATGCTTGTTCAGCCATGGAGGAAATTCAACCTGCAGCATCCGACAATAGCTGAGACTGTTGACTATTTTGTGGATGGTTTTACTAGAGTAGAGAGGACATATAACCAGCTTGGTTATTTTCCCTTTTGTCCTACAATTAAGAGGAGTCAGCAAGGTAAGTTCTTAACACTCTTTCAACTCACAAACCAACACCGTTTTGCATTTTTTTTTTTTTTTTTTTGTGAACATTCTTATACAGTATGATGCATTAATTGCATAGAATCCGTTTTGTGTTCCTTCTATGTTATATTCACTCAACTAGGATCTTGTCACCGGCATGTTAACAATAAAGTCTGATTCAAAAACTAAAGCTTTTGTTTTACCACGATTCTTTCCTCAACCTGTTGTTGCTGAAAATTGTGAGATTATTAAAAGGGAGATTTGACCTTAGACTCGTCAGAGAGAGTCTTTCAATTTATCAACTTAGCCTCTATTTGTTTCCGTAGAATAACTAGCATAAAAATAGTTTCCACAATTTTTCATTGTTTGAGGCGTTTAGGAAATTAAGTCAATGGAAAATATTTTTCTAGTCAAAAGAAAATTAAGTCATTTTTAAAGAAAATAACTTCTCATTCTCAAGAGCGTAAAATATTTTCTGGACTTTAACAAACTTATTATAACCTTATAATTTATATATATATTTTTTAATTTTTTAATAATCAGTAGTTAACTACCACCACTCACCTTCACTACCAGCGACCACCACAGGCCTCTACCACCGTTGTCAACCACCACCGGTCGCTGACGACTTTCATAATTTACTATTTTTTTGCATTAATCTCATATTTAATAATAAAATTTTTAAAATACGAAATTATTATTATTATTATTATTACTATTATTTTTATGGTCTTATAAGTTAAAAATTTTAATATTTTTAACTAATTTTTAATATTGCAACCAAACAACGAAAAATGTAAGTTATTTTCTGAAAACAAATGGAGTCTTAGTTGAAAATAATTCTACTTGTTTTACTTATGACCTGCAATTTATAGAGGAATATAAGTTCTCGTTAAAGTAATTTTCCTAGAAGTAGATCTCCTACCACAGTAAAATAGGAAACTACTAAATAGTAGACATCTTACCAATCAAAAAACTTCTAGATTGAGAAAACTGCAAACTGCTGTAATTGCATATCATAAAACCTTTGTACTTAATGTCACAAGTTTTGTTCCAAATTTTATGACCAGATGCATCTAGTGCCATTTATCTTTGTTTTTTTTTCATATGTTTTGATATATAACCTTGAAATTTGCTATTATATTGACAAATTTTATTTACAGCACGAATTTATTTGTGAAAAGTTAATGAAGTATTTGTAATTGCATATTGTAATTGTACTTGTCAGACTGCTGGTTGAAAGGCTTGGATTATGGAAGATGGAAGGATAAAAACAGCGGTGAGGATGATTAAATCTACTCGCATCCCAGAGTGCTCTTCAGGCGGAAGGATTTCATTTTTTGCAATTCAGGCGGGGAGAAGTCAGACTTCTTTTTTTTTTTTTTTTTTTTTATCTATGACAAATTTTAATTTACTCAGCACGAATTTATTTTGTGAAAGGTTAATGAAGTATTTGTAATTGCATCATTGTAATATGTTACTTGTCAGTACTGCTGGTTTGAAGGCTTGGATTATGGAGATGTTAAGGATAAAAACAGCGGTTGAGGATGATTAATCTACTCGCCATCAAGAAGTGGACATACATAATACAGACAGAAAGGATTTCATTTTTTTGCCACATTCACAGCGCTGGGGAGAAGTCAGAACTCTTTTTTTTTTTTTTTTTTTTTTTTGTGTTTTTTATCGTGTTATACTTCTGTTTTTTTTTTTTTTTTTTTTTTTGGTTTTTATCGTGTATACTCTGTTTATATAATCAAATACTATGTTTTCTTGGTATTTATAACCCAATGTGTCGAATGGGCTTTTACCTTAAATTCTATCCCCTGTTCTTTTCTTTGTTCTTTTATTTTATTTTATTTTTTTTGTCATTTATAATATTTTCCTTTTCAAATCCATTTTTAAATTTCCATTAAAAAACTTCCATACAAATTTTTGACCAAGTATAGACACGCTTCAATTCTTTGACCTTTTGATTATAATATTAAGTTTTTGAAAATAATAGTAATACTTAATTCTATAACACACACACACACTCTCTCTCTCTCTCACCTCATGAACAACCTTTTCCTAACCCTTGGACTTTTATATAACATAAGAAATCTGGAGGATTAAAGATTGTTTTATCTTTAATTCATCTCATGAGAATCAAAATGCACAAAATGTAGCAAAATCTTGTCAAGAATCAATTAATTCTCATTAGTTTAAACCACAAAAATGCTTTTAATTATCTGATGATTTGTTGCAAAAACAACCCAAAATGATCTTTGTAGCCTGAGCACCCTCATTTTGAAATTTAGACTAAAATGACAAATTGGACTAAAATGACATAATGGTAGGACCCATTCTTAACTTTTGGTTAATTGCAAAGCTTACCATTTTAATTTTGTATAAGCAGCTTGCTGGTAATTTATCTGTTTTTATTTCTATCTGCTGTTCTCATCTAAGCATAAGTTTCCATTTCTAATGCAGGGAGCTTATATGGGTTATTTTGCTTTGCAGGAAGAGTTTGTCATCTTACCATAGTTTTTTCCTCATCACTTGTTCAAGAATTTAACAACTCTTTCTCATCTAGAAAGAGGTTGAAAGTTTCATATTTTGAGCATCAGGAACTAGATTTGCATAACTTTATCGATGCTGCATCAATTCAGTTGAGCACAAGTCTATTCTCTTCTCATTATCTCATTGAAAGAAAGTTTAAAAGATTCCATTTTGATTAGATAAATGTTTGCAATGGTTTTTTTATTTTGAAAGCAGACACAATTTGGGATTTTAGAATAATCCTCCAATGAGTTAAAGTTAATTTCTTAGGTTTACGGGAATTTGTATCAAAACGATGACTTTCGCCTCTTTGGATTAATTAACCCAAGGTCAAGTAATGGGCACATCATAAAATCATTTCAGTCCAATTTATGGTTCCAGTTCAAAATTAGGGTATTAATATATATAAGTTTCGAAATGGAAGTGTCCAAAGTACAAAGGTCATTTTAAAGTGATTTTATAATTAAGTCGTATTGTTGAGAATATTTTTGTAGTTTAAGTCATTCTCGTTGCAAAGATAGTGAACTAATCTTTTGGCAGCTTATTTCACCAAATTGCTGACAAGAATATAATAACCATTACATATTTACATTCAATGTCAATATTCATTGGTATGAAATAAAACAGTCTTGCTCAATTTTCAGTTTTCACCCTTTTGAATTTTTTGAGTGGTAGTTTGGGACAGAGTTGAAGTCTGAGGTTTGCACCTTTCCTATCAAGCCAAGCAATATCATTCAATGATTATAAAATCTAATGCTAGAACCACAGATTTTTACTGTGCTGAAAGATCATTACAGCATCAAAAGACAAGTTTAATTCTCAGCTAATCTTGTTCTGCAACTAAAAGCCTTAAATAGAGAATTAAAAATGTAAAAAGTTGAGAATTAAAGATAAGAGATGCTACTAGTTGTACAATCTGCAAAGAAGAAACATGCCTCGCCGAGACCCCATTCAGTTTATTCTGTGAAGATTGAATCTTTCAATGTTTCTTCCTTCGATGCTCTATTTGCTTCTTTAATGGCAGTGTGCAAACTAGAAACAGACATATCATCGACCAAGATTCCACTTTGCTTCGTTCAGTGTAAAAAGGCTACCCAAATTCTTATTCTCGTTCATGCTCTGCTTTTCCAATTCCTCCTTATCTGCACTATTGAAAGAACAAGAATGCTCAATTGACGAGACTCCATTTACTTCGTCATCAGAAGCTTCTTGCACGGCAAATTCATTTGCTTCACTCAATAAAACAAGAGTCTCCACATAAGTATCCAAATAAAAGGACAATGGGTTGCCCTTAATCTTAGTATACTCGATTTCACGAGTTTTTGGATCATAGAAATACAATTGGCCACCCCTTCTCCCTAAAAGAACCTTACTATTGTTTCTAAATGCAACAAATCTATGTATTATATCTGAACTTACAATATTGAAAAGTTTAGTCCAAGATTCTGCAACACTATTCTTTCATCATCCAAACCCAACATCTCTCTCCGCTGTGGCAATTCATGAAAGGAACCAACACAAGTGATCCATCAAACACAGCAACAGTCATACTAATTACCCATTCCCCAACGAAACAATCTGGTACAGGCATTTCACCAAACACCTCATCGTCTAAAGCAAATGACACAATCACATTGCATATATTAAAACTATTCCCTTGAGTATTAGCAACCCAATGGCAAGTTCCATTCAGAAAAGCAGACAAAGAATCTTGCCCAATGACATGTTTCAGATCATTATCAGCCATTTTCCAACACCTATTTCTCAAACTCTAAGATTCAACCAATGGTGGAATGGTATCAAAGCGACTATCTACATCCAAATACATTACTATCACCAATTTATAGTCATTAGTTGTGGAATCAAAACCAAACCCAAGTGAGAGTCTAAAGGCTCCATGTGAGTTGAAAGTAAAATTAGGAGTAGGAATTTTCACAATCTTTCTAACACTAGGATTCCATAAAGCAGCTCTATCAGTGTTACCAAAATCATCATCGAATAAACAAATTTTCCCATTACAATTGCCAACTAATTCACATAATTATTAGTGACTTTAAATGGGCAATCAAGTTCTTCTACATAGTAATCAGGGAAACCGTCATCTGGGTATAGTATAAAATCCTGATTTTCTTTCTCTACTCCTCTGGAGTTATACTTAAAAGAAAAAAGTCACTTTTTTTTCATGGAGGTTTTCTTCAGGTGTTGGTTTATAAAAGAAGAGCTAGTGATTATAGAGTACCAAGTTTTTGAAACGCACCTGCATTAGAGGAGTGCTTTCACTGGCAATATTGAAAGAATTTCTCTAAGCACCTCTTGGGGACGATAATCTGACATTCTTTTTCTTGCTTGTGGGTGTGTTTTTGGGCTATACTATCCAAAATACGAAAGGCTAAATACCCTACGCCAGGGTATTAACTATTGAGGCTATTGTATTGTGGAAGTAGAAAATTCAAGTTGGCCCTTATACATGTTTGTAATTCCATTTCCATCTGAATCTTTCCTTTAATATTTCAATTCAACTTTAAAATTATATATAAAGAGAAATATATTGAATCCAATGCTATAATATGCAAAAAAGTGCAAGAATTCAAGGGCTTCTTGAAGAAAACAACTTCATTAATTATGTAACCAGAAAAACTTCACTAATTAAATTTACTTCATTAACCGTGTACTAAATTGAAAACCCATTATTCACTATCCTCAGCAGAACACAAGACATAAAATTGTCATTTAAACTAACAAATTGGAAAATAGTGAAAGAAACAACAAAAAGACACAGAAGATCACTTGTCATCCAACACAGTGTAGCCCTCCAACTGAATAGCTAGCAGGTCGTCCAACACATAGCAGCCCTCCAATTGGATAGCTAGAAAATCGATTCGAATATTTGGGATGTGAACAATTTTAGGCCAATCATCGCGATGTTGGTTTCCACATTTTGCACTCAGGTGAGGACAATCTCCAATAATTAGTGTTTGCAGAGAAGACAGTTGATACATTTCCTGGGGAATAGTTGTTAAGCTCGGACATGTCCAGAGTTGTAAATATTGTAATGAGGTAAGGAAATGCATCCCTTGAAGGGATGTTAAACTTAGACATTCCCGAAGTATCAATTCTTTTAACGAGACTAGGCAACTCAAACCCAGATGAGCTAATATTGGGACACCGCAGATGCTCAATTCTTCAAGAGAGGTGAGATTCTGCAGCCACTCTTCTGGTAAAGATTCAAGATCTTCAACATCCATAATCATCAATTTTTTTAATTTGGAAAGAGGATGGACAAGTGATGAAGAAGTGGAAGAACTTGTCATTGGCACCTTCATTTTCAGCGTTTGCTCTAAAATTTCTGCACTGACAATATTCAAATCTAGTTCTTCATCAAGAAATGGAAATGGTGGCATCCATGTCAGCTTGGGGCAACTATAGATTGACAACGAAGATAGGCAGGGAAAATAGGCTAAATCGTTATCGTGATTTCCATTTTTCCACCATCCTTTTAAATTAGGACACCCCAAAAGGTGGAGCTCCTTTAGGGATGGGAAGAAAGTTGAGCTTCCTACTATGAAATTTTCCCCCTCAGTTTTTTCTACGTACTCCAAGTTAGCCAGATCAAAGATCCTTAGTCTCTTAAGAAAAGGAAACTTATAAAATGGAGGAAGGTACTGACATCTTCTGCTCTCCTCTATGGAAATGTTCACAAGATTTGTAAGAGAAGAGAGCCAATTGGGGAACCTCAAACCTCCATAGCACCTCAATTTTATCTCTCTAAGATTTAGGTGTGGCTCAAGGCTTTGCAATGACATTTCATCATAATTGCCATTTTCATTGTTGTCATTAGAATTATCTGTACCCCAATCCAGAGTCAGTGATCTAAGATTCTGCTTTGCTTTCAAATTAGCAGCATCAAATTTTGAGATGCCATTTTCCACATATCTCAGATTTGAAATTTCCAGCTGACCCCTTAAGTTGTTTAGCCTCTTCAATTCATCCAAACCACCATTGTGATTAGACGCTAAACTATCTTTAGCCACTACAAACATTGATAAGGTCTGAAGAGAAGTCAATTCCCCGAGTCCAATTGGCATATGGGTCAAATGCACACATCCCTTACAATAGAGATGCCTAAGATTGACCAGCTTCCACATATTCTTTGGTAGTTCCTTCAGATACATGCAGTTGGAGAGCTTCAACACTTGCAAATTTCGCAGCTCAGTAATAGAATATGGAAGCGTTACAATTCCTTTATTTCCAGAAACATCAAGATACCTTAGATTTTTTAACTTTTTTATGGAATATGGAACTTCTTCAATTCCTGCATTATGTAGATCACACACACGTAAACGTCTAAACTTTGAAATAATGACCTTATGGTTTGACTTCTCCAATCTTTCTTGGCTTCGCAACAAAAATGTTCGTAATTGTTTTGCCCCAAGAAAGCAGGCAGGAACTTCCCCTATTGACCTTGAACCAAGGTCAATTGACACATTACGGGTTTTCTCATCAATGCTTTTAACATTTGAATCTACCATGATACTCTCATTCCCAGCCACCAAGGTTGCAAGATCGTGCATCAAGTCATGCATTTTGCAAGTCTGTATTCTACCGAATGCATCCCTTTCTATTTCTTGGAAGAAAGACCTCCATAACAAATCCATAAAATATTCAAGCCCAATGTCTTCAAGACTTTGACTTGAATTTGAAGACTCAACAAATCCTTGTGCAATCCAAAGATGAATTAATGTTTCTACACAAATCCTATAATCTTTTGGAAACAATCTACAATATGCAAAACAATGCTTCAAATTTGATGGAAGATGATCATAACTCAACTTAAGTGTCGGTAAAATATCAGTTTCATTTTGAACTATTTTTGAAAGTTCATTTTTCATGAAAGGCAACCATTCAGTTTCTGGATTTTTAAAGCACAGTACACTCCCTATTGTCTTTATTGCTAGAGGGACTCCAACACATTTCTCAACAATCTCCTTACCAATTTCTACTACACTTGGGTTCTTTGGTTCTTTGCCCTTGAACACAATCTTTACCAACAAAGACCAAGACTCCAGGTTAGATAGACCATTTAAAACATATGGTTGCGACGTACTTACTAGCTCTGCAACTTTTGTGGAACGGGTTGTTACTATTATCTTACTTCCACTAGCACCAATGCTTAAAAACTTCTTTAATCTATCCCATTTTTCATGATCTTCACTCCAAATATCATCTAACACAAGTAGATATTTCTTACCATTAATAATTTTACCTAGGCTATCTTTCAATGTATTCAACTCAAGATTATCTGGTTTTTCACCTGTTCCAGACTCTAAAATCTTTTTAACAATCACTTTTACATCAAAAGGATTTGACACACATACCCATAACCTCAAGTCAAAATGTGTCTGAACCAACTCATTATTGAATATGAGTTGAGCTAATGTGGTCTTCCCTAATCCCCCAATTCCAACTATGGAGATGACAGAAACATTCTCTTCATCATTGGAAGTCAACAGAAGTTTTAGGATTGCCGCCTTATCATCTTCCCTTCCAACTACAATTGTAGGTGCAAACGAATCAGTCTCTTCCCTTAACTTACTCCTAAAGCCCTTGTCTTCAAGTCGGACACCCAACTGAAGATTTTGACTATCTTTTGCAATGGCATCTAGTCTCTCTCTTATTGCCTTAATTTTATAACCCATTTTAAGACCATAAGTGAGCTGGTTTGAAGATGAAAAGAAACGGCTTACCTCCTTCGTCACTTTATTCCCAGCCATCACTTGTTGTTGCAGAGCTTCAGTGGAGAAGTCATCCAACAAGTCATCTGCGTCATAAACAACATCTTTCAGCTTTCCAAGCCAATCTCTGACCTGCTCATTCAGCGCCTGTTTCTCGTCTGCATCAATAAGCAAAGCCTGTATTCCACTGACAGTATTCCTGAGCTTAACAAGCTCATCTTTGACACCCCAGTATAGTCCAATTTCTTGGACTACAGGAGTAACCAAATTCCGAAGGACCCCTCCTGCAATGTTGAAGAGCACCCCTTCTGCCATTTCTTGGCAGTGGATTAAGAAGCAGTAGAGTTTATGGTTTCAGGCTTAGCAACTGAGAGGGCTGTGGTTGCTGTGAAGAAGATGGGAATTAGCCTTGGCCTTAATTTATAGGCCAATTTTGTCTAGCAAAAATATATTAAATGTGCACCTACAAGAATATTGGGATAGTTATAAATTTGATTTTTGACTTCTCATTTTCTTTCATTTTAGTTCAATTTAGTGTTTCAACAGATAAAATTTTATCCGATTTATAAATTACAAAAGAACGCGATGAATTCATATAAATATTTATGTTTCATATCATGCATCGAGTAAAATGGTCATTTTTAAAATTATAAAGTTTAAATTAGAATTTAATTTTATTATAGTTGCACCTAAAAATAGAGTGGTGATATTGTCAAAGCAGCTTTTGTTAACAGCAAGGAATCCTAGGCATTTACCTTGTTCATTCACAAATAAAGCCAAAGTCTTGCATTGATGAAATCAATTATTGTACAAATTAAGGAACTAATAAGGCCACCAAATAATTTACAAAAACAAATAATTGATCTCATCAAAGCTAGATCTTGATCTCATCATCTACGATATTATTAAAAGCTGTTATGAAAATATCACCACCCTTATTAAAACCTTTTATCAAGCTTGAATTCGTCAAGTGACATGATAGATGTGTACCTTTCTTTAGTTTTCAAAGTAAAAAAAGTATTTCTTACGCTATGATAGTAACAAATGTAACAAATGGCTTTGGATATTCAAAATCATTATTGTTTATTAAATATTTTATTGGTGCACCTTTCTGGTAAGTATGTATAAGAATTTAGAGGCATCTTTTAGGGAAACTGCCCTAATCCATAAGGCCTTGACCTTGACTTGGATGTTTCAGGTGGAAGTAAACAATATGCTTCTTCATTTAGTACTTACCTGGCACAGATGAACAAGCACGTAGGCAAATGCTTTCCCTTTGGTTGACTCTGTACGCTGGACTAGAAAACAAGAAGCTTCTCTGCACGTTTGTCAATTGAGAAATACACCGGTAAGTATATATATATATATATATATATGTACACATGTAGCTATTGCCCGTTATAATGTTGCAACTTGTAAAACTTAAGATTAAAATATGCAGGTCAAATAAACGAAAGGAATATGGAACTCAAAGAAATAACCACTTGGATTTCTTACAAGGGATAAAGTACTATGATGAACAGACATCTTTTGAGGTCAGCACAGCAATGGGATGCTTAGAAATATTAGCTGTGACTAAACAACTGTTCCCCTTCAGAAAAAGTCTAATCTTTTCATTAAAACAGATTGAAACGCTGCTGAGACAATTCACTGAACAAGATGTGTGCAGACTTGATCTATCGTGTCACTAAGAACAAGAATAGAATACATATTAAGCTAGCTCACCAAAAATTATCAAACAGCCGATCAGATTATATATATATGTGTGTGCGCACGCGCGGCGCTTCTTAAATATCAGCTGTCAAGCATTAAGAAACATTAAATTTCACGAAACTTGCTGCATACAATTCTACAAGAAATAAGAAGATGGAAAATTCAACTTCAGCGCTGAATTCTTGTTCTTGTAGTTGTCCTGAAAGACAAGTTGTTGCCAATGAAGAAATAAAATAAACGACACCTAGCGGTGTTTATTGAATGAATTGATAGGTGTTGTCTCATAAGCACATTCTTTAAGGCCAAGTAAATTACAGAATTTTGCAAGTTTGGAAATCTTGTACCTCATAAAGAACAAGTTGACAGGAATTTTTACCACATTGGACTGGAGAAGTTTCCCACGTCTCAAATACTTAGCTTGAGGTCAAATAACTTTTATGGAAAACTTCCCAATTTGAGTTCCTTACAAGCTTTAGACCTAGCAGAAAAACATTTGAATGGTTCCACTACTGCTAGCTTTATGGAAGTTCTGCTGATTGGCATTACTTTGAAGAAGAAAAAATGCCTTCAACAGCAGTGTACCAAGACTCTTGAGTCTTGCCCTTTTGACAAGCACATGGAAACAATTTCCATGGCGAGATACCTGAAGAAACAAAAAAATTGGTTGGTTTGGAGGTTTTGAATTTGTCAAGAAACATTATCAATGGCCACTTTCCCCATAGGATATCAGAATTGCATCGGTTGTCATCTCTTTATCTCTCAGGCAATAATCTTTCAGGTCCAATTCCTCAAAGCATGACTTCAATGTCATTTTTGGGATATTTGGATCTGTCTAACAATAATTTTTCAGGCAAAATTCCATGCACAGATCAAATGACAACTTTTGGTGGATCCTCTTTTGCAAGGAATTCAGGTCCCTGAGGCTGTTTTGGTCCTCTTGGTTTGAAGTGTCTACACGATGATTTTAATAACGGGGATGGCTATATATAAAGATGGTAGGGTGAATACTGAATACTGATTAAGATGACAAGGGTAATGGTTGAGTGGGAAATTGATAAAGTCAGAAACGAAGGACCCAGCTTAGTTGATGGACAAAGAAGTAACAAAACTGTAAAATAAATAAATAAACAAGTAAAACTTTTGAAAGACAGAGAAAAGTGTTATCTGTAAGATATTTTCATTTTTCAGAAGTTCTTTTGGTTCTCTATTTCCATTGGTGACCCTTTTGTTTGGTCATACAAAAGAAACAAACCACATAAATTGACAAATAAAATATTTTGGCCAGTGTAAAAGAAAAGATGGGAAAAAATCCCATCTTTCTTTGAACGGTCTATCTTCTCTCAATCCCAGTTAACTTCATTCCCATTTGCATATGGAAAAAATCAACATCCCGCCGCCATTAAAGATCTATAAAGAGTTTTAAACCATTAAGAAAGAAGACTTTCTTGCAGTTCTCTGTTCCCTCTGTTTTTTACTATGGCTCTGTTTTCTTCAATCTTGACTTCCCCACTCTCTATATCAACCCCAATTCGCCAGCCGATAAAGATCAAAAGGCGGTTGCTTTTTCCCTTGGCTACTTTAAGTTCATCATCACCATCATCTCCTGAATCAGCAGCAGCACCAGTTACAACTAGGCCCCTTGATTCTTCCAAGACTCCATCAACAACTTTTGTTGAATCCTCAAGAACCCATGACTCTAGTTTCAATTATGCACTCGCAAACCCAACTGGTAACAACCCATTTGTTCGATTTGTTCGCTCCACTGAATCTAACATTGAAAGGGTATTGGTTCATTTACTTTCTTGAATCATGTTTGATATCTTTAATGAAATGTTATAGTTCTAGACTTCCAAGTCTTCATTTTTATTGTTCTTCTTTCATTTAGTTGAATTGATTCGCTCAAACTCAAAAAGTCATTTGATATTTGTTCTTTGATCCAATTATATTATTGGAATAGAAAATATCAAAAGATGATGGTAGGATTCAAATATGTGATGGAGAAGAATTTGTGAATTTGGTACTACTTGGGCCCAGAAGATAAGTAAGATAAAAGTATTTGCCTGTACACTTCAGGAAACAGGACAAGCTTTTGGGCCCAAATTTTTCTTTTGTTATTAATTTAACTTTGACTGGATTTAGACTAGCAACCTGATTAGAGATTAGTAGAGTACTAATGAATTTAAAAAATATATTAATTATTATTTAAAATCCATTTGAATGGTTACTCGGCGTGGAGTGGCCAAGTGCTTCTAATTTTAGACAATCAAGATCTGAAGTTCTACTATAATCTCTCCATCATCATATTATTTGATGCACTAATTCTAAATCTCCATAAATGCTTGTGCTTTTTACTATTTTTATGCATGATCAAGTCTGATAATAGTACTCTTTGCATGTTCATTATTGACAGGTAATTTTTGATTTCCGCTTCTTGGCACTTCTGGCTATAGGAGGTTCATTGGCCGGTTCCCTCTTGTGCTTCTTAAATGTACTTTCTTGTACTCTGCATCTATGAGTAGCCTTATCTCTTGTATTCCCATTTGTATATCGCCTACATGTATATAATTATATAGAGTTCCGCAGAGCTTTAATATTTTACGGAAAGGAGAAAATAGCTCTATCGTTCAATATCAGAATAATGCTATTAGGCTCATTCGTAGTAGGCTGAGACTAGCAGTAATTGCATTCTGACTGTGCTGAAAACCCAAGTTCGAGTCCTCCTTCAATAATAAAAATAATAATGAAATAGTGCTATTAGAGGCAATTCAAGCTGAATGCAAATGCCTTTGTCAGCAAAAATTGGAATTTGCTGAAACTTGATATAGAACTTAATAATGTTTGCATCTTTTGAGCGAGTAAATGGTTCCAGGAATGAGCAAAGAGGTCAAGTTTAAGAGGAATCAATTGCAGTTTTACCAATAAAAAATACAGAATTATACCCACTTTCTTCTGATATTTACAGGGTTGTGTTTACATCTTTGATGCATACAAAGTCTATTGGTCAAGCTGTGTTAAGGGAATTCATACCGGACAGATGGTTCTACGTTTAGTTGAAGCTATTGGTAAGCTCCTCTAACAATTAATTTGATAGAAGTTTTGATGTTATTTAGAGGCATTTACATGAATTTTTCATGTTAAGTTCATAGACCCAAGCTGAAAATCAATTATTTTGTAAATGTCATCAAAATTTCTTGCCTAGAAATGGTGTATTGAAGCTAATTTGAGGTTATTAAGCCTCAGTTATATGGTGGGATCCAACCAATGCAAGTATAGATATACAGAACTTGACACAGTACTCCTGCAAGTAATTAATCTATAACTTGACACTTGACAGCAAACACAGTCGAGTTAATGACAGTATAATCATGATTTATTTTCAAGAAATGAGCTTGTAGTCTAACATATCTATGCTTAATGCAGATGTTTATCTTGCTGGAACTGTGATGCTAATTTTTGGGATGGGCTTATATGGATTGTTTATTAGCAATGTGCCTCCTGATGTTTCTCCCCAAGTTGATCGAGCCCTGAAAGGCTCTTCATTATTTGGAATGTTTGCTTTGAAGGTGAAAAATAGAGAAAACTTTATTATTTACATTTCAAACTAATCAAAAATTTCCAAGTTTGGTAAAAATATTGAAAGATTTTATTTTCTGGGTTTGTAGGAGAGGCCAAAATGGATGAAAATAAGCTCACTGGATGAGTTGAAGACAAAAGTAGGACATGTTATTGTTATGATTCTTTTAGTGAAGATGTTTGAGAGGAGCAAAATGGTAACAATAGCAACTGGAACGGATTTATTAAGCTATTCTGTTTGTATTTTCTTGTCATCTGCTTCTTTGTACATCCTTCACAATCTGCACAAGTCAGAGTCAGAGTGAGGATGAGGATGTTAGATTTAGAACAGATTGTAATGTAATAATACCATAAAATGTAATTATCATTATTATTTGTTTCATTATTGAGATGATATATTCATTTATTGTAAAAAAAAAAATAGATTATGAAAATGTTGAAAAAACATATACATTACTTGCGTTTGCCCGGAGTCGAACCCGGGTCTATTGCTTGGAAGGCAATTATCCTAACCGTTGGACTACAAACGCTTTGATGGACAGTAGGGCTCATAAAAATAAAATTAATAAATTGATCGAATCTCTTCTTCAAGTATGAAAAAGGGAATGAATAAAACAGAATAAAAAATAAGAACTTTCTTCATCAGTTTTCTAGCTGTTCTATAACTTAACAAATCTAGCATTTTAGGAAAAACCATTTTGTTTATTTAGCCCAGCAGTTACAGAATGTAGTTGTATGAACAAAGCTTCAATTACATGAGCTAGTCAAATGTACTATGATAGTATGATACAAATTGGATCCTACTCGATAGTTTCTATACGGACAAAAAAAATTCTGCAAGAAGATGATAAAAAAAAAGGTAAGAGCTTTTTGTCCCTGGTTGGTTATTTATCAACATTTAACAGCAGAATATTCTATACAATGTACACTTCCAAATTTTCCAATATGCTTCTTTCTCTTAATTTTGACAAGGCAATACTATTGATCTGTCTAACCCTCTCTCTGCACAGCTTCAAAGATCCTCCTATCTCCTCGAACGACTGAGGCGTCTGTCCATTCAATCCAAAGGTTAATCTCAGTACATATGCTTCTCTTTCACTAAGTGTCTGAAGAAGCTTATCCAATTCTTGCTTCAGTAGCTGCCTTTTTACCATATATTCTGGCATCATTTCGTCTGGCCCTGGTAGGATCTCCTGCAACCAGAAGTGAATTAAACGTTTCATGATCAACTGATATTTAGATCTTTTCAGGTCGACAGAAGTTACAGAAGTACCTGCAGAGTCATACCGCCTTGATCACTCATTGCTCGATCCAACGAAACTGGGAATCTGTTGCTCTCAAATCCAATCCTCACTGTTGAAATATGAAGATTCAGGGCTTGAGCAATCTCATCATAAGAAGGCAACCTCCCTAGTCTTTTTTCCAAGGCAATTCTAGCTTCTGCAATTTTTTTCTTTTTCTCCCTCATGCCTCCCTACACTTTATCAAAGGAAGGTTGGAAAGGGGAAAACAAGTTGCTTCAAAATATTCTAACAAGGGCAAAAAAGAGGGAAGCATATTCTAACAAAATCGAATCTTCCAACTTAAAATAGAATTGAAGTTGAAACATAAGGTCCTCACTGGTAATCTGACAATTCTAGACTTGTTAGATATGGATGTGATGATTGCTTCTCTGATCCACCAGTAAACATATGTTGATAGCTTGTTTCCTCTACTTGGATCAAATCTTTCTGCACCTCGAAGAAGACCGATGCTGCCTTCCTGTTAAATACACAATTTGCTCATTATGACAGCATTGGCAAGAATATTAAGGAAAATAAAAATATGTTCAAGTACCTGAATAAGGTCCTGAAGGCTTAATCCTTTGCCTCGATAACTTTTGGCAATGGATACCACAAGTCTCTTATAGTAATAAGTAATCCTCCTTCGCGATTCTCTTCCTTTACACGGTATCTTCCCTACACTTCTCCTCCTCATCTTTAAGGCCTTAGCCAACTGCTTTAAAGTTGGTTCATGTTCTTGAGTTTCTGCAATTCTTCTTCTTGCTGCTTCTAGTCTTGCTTGATCCTGTTAATTTGCAAGAACTTATGCGTTTTCAGATGAATAAATTTGGATCTAGCAAGAAATTTTAACTTTTAGACAGTAAAATTTAATGCATTGGCTTTGTCATAACAAATTATAAACCCTAAACCAAACTATTGCATTTTGCAGCCATATCTAAGCCTGGTTAAGTTCAAGCAACCAAAATCTACAAAAAGCTGCTAACTTTAGACATGTCCATTAATTATTTCAACAAATTCTTTTAAAAAATGGACTCATTTCTCCCAATTTATGTCTCGAAACCTATTGTACAAACCATCATCGATTAGCACAAAAGCAGCAATCACTGTGCAGACTTTGTAGGGAAAGCATACCTTGAGACAGAGACAAAACTCTGTCTCCTCAATTGGGCTTAAATACCCATTACTTGAAGACTGAAATAAAGCTGTCTCATTTTGACCATTCTTCTCCTCCTCCACCGCCACAAAATCAGACCCTACTGCTCGTTCCCTTCTATTCTTCCTCCTGGCAACTAAATCACCATTCCCATTTCTCTCCCTTTCATCGTTTACCTCTCCACTTTCAGAAACAATTTGCACAGCCTCTCTCGCCGCCTGAACGGCGGCGCTTGCTAATGCTACTGCCTCGGCTGCTGCTGCGATATAGGTAAGAGGAGTAGCTTCATTGGAGACTAAACTTACGCCAAACTTACTGAAAGAAGAGGAGGTCGATTGGGATTGATTCTTCAACGATGAAAGGGTTAAAAAGATTGTTGGAGAAGATGAGGTTATGGCAGTTACTGTAATGGCCATTAAAAAAGTGGGAATGTAGTGGATGGATTGGGTAAGGGAGGGAGGCAGAGGATTTAGCTCAGCAGCCAATTAATCAGGAATCATGGAGATATTTTCTTTTTCACTCTTGCTTGCACGTGGTTGATGAAATACCACCTCGGGTCCCACTCCCAATTACTGCCACGTCACTTCACTTCCACGTCTCCAATATAAATACCTATTTTTATGTCTTTCTTCTTTTTCGCGCCAATTTTTTTTCGCTCGCAGACTTTTCTTCCCCCTCCTCCCTGAAACCCTAGTTTCGCAGAGACTTGACTGAAATATATCAAAAATCGCAAAATTCTGGCCAGGAAATAGAAGACAAGGCCACGATGAAACGGTCTTCAACTGCTAGCGAACCTCCATTGACTTCGAAACGCGCCAAAATTATTAGGTCAGTGAAAAATACAATTTTTATTTTTTGCATTTTTAAATTGATTGCAAGAAATTAAGAAAGTTCGAAAATTTTCACTTTTAGAAATTTGGGACCTTAGGAAGTTAGAATATAAACTCAATTGAACTCCTGAGAAGGGGTTTGTGTTATTTTATATTCCTTGTGTATTATTGCATTATGCATAAGCTTGTAATGTCTCAGGGTTGGTTTCCTTGCTGATTGTTTGTGTGCGGTTTTATGTTGTCGGTTCAGTTGTAGAAGAAATGCCAGGGTTGAGGGGCTGAAATTGAGAGGGACTTCTAGTTGTTTTTTAGGTCCCATTTGATTTTGTGAATTTAAGAGGAGGGATTTGGATTTTCTTCCTGTAAGACTAAATCACTTGAGTTTTAAATACTTAGATTGCGTGGCAATTCAGTTCAGGAATTGGAATGAGCTTAAATACTTGTAAAAAAATGATATGATGTCAGATGTCAAATGATTAATATTTTGGCACTTCCAATAAGACAAGTGCTCTATCATTGGCAATGATTCAGTTTATCATTCCTGTTTATATATATGATTTATTGGCAATGACAGTGAGGGTTAACTTTTGCCATTTCCTTCAGGGGGGAAGATGATTATATGCCTGGAAACATAATTGAGATGGAGCTTCGCAACTTTATGACCTATGATTACTTGTTATGCAAACCGGGATCACGCTTGAACCTCGTAATTGGACCCAATGGGTCGGGTAAGAGCTCCATTGTGTGTGCCATTGCATTGGGTCTTGGCGGTGAACCACAGGTTAGTTGAAGCCTATCAGTGTGATTGATCATAGGATTCAATTGTTCTTGTAGAATATATGAAGATGGGGGCCTTTATTTCTGCAGTTGCTTGGCAGGGCGACAAGTATTGGAGCATATGTAAAACGTGGAGAGGAGGCTGGGTATATTAATATATCCTTGAGAGGAAAAACAGAAGATGATCGAATCACTATCATGCGCAAAATTGATAAAAATAACAAGTCAGAATGGTTATACAATGGTTAGATTCTTAGCACTTGTCATAGCATTGGATTTAATGGTTCAGTCCTTCTGGCGGTAATGTTTCTGACTAGGGTTCTATAAATGTGGAGGGCTCATTGGAATGTATAACCCTATAGTCTACTCGCTTTTGTTGCTTTATTTAGCAGATAAAAGGGATGATCTTAATTGAATAAGAAAATCTTTTTTCTTACTCTTCCTAATGGCTGATGAGGTATTCATGCTCCATTTGTTTCAGGAAAAGTAGTACCTAAGAAAGAGATAGCTGAAATAACTCAAAGGTTCAACATCCAGATCAACAATTTGACTCAAGTAAGTTTTAGGACTTGCAGTTTGACATTCTGTCTGGCGCTTAGTATCATTCTTGTACAGGTCTATTCATCAACTCTTCAAGAATGCCTATATGTTGCAACTTATGTTCATCATAAATGGCTGATATTGCTGTTGAAGCAATTAAGTCTGAGTCCATGGCCTGGCACTTACTGATTGTTGAAGCTGTTGGATGATTGAATCGCTTCCTGGATTGGAAATTAAATTTTCTACCCGATAGATGTTTCTTTCCCGAATATGTTATCTGAAATGAGTGATCTCAGTGCAAAATTTTGTCACAATCTACTTATTATTACTAGTTCTTAAAAACCTAGAAAAAAGGAAAAAAGAAAGAAAGAAATTGGCCCACTCTACAGTTGCCCGCAAAACCAACTAATTGGGAATCACATGCGCGATCATTGATGAAATAATTGCTGCTATGAATTTATATAATATTCTTCTGCTTGTCCACAGACACTCTCTTCATATTTCTCTCTGCTTTCTTCAGTTTCATTACAACTAGGTCCTAAAATTGTAATAGTATTTTGTTTATATTTTTGGATGAGGATCCTAATCTCCAGTTATTAATATTCTCTTTTCCTTTTATGTCTGTTTTCACCTCGTGATGCAGTTCTTACCACAAGATAGAGTATGTGAATTTGCAAAGTTAACTCCTGTGCAACTTCTGGAAGAAACTGAAAAGGCTGTTGGTGATCCTCAACTTCCAATTCAACACCGGGCACTTGTTGAGAAAAGCCATGAACTAAAAAATATTGAAGTGGTGAGTTTCTAAAATTTGTCAGTCCTGGAAATGGTTATAAGAGTTTTCATGCAAGTTTTTCTTCAAACATGTCATGTATTTTGTGTTAGGCTGTTGAGAGGAATGGAGAAACTCTGGATCAGCTGAAAGCCCTTAATGCTGAACTTGAAAAGGATGTAGAGCGTGTTCGCCAAAGAGAAGAGCTTCTGGCAAAGGTATGCATTAAGATTAGTTGATTATCATTTGTCTCTGTAATACTTACCTGACGTCTTTATGCTGTCATCTTTAGGTTGAGTCCATGAAAAAGAAGTTGCCATGGCTGAAGTATGATATGAAAAAGGCTGAATATATGGAAGCTAAAAAGCAGGAAAATGATGCCAAGAAGAAGTTGGATGAAGTTGTGAAGACTTTGAAAGATGTACAAGAACCCATTGAGTATGTTGTTCAACTACTTTTATGCACATTCTTTTTGAGAAATATTCTGTAGAAGACGTGATACTGACATGGAGTTACATATGTTGACCTGTTGAAAATTCACATGTCCAACATGCTCCACATTAATGTCTTGTTATTTTAGTTAATGGGCATAATATTTCTTGTGATTTAAAAAATGGGATATACTCTAATTTCATTAATTCAGAAAATGTCGTTTTCTTGAAACAAAATCTTTCCTTCTGGTCCTTTCCTTTTTTATTTTATTTTATTTTTCCTCAAGGAAAAAAGTTTTGCTAGCTGTAATCACATCTCGAAGTTGATGGGCATTGTCAAAATTTTGAGTCTTCTCTACATTCATCTTGGTGTCACTAGCCTTCTTTCTTTTGTCTTTTACAAGTCCAACTAAGCTTGCTCTTTGCATGGGCATGAGGTCTGCAGGTTTGGTAGTGTTGAGAATCTGGGCCTTAGGAGCAATTAATCAAATTAAATTCAATTATATATTTAATATTGGGCTTATAATGAGTTGGGCTTACCTTTAACTCAAAATGGCCCAAGCCATTTTGGTTGGTTCACCCTTCACATTATATGCCCTTTTTAGTTAGTTGTATTTATCCGATGTGGGATTACGCACATACTCCAACACTCCCCCCTCAAGTGGGACAACCCACTTGACAAGCATACGATGGCCCAACACATGGGTCCATCAGGGAACGACCCAACACGGGAACTTCCCTCATGTAGGTTCAGGTCCCAAGCTCTGATACCATGTTGAGAATCTGGGCCCTAGGAGCAATTAATCAAATCAAATTCAATTATATATTTAAATATTGGGCTTATAATGAGTTGGGCTTACCTTTAACCCAAAATGGCTCAAGTCATTTTGGTTGGTTCACCCTTCACATTATATGCCATTTTAGTTAGTTGTATTTATCCGATGTGGGATTACCCACATACTCCAACAGGTAGAAATATCTTGATAGTTGAAATTATCCTCTTTAGGACTGTTGTTTCATTGGTTGTTGAAGATCCATCTTCTACTAAAAAAAAAAACTATTGTTTTCCTTTACTGGGTAAAGAGTTAGATAAGGAGTCAACTTCTTCGGAATAGAACTAGTCATGATAATGCTTTACTGGGAAACTGAGGATGATGGAAATATTTAAGTTGCTAGTAACTCAAATTTGGTACTTTTCTTGAGCTAAATTGAGTATAACTAACCATATTGTGTCTTTTCACTAATGCATTAGTGAAATTAATTTATTGCAGAAAACAAAAGCAGGAAAAATCCTTGTTGGATTCTAAATGTAAAAAAGCTGTCAGTCTCATAAGGAATAATGCTAAGCAGCGAATGGAACTTCAGGAGAAGAACAACAGTTTGGTATGTTGAACGTGTGACTTTATCCTTCGGGAATTCTACTGTTTGGTGACAGAAACTGAATTTTCTATCATTTTTAATATTATTTATACATGCATTTAGGGGGTGCAACTACAAGGAAAATACAGTGAAATGGAAGACTTGAGAAGTCAAGAAGAATCCCGTCAACAAAGAATTATAAAAGCTAAAGAGGATCTTGCTGCTGCTGAAATAGAACTTGAAACCCTGCCTATTTATGAACCTCCAAAGGATGTACTTGTAAGATACAATTTCCATCTTAAGTTGATATTTTATTCTAGTGGTGCAGTGCTTGGTGTACAATGGATGAAGTTAGTAATTTTGTACCACACTTTGGCAAACAAAGAATTTCACATATTACTAGGTCAATTACTCTTTAGTCCCTGAGGTTTAATGAAATTCAGAATTCAGGACTCTATTTTGAAACTTGAATTAAAAAATCTCTCATGTTTCATTTTGTCAACTGTTTGGTCCCTTTAGTTAAGCCGTTAATTTAAATGGTGGATTACTATTTAGTGCTTGAGTTTGTCTACAAGTCTTGATTAGTAAATTTATCAAACTTTGAGAATTAAAATAGTTACGATCTCAAAATTTTTTTATACCTCTGGCTTACTTGTTTGCTTTGAAAAATGGAAAATTTAACAAAAAGACCAAGTAGTTGGTAGTATCAAATTACAATAATGAGTTAATTCATTTTTAAAAGTAGAGGTACTGACTTATTAATTAGGCAAATCTTAGGGACTAAATCGTTAATTAACCCTCTCTGTAATATAAATAGAACTCAACTTTCTTGTGCCTGTTTAGTTCTTGTAAGGTTGTGACTTGTTACAATATATTGCAATAATAAAACTGGTCATCATGTTTGTTTAAATTTCCAGGACAACCTATCTGCTCAAATATTGGACCTTCACCTTTCCGCAAATGAAAAGAGGACCCAGAAGTCAGAGACAGAGAAACTTCTAAATCAAAAGAAAATGGCACTGAGACAATGCATAGATAAGTGCGTGCAAGTTAGGGATCCAAATATTCCATATCCTTTTATGGAAAATTGAATGTAGTTAAAATAATCCCTTATGCAGGTTAAAGGATATGGAGAATAAGAAAAATAAACTTTTACAGGCATTGAGAAATTCCGGGGCTGAAAAGATATTTGATGCTTATCAGTGGTTGCAACAACATCTACATGAGTTGAAGAGTGAGGTCTATGGTCCTGTGCTGCTTGAGGTACATGTAGAAATTTTGACTGCACCTTAATGATTTTTCACTTTATCTGTTTCTTAATTTTGTTTGGCTGTGGAATAAGGTTAATGTACCGGATCGGGTGCATGCTGACTACTTAGAAGGCCATGTTGCATATTACATATGGAAGGTAATTTAACAATTATCTTCCTTCTTTTTTTTTTTCATTTAAATTTTGTTGTGCTTAACATCAAACGGTCATGTTCTTGAAGTCTTCTGCATATTAATTCGTTTCACTTTGCAAACATGTCTATCTTTTATCACGGCAATGTCCCACTGTTACTTTAATGATGTCTATTTTGTTGTTTAACATCATAAGGTCTTGTCATAGTTACTTTTCTGTTCAATCGGATAACTCTCGAAAACATTTCTAAGAGCCGTTGAAGCACAAGCCCACTAATATTTTATTCATGTCGTTTTTTTCTTATTTTGCATGTTTGGCAGTCTTTCATAACCCAGGATCCCAGTGATCGAGATTTTTTGGTCAAAAACCTGAAGTCATTTGATGTTCCAATTTTAAACTATGTGAGGGATGAACACCGTCCTAAGGAGCCCTTTCATATTTCCAAGGAGGTACCTACAGTCCTCTGTCCGAAGTTGGAATGAATTGAACAAGTCAGATAATCTTATTGTGATTTGCTTGTCATTTTTTTATCAGATGCATGAGCTTGGCATTCACAGTCGTCTTGACCAAGTTTTTGATGCTCCTGAAGCTGTCAAGGAGGTCTTGATCAGCCAGTTTAGTCTGGACAGATCAGTATGCTTCTGAACTAATTTTGTTGTATTTTTTTTGTTTTTCAGTTTGTAAAACCTATACATGCTTGGGAAGTTACATATATCTTTTAACCATGGAGCTCAATAATATTGGCTTTTTGTTTTTCCTCTCGATACATAGTTCTTACTTAAATTTATTTCCATCAGTATGTTGGGTCAAAGGAAACTGATCAGAAGGCTGATGACGCACCAAAGTTAGACATTTCTGATTTATGGACTCCAGAAAGTCACTATCGATGGTCTGTTTCTAGATATGGTGGTCATGTATCTGCTATTGTTGAACCAGTTGGTCATTCACGTCTTCTGCTGTGTAGTATGTGCTTTTGAATTTTTATCTAAATCAACATAGTATTTACTCTGTGAATTATATATTACTGCAAAATGACCTATTTTATTTTATTTCAATGAATATTAGATTCAGATACTGGAGAAATTGAAAAGCTGAAGTGCAGGAAAGCGGAGCTAGAAGAATCTGTTACTACGTTAGAGGAAAGTTTTAAGTTGATACAGATGGAGCAAAGACACTTAGAGAATGAAGAAGCTGAACTTCAAAAACAACGGGTATGCAGAAAAAATGCAATATTATTCTTTGGAGGTGGAATAATATGGGTCAAACCGAAAACTGAAATAAGGTTTCAGTTTTTATAGAAAATGCATAAATTTTTTACATTTGGTTTGGTTTAGTTTTTATTATGTAAAACCGAGAACCTAAAAATTAATTCAAAACTGAAAAATTGAACCAATCAAAATGATCTATTTTGGTTTGAGTTCCCTATATAAAAATATGTTTTATTCGGTTTGCATTGGTTCGGTGGTTCAGTTTGAACTGCCTCTAACATGCATTGTTATACTATGTAATGATGCCTCAGTATGACTTAATGTTGCATGTGTGCATATGCAATGTGTACAATGAACTTTTATAATGTGGATGTGTGTAACTTATTGTTGTCAGCCAGACACTTACTTTTCCAGCTAATCTGACATAGGAAATATCCTTTTATGATATAATCTGTAGGAGGAGATTCACAGAACTGCACAAAATGAAAAGAGAAAACAGAATGAAATGAAGAATCGTGTCAGTAAGTGCAAAAAATTTAGCTTAATGCTCCCTAGAATGAATTTATTTGGAATGGCTAATGAATAATGATTCCTTTGTTTTAGATCAAAGGAGAAGGAAACTTGAGTCATTGGAAAAGGAGGATGACGTGGGTGCTAGCATAGCAAGGCTTATTGATCAAGCTGCAAATATTAAGATTCAGTGGCTACAATGTGCAATTGCTATTAAGGTGAAGTTAGTTTCAGATTGTGATTATTGTGCAAAATGGTCATCTTGTCAATTTTATGTTAGCGTGAATTTGTGACATAGTGGCGGCATTTTAACTTTGACTCTAGTTCTGTTATTATTTTTATCACACATTTTTTTTTCGACAGAATTTACTTGTTGAGGCTGTTAGTCATAAATGGAGTCTTGCTGAAAAACACATGGGCTCCATTGAATTCGATGCCAAGGTAATTTTGGTTAATGCTGGTGTATGATTGTAATTTGAACTTCATAATGCATAAGTTATTTGCATTCTGAGGCGCATTACTTATTTGCACTGAGGCTACCATCAAATTTTGAGAATAAGTTTAAAGCTGACACTGGAATAGTTTTATGTTGTTTTGTAATAATCTTTAATTTATAAATAAAATAACTAAATTGATGTTGTTTGTCAAAAATAAAATAAATATACCTAAATATGATAGGAATGTGCATGTCTAATGGCATAGGATAAACATTGAATCTTGTTTTCTTTGGCTCAAAATGGTATGAGAGCACTAGCATAAATTCACCATTAATTTTTGAACAGCAATGAGCTGCACATTTTATGTAGGTGTAGAGTTTGCTAACTAACTATAATGACTAATAAATAAACTATAACTTTTAACATTCAAGTGATAGAAGTAAGCATATTGATATATTAGTTGATTTAGAATATGGTAGAATGGAAATTGAAAGTAGAAAATGGATTATTTTGCTTTATTTTCTTACTCCCTAAGATCATGGTTATCAATGTGAAAGTCAATGATGAACTTGTAAAACAATTATTATGATATGCTTTATTTAAGGGCATTAGAGAAAGCTAAGAAGCTAAGAGTTCAAATGGAAACTTGAAAACTTAGTAGCAATATGTAATAGCAGATCTTTTATTTATAAAAAAAGGGCCATGGTAGACTTATAATATTTTGACAAAAGGGTCTGGTGGTAGAACAGTAATTTTACTATTTATCAATGAATGGTAGCAGGTTGTGTTCAGTCTTCTTTTTTGTATGGTAGTTGACATTTGCATATGACAGCTCTTAGAAGTTTCCAAGCTTTGCTTCTGATATTTTCTTGTTGCACATCTTCTTAGATTAGAGAACTAGAAATCAATCTGAAGCAGCATGAAAAGTTTGCTCAACAAGTGTCTCTTCATGTTGAGAATTGTAAGTCAACTTATTGAGTTCTTATTCCCATGTGTTTTTTAGGCACTCTCTCCTCCTTGCATTCTTCATGCATTCTTAGTTTCAACTATGAACATGGAATGCAGTAGCATTTATTCTATCTTGAACTTTTCAGGCAAGAAAGAGGTAGAGGAACATCGACAGCGACTCTCAGTTGCCAAGAGACATGCGGAATCAATTTCTGTTATCACTCCGGAACTTGAAAAGGCATTTCTTGAGGTTTGTTTATGCTCTGACTTGAAGTTAAAACTTCAAACTTGAAAATTTTGGATTAGTTTGAGTTCATCCCTTTCTTCAGGATTGAATATCAAACATAATGTCAGTTTTAAAATTAACGTCCCCTTTTCTATTTACCCCAAGTGACACCCATATAATCTTTCCCACCCTTAATCATCTGTTTGCTTGCAATATATGGGAGTGGTCTGCTTCCCTTGCATCATATTTAGTTTTCTTTGTTTTCTGGGAACGTCTCTGCCCTCAAAAAGGCCAAATATATATATATTTTCTGGGAACGTCTCTGCCCTCAAAAGGCCAAATATATTATATATATAATATTATATATATATATATATATTATATATAATATATATATTATCATGCGTTGAGGGGTGAATAACTGAATTCTTAGAGAATATTCATGTCTTAGTTCTTGTATATCATAATTTTCAAAGTAACAGGGCCTCATTATTAGACAACTGAATGATATATTTAGATTTCGTAGTTCCTGACAGTTAATTAGGTCATGGAGCTGTATCTCCTGTTGATGGAGATGATATCCCTATATATATATTATCATCGTTGAGGGTGAATACTGAATTTTAGAGAATATTCATGTCTTAGTTCTTGTATATCATAATTTCAAAGTAACAGGGCCCATTATTAGACACTGAATGATATATTTAGATTTCGTAGTTCCATGACAGTAATTAGGTCAATGGAGCTGTATCTCCTGTTGATGGAGATGATATCCCAGCATAGGGCCTTACCTTGAACAATCATTTCTCATCATGATGCTTAAAATTGTCCAACTGGATCTTAAGCAGCTAAATGTGGTAACTCATGGAAGCTTGCTAGCAGGAGTGGTTAGGGGCTGCTTCTGAACCAGCAGAAGACCTGCCAGCATTGTGAACTCATGGTTTGTAACTGGACTGCAATTGGCTAGGTCCATTCTGGTACTGCTTCAATGGTCTGTCAAACCAGCCTGGAACAATTGAACTGAACTGATTCTGAGTTTTTGACCCTTTTAAAGTATCACTGTCATGTTCAACCCAATTTTATTTTTCCCTTATAAAATAAAAGTACAGTTGATGAAATCAAATTATTATAAATCAATATTAATAATAAAAAAAACATTTAATTTGAAAAAATTTAACTGTGGAATCTACAAGGAACAGTCCTGAACTGGAATGGCTACATTTTAGCTCCAGTTCATGGGATGGAGCGAACCTGAACTGGCAGCCTGGACCCGGGGCTGAAGAATGGCACCCTTAACTGGCAGTATTCTAACGGATAGGTTTCCAGAATTTTTCTATCGTACATAAATAAAGTTTTTTCCCTGCTTATTGTAAGCCATTAATAATGTGCATTCTGCATTTCTGAAAGTTATATACTCAATTGTTTTCAAGGGAAATGTTTAAATGATATAATTATTTGGTACCTATTTTTGGAAGATTGTCAATCTATATTTAGTTGAACCTCTAGTCTTTAGAGTTGGAAGTCTCATTTTGGTTAAAATACTGATCTTGTGCGTGAAAAAATTGCATGGCAACATGGTCACATCGGCTATCCCATTCATATATACACTATTCTTACTTGATGCTTTATGGTGTCATATCTTTTATGCTTATGTGCAGATGCCTACAACAATTGAGGAATTGGAAGCTGCTATTCAAGACAACGTATCTCAAGCCAATTCCATTCTTTTCCTCAACCATAATGTAATGGAAGAATATGAACACCGTCAGAAGAAGGTAATTTTGCAATCCTCATTTTTCTCCTCTTAAATGTTAGTTCTAGTTCTGGCTACTGTTGTAATGCATAATCTACATTATCTTGTTGCAATGCATTGCAGATTGACTCTATTGCCAAAAAGTTGGAAGCAGATAAAGATGAAGTAAAAAAGTGTTTAACTGAAATAGACGCCTTGAAGGTAACTGGAGTTTAGTTGCGTCCTTGCTTGCCTGATGATTATACATAGCTATTGTCATTTTGGTGAACTGTGATTTGTGAACATATAAATGGTGCTTTCTAGTTTGGTTAATTTCTTAGATGAAATTAAGATAAATTAATTTATATCTGTGGATGAGCATCAAATTTCAAGCTTCAAAACAAGCCCTTTAAAGGCTAGTGTATTAATTTCTTGGTAAAGTTGGATTCCGAAATTTTACTGCGAGTTCTATGGTTTGATAGTTTATTTTGGCAAGCAGTTATTGTATCAATTGAGGTTTATCTGTAGGGGACTGGATTTGCATATTTATGGATACATCTATTGTTTTGGTTGGATTAGAGGAACTTGGAGAGCATATTTTGGCAAATAAACTTACCAGAAGCCGTTGGTTGGAAAAACTAGATAGTTGCAAGAAGCTTGAGCTAATATAAACCCAGTTACCAGCAATGCTGAAGAGATGTTTTGTGGAAGGGGGGAATAATTGCCCGCATTCTCTTTGATTAAAAGAAATTTGACTAATGGATTGGTCCCAGGACCTATAGGATCTTCCACTATTTCTTCAACCGTTTGCATCCTTTGATACATTCATTCAGTAGCTTGCACCTCCTTGTCCAAGTTTTGCCCCTGGTTACCACAGACAATATTTGATATTAACCAATATCAACCTTATCATAGCAATAAAGTATTCAAACTTACACCACATACTGGTCAATTGGTCACGGCGAAAACAATATTTTCTGTTTGGATTATCCTTGTCATTGCTTCTCCAGTACAGATTATTGTCTTGGATTATCCTTATTTCTCCGACACTATCCTTTTGAATAACATGCAGGAAAGTTGGCTTCCAACATTAAGAAACCTTGTTGCAAGGATAAATGAGACCTTCAGTCGCAACTTCCAGGAGATGGCTGTTGCGGGAGAAGTTTCATTGGGTAACTATTATGGCGTTTTAATCACCATTTATGGTAGATGAGTTATTATGAACTGTTATTACCTCATGTCCAAGTTCTTACCTATTATTTTTTATTTCTTATTTTTTATTTTTTGAGAAATTAAGAAGGTGAATTTTAGCTCAACAATAAGGTTGCCGTTGGTGACTTCATTCCAACCATGGAACAACCTCCTTGCACTGCAAGGGGGAGGTTGTTTGCTTCTGATCCTCACAAATGTCCTGTGAACCAGGAAACAGTTTGTACCACTAGCTCATTTGATTTGTTAATTATTTTCAGATGAGCATGAGAAGGAGTTCGATCAGTTTGGAATACTTATAAAAGTGAAGTTCAGGTGACTGCACTTCTAAATCTGCTTTTTATTTAGGCAAATCTTGTTTGGTATGGCTATTAAGTTTCAGTTTAAAGAAGACAATTACTTTTTGAGCTGATTTCTAAAAATTGAAACGCCAAATGCTGAATATTGACTTCTTGAATTTTGATACATCTATTTGCACTGCACCATTATTATCTCACCATCCACACTTGATTAATCTTTAAAAAGATTGGGTGTTTGTTAATCCCAGATAAGGTTGAAAGCTTCACGAGTCCTAAGTTGGATTCTGTTGCATGTTATTTTTATAAATGAGAAGATTCAAATTTATGCTTCCAAACTATGGTTATGATGACTTTGGCAACACTTTTCAAAAGATTGAGTGTAGCTCTGCACTTGTTTGCTAATCCCAGATGAGGTTGAAAGTTTCATGAGTCCTAAGTTGGATTCTGTTGCATTTGATTTTTATAAGTGAGAAGGTTCAAATTTATGGTTCCAAACTATGATTATGATGACTTTGGTTCATGTTCTTGCTGATTTCATGTATACGACCTTCAGGCAAGCAGGACAGCTTCAAGTACTAAGTGCTCATCATCAATCTGGAGGGGTATTGCATCAAATCAAATTCTTCTATTCAGATTGCTACTATCTCAGTAGTATCTTATGCTGTTTAAAATTCCTGGTTGCAGGAGCGTTCTGTTTCAACTATTCTTTATCTTGTTTCTCTTCAAGACCTCACAAACTGCCCATTTAGGGTAGTTGATGAGATTAATCAAGGTTAGATTCTTACCACTCGATCACTACTTGGATAATCTGCAGTGAATAAATCTTCATGATCTTCCTCTTTCTTCTTTTGACAGGAATGGACCCTATAAATGAAAGAAAGATGTTTCAGCAATTAGTGAGAGCTGCCAGTCAGCCTAATACTCCACAGTAAGAACAAATATATGCATAACTGTATTCAGATGTCATGCATCTTCTTTTAGTTGCATATGCTTGTTATGACAGAAAGTGACAAGGGACAAAACTGCTGGCTGGGTATTGAGACTAGATTTTGTGTCTATTAGAAAGCTAGAATGTGTGGATATTTAGTTAACAGTTAGGGCTTCTATATGTATTGGTTAAAGAAGCAAAATTAAGCAACAAAGAGAAATTAGCAACCGCAAATACTAGTAACAGCAAGCAATCACTATCAACAGATAGCATGCATGCGTTTCTAGTGCATAGGCATAGGCATAGGCATAGGCATGATATCTTGACTGTTCATTCAGTCTGATAGTTGCTGCTAGATCAAAACATCAAGGGCAGTTATATGACTCCTGCCCAAAAAATGAATGAAGTAATAACAGGATGGACCTTCTTTTGTTTATCAATATAACCAGCAACCTTTTTGCACTCCTTATCCACCATCCTAGGGGCAATTTTCTTGATGATTGGGTGATTAGTATTACTATCATGTCATCTGTGCATATAATTATTTTCAAATTCTTGCAATTAATGAACATCAGTTTTATATTTTCCATGTCTGATGCTGCAAAATGCAAATATTAACTTGCATGTTTGCTTGACCAATATGGATAGGTGTTTCCTACTCACACCCAAGTTGCTGCCTGATTTGGAATACAGTGAAGCATGTAGCATTTTGAATATAATGAATGGGCCTTGGATTGATCAACCTGCTAAAGGTTAGATGCTAGTTATAAGCTAGAATAGCTCCAATTAACATAAATCTTGTAATATATTACCATTTGAACTGCAAATGTTATTTTTTTGTGTAATCCAGTGTGGAGTAGTGGAGAATGTTGGAGAGCTGTTGCCGGGCTGGTGGGCGGAAGCAGGCCTCCAAATAACAATTGCTAGTGAAGATACCATGATGGGATCCTTGATTGAAAACAATCCAGGGCCCTGTCATCAGGAGATTGAAACCAAGCTGTGGTCTTTCTCACATCAGCTGGTTTTGTGAAAAGCATGTAAATTTTGCTGTACCTTTTTTTGTCAATCCTTTTTGTTCCTATGTATAGATGATCCCTGAAAATGTAGTTATGTATTCTTTTTGCTGAGGCTCACTTCTCCAGGAACCAACATTAAAAGATAACTTAGGTTTATTAACTTGTGTAAATGTAGTATATTTAATTCTCATATTTATTTGCAAATGAAATGAAATCTCTTTCTAGCAGAAGTGGATTACTCAATAATGCTTAGGTGGAGATTAGGAGCAATGTCCCAATTTTAATTTTTTTAGAGTTTTCTAATTATCAATATATTAATAAAATATTATAACAATAAATAAATTTGAAGTTAGATTTGATATTGATATTAAATCTTTACTTTTTATCTACTCATTTATGTTATGTGATCTTGTAAGTGTAATTTGAATAGAATGTCATTAAAGATCTATCACAATTGAATTGGGAATGAAATAAAAATGTTTTCAAATTTTTTATTTTCTTATATATATATATATAGTAATTAAAGATTTAAGTTTATTTTTTTTATCTCTGCAGGAATATATAGTTATCGTAAAGGAAAAAATTAGACATCATACATGTGAAAAGAATGCAAATTTCCTTTGATAAGAAAAGATTACATATAGCATTTTTTGTTATAATTACTAATTACATGTGCATCTCTTACCCATGTTTTTACTTATTATATATATTTTTTATTTTATTTTTTGTTAAATGAAACATGTGTTTATATAATCAACTAGATTAAAAAATAAAATATCGGTTTCAAAATCTACACGAAGCGCCGGTACAGATAACACTATCTTAAGACATAATTTACATATGTTATTTGTTATTCAAACGTCGGATGGGGGCTTGTAATCAAGCATGTCCCTTGTATTCAACCGAATTGAAGGCCCCATAGATGAGCATATATGTGCGCTTTTCCAATAAACTCCTTTTGCTCCTGATGGCTTGTTTGCTTCTATCGATTTCTGGGAGAATAACAGATGATAAATTAATGTCTATATACTCAACTACAAGACATGTCAAACAATAAGGAAGTGCAAGTTCATATCATACTATTGTAGCAAGTAAGTTTTCCAGGAGGTCATCTTCTGAGAAGTCAGCTTTTCCAAAAGGAATATGAACAATTCCGGTTTTGTCTGCTCTATATTCAACTTTTCCCTTTTTGAACTCTGCTATTGCCTGAAATAAATTAAGAGCAAAGTTGTGTCATAATAGTGATTCAAACCGTTAACTAGAAATAACCCTTATCATAGAGTTCTGAGTTCTGGAAATATAATCCCTTTAAACACTCAGGAGGGAGCGCACACCCCAACCCCCCACCCCCCACCCCGACCCCGGGGAGCTGCCCAGCTTGGAACCCGAATTAGTCAGGCTAATGGACTTTAGATACCGGATGGTTAAAACCAAAAAAAAAAAAAAAAAAAAAAAAAAAAGATGCGCACACCCAACCCCCACCCCCCACCCCGACCCCGGGGAGCTGCCCCAGCTTGGAACCCGAATTAGTCAGGCTAATGGACTTTAGATACCGGATGGTTAAAACCAAAAAAAAAAAAAAAAAAAAAAAAAAAAAAAGGAAACAACCCTTCTCATTATTGCAGATACATTAAAACTTTAATCTCTAATCTACTTGTCTAATTGGTTTTTGTCTGGTCCTTTTGCCTCACCACAGCAAAAAGAATACCACAATATATGGTCATTTTTTTCAAGTACTTGGCAAATCTTAGCCACTTGCAATTGCTAGTTAATTGTGCAATGAAGTGAACTCTCTGTTCTTCCATCTGATTTCATGATTCCATTTACATCTTACTATTGAAAATGCAACCATATATTACATAAAGGTAGGCCTTGAGATATGCAAATGTGGGCTGTGGAATAAGAATTCCAGTTGATAATCAAAATAATATATACAATATAGGGGCAAAACAAGGAAAAAGTAAATTATACCTGAGGTATATTAGTCGTAACTGTACCAGCTTTTGGATTCGGCATGAGTCCCCTTGGTCCCAGAATCTTACCAAGGACAGCAACCTGATGAGGGGTTAAGAGACATTAATAATGCTAATAGAATAGATATAATCCCTGAAAAGAAGAATTCCCAAGCGAACAGACAACAAATCATAGATAATAAACAAACAGCATAAGTCAAAATTTTTCTAGAATCAGAAAGATATTTTCATAATGTTAATTACACAGTAAGGTAGCTAATTCTAACTAATGAGAAGTGAATGAATAAACCAATCTAAATGCAATTGATACAATCAAAACAGACTCTTTCTCCATTTAACCAAATCACGCATGAAACCTAAGGGGAAGCAGTCAAATTAGATTTAACTAAATTAGGATTAAATAACCAGCCTTGCAACTAGAGAACTGATTAGCATAAATACTAATAATGCGTCTAGAAATTTTAATCAATTTTTAAGAGAAAAAGGTTACATGCTTAATTAACCACGCACTCTAGTCTCAAAGATTTAAAAAAAATGTATATCTTGCCTTCAGCATTGTGTCATAGGAATTAATCTTACAAAAGCAGAAGGGCACAGTATAGTAATGTAGATTTGAGTTTAAGAAAGCATCATCCAGACTACAAAATTCTTCATAGCAGCTAATAAATTTATTTTCTCCAATAATGTGAAGCCCAGCCCTCATAAACATAAATTATAAGTGATTAGATTTTCAAATTTAATGTTAACTAAAAAGTTGACAAGAATAAAGATTATATCTTAAGATCATTAAGATATATATGTGCTTAAACAACAATTAGATAAGCAGACCAAACACCTTAGGCATCATGTCTGGAGATGCAATTAATTTGTCAAATTCCATGAATCCTCCTTTTATTTGTTCTATCAAGTCCTCCCCACCAACCAAATCTGCTCCTGCATTTTTGGCTTCATCGAACTTCTCACCTGCAAATATTTAATTTCTTGTTATGAATGCAAAGAACAAGGATAAAAATGTGTAGGACAATGTCAATAAGTGCAATCATCCCGCACCTTTACTTTTAAAGGATCAGAAGAAAAGACCAATTAGAAAGTCTACATATTGTCTTCCCAATTAAATTTATCCTCGTTCAAGCAACTTCTATAAAGTTTCCAAATTCATTTGGGGGAGTCTAAACACCAAACTTAGCAAAGAGATGGCACCAATATTTATCTGAAACTCTGCTCAGCTGAGCTAAAGAACAACCCTGAACTAGTCAGGGAAATATTTCACAGAAAAAGGTAGCAAATGTGTGGTGCATGATAAACATGTGACATAAATTACCTCTCAGGTGAGTTGATATTCTTAACTATCAACAAAATAACAACATCACTTCTAATGGAAAGAAGAAATAATCCAACTATTTCACCATTTTTCTAATAAAAGTCAATACCAAACCTTAATTTTTCCGCCAATGAAGAGTAACAACAACTGAACTAAATATGCATGAGGATGACAAAACTATTCTGAAACAAGACATGTTTTATGTTTGAATCTTGTAAATTTATCACCAAAATTTCCACTACTAATTTTATCCAGTTGGTTACATCTACTGGATTCATCGTAGTAGATCCTTTAGCTTGTTAGAGGGAGAAAAAAAAGTTGTCCCCATAAAATGTCATCACAAGGTCAATGGATCTGTGATTGACCATGCTTCAAGCCCAGTGGCTTTTACATGAGAATATGAGAGTTTGTTGAAGATAATAACTATTTTTAGGCCCTCACTTGCAAGCTTAACTTCTAAGCTAAACGGTTCTTTATGCTCAAAGTTCAATAAGATAAAAAGTTTTGCCACTCTCAACCAAAGGTGGAACAGTTATTAAGATAAAATTGTTTTCAAAACCTTTCCCAGCTTCATTGGTATAGAATTCATCCTATACTGAACTTGAATGGGACAACTACGAATCATACTACTAAAATCTCTAGCAAGGCACTGCTATGTTAATTTTGGGAGTTTAACAATTCAACAAATCCCTAGCAATATTACATAACAACTAACTAGGTTCTTATCCTTTGTCAAATATGTTCTCATTGAAAGCTATGTTTTTCCACAGATAAATAAGACACGAACTTGAAAGTAATAGAATGGTGCAGATACTTCTCAAGCACACCTCACTTAAAAATGGTACAAGTTAGCAAATTGAGTAGAATAGCTACCTTGCGTAAGCACTGCCACTTTCACGGTTTGTCCAGTTCCTTTAGGCAAATTTACCTATGCATAAAGGAAACTAAATGTCAATATACATATGCTTAGGTTGTGAATGCATTTTTCATATAACTTGTCCAAGTAAGAACTCACAGTTGCCCGCAGTTGTTGATCATTATATTTGGGATCAATGTTAAGACGGAAATGAGCTTCAGCTGTTTCAACAAATCTTGAGTTTGCCATTTGCTTCAGCAAAGATATTGCTGTCTTTATGTCATATTCTTGCTTGTTTTCCCTCAGCTTTTGAATTTCCAAGAATCTCTTGGACCTAGTCTGGCATTTCCAACAAAAATGAGCTAAATTCTTGAAAGTTGATACCATGTAATAATCTTCAAAAAGGCAAAAATGACGCTATGAAGATAGTGTTAACAATCCATAACTATAAAAAGTAATGAACAAAATAATGACCCAATCTCCCATCTATTCCTTGAGCATCCTCTGCTCCCTACTATAACAACCCAAAAAAATATACAAAAATTAAAGAATCATCTGGTGAACCCAAAAGTCAATTTCTACCGTCCTGTGCTCCCTGCCGTAACTCTCCACTAAAAGGAAAGAAAAAAAATTCATGTATTGACAGATTTAGGAGATCCAGAAACTGCCTTCAGCTATGTCAATGATAAAGTAGAACCACACATATTAACAATTCCAACTAAAGACAATTTAAAGAATAATTTTTTACACCAAATTCTAAAAGAATGAATTCAAAATTATCCAAGCAAAATCTTCTTTGCATATAAACCCAACAATGACAATAATATTAGTAACATACATTTGCTGTCTCCATCCTAAGGCACTATTCAAGTCTATAGCCTCCTTATTCAATAATAACACAAGCTCAGAATTTACTAATAAAAACATCAACAGCAAAAGATTAAAAAAAAAAAATCAAATGAAATAAAACCCAAAATAAAATGAACCAACTAAAATCAAACAATCAAATCATCCTGAAATCCCAAACTTCAAGAATTATAGAATTCAACACCACAATCTTACCCTGTCTCTCTTCAAAGGCAATAAAGCCTTTCCTTTCTTAGGCTTAGGAGGAGGAACTGTTGCAATAACCACATCACCTCCCTCTCTCTCGTCTACGTCCTCAGAGACCTCAGCCACTTCAGTCTCCGCAGCCAAAGCAGCAGCCACAACCACACTGCAAGATACAAACTTTCCCTCTTTTAGTGTATTCAAATTAACCCATTTGCCTGATTTTCTTTCCCCATTGGAACCCAAAGCGAACCGATGGAGAGAGAAAGGTTTGGGCTTGAAGGAAACGAGAGAAGGGTTCAGGTCTTGTGGGTGTGTCGTGGAGGTGGCGTATGTTAGCATGAGGGAAGATGGTGTGGTACAGCTTGCCATTGTTGCTTGTTTGGCTTAAGCTTTCTCTCCAGAAAAGGGGACTTTATCCCTACATAAATATATATATATACCTTGTTTGGCTTAAGCTTCTCCCAGAAAAGGGACTTTATTCCCTACATAAAATAAATATATATATATATATATATATATATATTAATATATAACGGTTGAGCAGATAAATATATACGGTGAGCAGATAAGAGGCCGTTAGGTTCTACTACAGTTTATAGATGCTAGACCATTTTTGTGGCGTACGAACCCCATTTTTATTCTTTCTTTATTTGTTTTTTTTATTTATTAATCTTTATCTATTTGTTTTTAATACATTAAATCATTACAATTATTGGTTATTTTGATGCATTATTTTTCCTCAAGAGAAAAAAATATTAAATTAATTAAAAATTTTACATTAATTATACATTTAAATACCCTTAAAAAAATAGAGATTTATCTTAATTAGGAATTTTACTCAATTAGTATAACTTATTAAGCAATTTAAAAAAGATTTTTACTAATATACAGATTGCAACAATTTTATATTGATACAGATTGCTCTACAATTGACACTTGTCTATGGAAATATTTTATAATAGGTAACAAAACATGTGACTCTATTTGTTTATTTTTATATTTCTTAACTATATTTGTACTATTAATATTTATGCATAATATCAAATTAAACAAAATAATAGAATAAATACATATTTACTTTGCATACTCGATGGAAGAAATATTATGCATAACAATTTTTAATTAGATTTATGCAAATTATCATATAATCAAAATTTATAATTTAACACGATTTAAAGAGATATTATGAAATTAACCTTATATGGTTTGATTATCTATATATATACGACAAGAAAATTAAATTATTTAAAATCTCACTTTTTATTTTAACTTTATATAAATTTGTTTTTCATAATAAAATCTAATTATATGACTCATGGAATATAATAAAATACAATTAATATGGTTCCATAAATAAAACTTTTTGGACACATGGATTTATTAAATATTATAAAAGAATTGGTTTTCTAAATTTAAAATGTTGTATTACAAGATAATGAGTTATCATGTGTATAATAAAATTTAATTGCATAAATACATGCTAAAAATTTTGATAATAAGATAAATAAAAATTTATAATTATTTATTAAAATTTTAAATAATTTATTTTATTTTGGTGAATGAAACTTGATATATTAAAATTTAATATATGTATTAATACCTTCAAAAACTTGCCCCAAACATGTATTTCTTCCAAATTTTTAAGAACAGGAATAAAGCTTAATTTGCCTGGTTTAAACTTGGCCCTATTAAAATTTTAAATAATTTATTTTGGATGAATGAACTTGATATATTAGATAATTATATATATGTATAATACCTTCAAACTTGGCCCAAACATGTATTTCTCCAAATTTTAAGAAAGGAATAAAGCTTAATTTGCCTTTTAAACTTGGCCCAAACATTAAATTTGTCCAAAAATTAATGTTTTATACAATTTTTCGCTTGAACTTGCACCGGAAGAACAAAATGCCCAGATTTTTAAGAAATTTTTTTTTATATATTTTTAACTGATAAAATTACTTTAAATTTTTAAAATTAGAAAATAAAAAATTATTTAAAATATAATAATAATTATAATTATTTAAAAGTGATTAGATTAGACTTGTACAAAGACTATAGAGTAGAACAAGGACCATAAATTATATCACACGTATTATGCTCAATCAACTCACCTTATTAATTCGATATGATATTTTAAATTAAGATTGTACTTTTTGATTCTTTGTATAAGTGGAGTATTTGACTTTTCATACAAAAATGTAAAAATTTTTTATCTATATACCAATGTAAATTTTTTTTATTATCTATATTTGGTATATGAATATTGTTCTCTCTTAATGAAAGTTTCAATTTTATTTTTTTTCAAATAGAACTAAATATAAAATTGAAATTAAATTGAATAAAGTTTGATGAAAATGGTCAAATTAAATTAATGGAATTGAGAGTCAATAGTTATAGTCTAGTTGATTTTCTCACTTATGTGTGGAGTGAGATGTTTCGACTAATCGTAATAATTTTCACTAATTTAATGAGTCAAGACCTCGATCCATTCAATTTTTTTTAATCAATCTTTTATGAATAAAAAAAATATTTAATTATGCAACATTCGAGTCGGAAATAATCAAAATCAGAATAAATTTAGTTTATTCCTTGATTTGGATAATTTACTGGCGCTTTGAAAAGAATTAACAGCAAAGATAAGAGATTCACTTCCACATTTAGTCTCATAAAAATTATTAGGTGGACGGTATGGGATCGACGGTCAAGGTCAACGGATTCCAATTCTTTTCCATTTCTAGGTGCGTGCAATGCACTTCCCCTAACCATCACTGCTTTTGCCAATTTCATCTTCACGCGTTTTCCTCTCCTTTCGCCCATCACTTCCTAATTATGGAGCTCTATAATCCTAACTCTCTATTAAGCTCTAATTTAACTTAGATAAAACTATCTTCAATTTTTAATTTATTACAATTTAAATATTAAATTTTATAATTTATATTTAAAAAATTTTACTTTGCATTTTAGATATTTGATTTTGAGTTTAATCTTAGCTTATTAAACTTAAATAATTTTTTTAAATTAAATTTCGAGTAGTTAAGGGTAAAGAGTGGAGACATAAATTTTATTTTTATACATTTTACTATTTCATGTTCATTTTTTTCAATCAATTTTTATAGAGGTTTATAGAACCGTATTTTATTAACTTGTTAAAAGGATATTTAAAAATATGAATTCAAATTTGAATATATTTATAATTTAAAGCGAAAAAAAAAAAAAGATCTGCCATTATAGAAGTTTGAAGTTGGAACTCGAATGATAAAATATATTTTTTGTATTTTAACGTGGTCTCGAGCTTAATAACAGGAGCGTGCGAAATAGTGCGAGTAGAGATTTCATTTTGAAGTCCTCGCGCCATCTCTTTCTCCACCGAACAACAAATTTAACCACCGAACCTTCTCTCTTGCTGACCTCAATCTTTCCGAGTCTCTGAGAAATGGCAATCGCCAACTTCTGCAACATCCCTACGCGCGCCGTCTCTCTGCACTCATCAAACCACCACCGTAGCTATAATACCTTCACTATCATCACTCCTCGTATCATTACCACTAGTAATTCTAAACTCTCTACTCCCTCTCTTACTCGGTCATTTCCCCGTAATCGATTCCATACAACTATCGTCTTTTCCTCTGGTGGAACTGGCGGCTCAGATAGTGGTGGAAGCGGCGGCAGCGGTGGAAGAGGTGGAGGAGGGAATGGAAGAAATGACGGTGACGATGATGCTGGATCCCGCAACCGGACTGAAGCCATTCTGGCATTGGCTGAGGTATATTTTATACGTGTATAACATTTTTGGTGTTTGTGTATGGATTGTAGTAATGAGTGTGGATTTCGTGGAGTTAGGTAGGGAGGTCATTGGAGAGCTTGCCAAAGGACTTGGCGGGGGCAATTGAGGCAGGGAGAGTGCCGGGATCGATTGTGTATAGGTACTTTGAGCTGGAGAAATCGCCGATATTCCGATGGTTACTTCAGTTTGGTGGATTTAAGGAGCGCTTGCTTGCAGATGATCTGTTCTTGGCCAAGGTCGGCATTGAATGTGGGGTTGGGATTTTTACAAAGGTTTGTACTTTATGCTTCACATAAGCTATTTAATTGTGTAGGTATGCAATGCAATTCAATTATGTGAGTTGGATGTAAATTGGTGGCAACTTCAAAAGTGTTCAGTGATTTCTTATAAGCTATTCAATTATCTATGTATTTCTTCTTTAAATTCTATGCGGAAATCTTTCTGTCTTATCTTCCGAAGGATATAAATATAACAAATCACAAACATGCTAATACAGTCCTATGTGGCATGTATATATGTTGTTGTTTTAGGGAAGTCTATTAGAAGATAATATTATCAACTTAGTATGAATTGGTGAAGTGACAGAAATTTCCTAGTAAGAACTAAGAACCTTTGTGGGGGATTTTCATATTATTGTTGAAAATAGCTTTTGTTTTATATGAGCATATACTCATTTGTTTGGATAATTGGATGAATGTACATTCAGGATGTATTGAAGTTGTTATGAAAGTTTGATGCATTAGGTTTATATGGTGCATTCATGGCTAATGCTTCAGCTTCATCTGCAAGGGGATTGATTTGAGCATCTGCAAGGGGATTATCTGTGTTTGAGTTTGTCGCACACCCAATGCTCGAACTTGCTGTTGGGCTAATATATGCTTTTCAAATTTTAGTTCAAGCACTTCATATTTCTAAATGACTTCAAAGTTCTATGTCGTCCTCGTTAAATAGAACCACTCCTCCCTCCCTTTTCCTTTCCTTTTTTTCCTGTTCTCGTCATATGCAAGACAGCAACGCAATGCAGCTCATAGATAATCTTTCTGGATTTTGCTTTCTTTTCAGACTGCTGCTGAATTGGAAAAGCGCAGAGAAAAATTTACCAAGGAGCTGGATTTTGTTTTTGCTGATGTGGTATGGCTATCTTTTGTGTCCTTTCTTTTGTATTCTCCTATAAAGGTTAATTGAATGAGTGCTCTTTGCCCTTATGCTTGTATGAGTTGACTAATATAATCCTATTTCTTATAAGGAAACAAATTTTTTTTTTTTTTTTAAAGGATATAGTAATTCTATATAAACAAAGATGCTTTCAAACAGCTGTGACTTTTGTGGTCAACTTTTTGTTTGTTGTGCATACTGCATAGTGTAACTATAATTGAGGTGGGTGAGCAGAGCTGAAGTAGCAAAAGAAGAAGAGTGCAAACTATTTGCTCCTAGTTGATTTCATAATAAAGTTATGGTACTTGTCAACTATCAAGAAATTGCCAATCATTAGCAGCCATTAGCTCTATGGCTAACTCATATACATTTGACTTAAGTTGATCTTAGCAGAAACCCTTTACAGTCTGATTAGCTTAAGTGAATATAGCTAGCCACAAGCTATACTTGGACAGGTCTTATAAACAATTAATCAGGATACCAGCAACTTTTTTCCAATGCAATAGACTATATTTTCTTCTGAAATAGTTTCTGTTTTAGGTGATGGCTATAATAGCAGATTTTATGCTAGTGTGGCTTCCTGCTCCTACTCTCTCTCTCCGACCACCTCTTGCAGTCAGTGCTGGCTCTATCGCTAGGTTCTTCCACAATTGTCCTGATAACGCCTTTCAGGTTATTGATTGTTTTTTGTGCAATTCTTGGCTGTCAATAGTGTCTAAAGAATATTTCAATGTTAATGTCTGAAATCCTGCATGCAGGTGGCTTTGGCTGGAACATCTTATTCATTTCTACAGAGAGTAGGCGCAATAGTGGTATGTGCCAAATCATGTAAACAAGCTCAAGTAGTCATTTTATGACAATTGCATGACCTATGTTTTTCTTATATGTTTTTCAGCGTAATGGATCAAAGCTATTTGTAGTTGGAACGAGTGCCTCTCTGGTAAGTTAACTCCTTCAATGATCTCAGCTCTTTGTTTAATTGGTTTTCACCTTTTTTAGTTTATTTTTTCTGTACTTCAAAAGTTGCTCAACTTTGGATGTTGTTCTGGTACTACTAGACCTAAGCATGTTGTGATGTCATCAGAGAAGGAAGTTCCGCTATTTTATAATCTCTAAAAACACAATGTAATTTCATTAATATAAACTTTTCAATTGTTTCTTTACCTTCTAATAGTACATGATCCTCCTCTTCCTGCTTCAGGTATTTGTTGTGCCAAAGTCTACTTGTACTATGTTGGAAATTTCGGGGTATCTTTATAATTGTAGTCTTTCTGGGTTTGACTTCAAGCAATGTGAATTTAAGTCCATTGTAAAGAAATGTTTGATTCAGGTTTATTTTGTAACAGTTATGATGTTGAATCTTGCACGAAGATAAAAGATCCTTAAAAATGCTCAAAATTAGTAGTTTGTTAGACTGATAAAAAGATTAGTTGAATAATTATTTACTTGTACAATGCACATGAGTAAATCTTTCCTTGTTTGTGTTTTTATCCTCTATTTTTTTCACATGATTGATGGCAATTCAACTAAAACCAGCCCTCTTCAGATTGGTGTAGGTATAACAAATGTATTGATCAATGCAAGAAAGGCTTTTGATAAAACTTTCGCTGGTGAAGCTGAGGATGTACCTATATTATCTACCAGTGCTGCCTATGGTGTCTATATGGCAGTTTCTAGCAACCTAAGGTAATCTTCTTCCAATTCTTATTCATGAGGCCAACAAGAGGATTATCATCTTCAAATTGTTGGTTTATATCAAAGAGAAGATGAAGTTTTGGGAAAATAAATTTCGTGTTGCAAAACTTTTCCTTCACCTGTTTCTCATGGAAAAATTTTCTTTCCAAAGATTTTTCCCCTTAGATGGAAGAGAAGTATGCAATCGGGGGGATTAATTAATCTTTGCAGGTCAAATATTATTGGGGGAAACAATCATTCATTTACATTGAAGGAAGAATTTTCCCGACTAGAAATCAGTGCATGACATGTATCAAATATTTCTCCTGAAAGTATAAATTCTTAGCCATTGCTACATGATACGTATATGCAAATAGCGGTGACCCGTGTTACTAAATCATTTTTTATCCTTACAAATTTGGGCTGGTTTAGTTGGTATATCTGCATATAATATGTGGGGTCATGGAATTATTTACTTTCATCAAGGAGGTGCCATTGCCTAAACAGGAATAGGTTTACATTTAATTTAATGACTCAAACTTTACTCGTTTAACAGATATCAAATACTTGCTGGAGTTATTGAACAAAGAATTCTGGAGCCTTTGCTACACCAACATAAGGTTATACTGAGTGCAATTTGCTTTGTTGTTCGAACTGGCAACACTTTCTTAGGGTCATTGATGTAAGATACTGAAACTGAATCATATTTGTTATATATCCTCAAAGTCTACAAGACCATTTGCCTGAAAATCTTGTGTTTAATTTATTTACAGGTGGGTGGATTATGCGCGATGGGTTGGAATCCAAAAGATAAGGGAGTGAAGTATATCGGTGTTGATACCATTTGGTTGCTTTCATGTTGTCTGAATAAATGAAAATGATTCTTTGGAATTCTTAGAGGTGAATCCATTTGGTTGCCCCTTTTTTTTTTTTAATTTGGAAGGTAGAAGGTGATTGTGAAAAAGATTTTAAAGAACGCTAAGAAAATTATTTAGAAAATTTCAAATCAAAGGTATACATTTTTTTAGCCATTCAAATTTCAAACAGAACGTTCATCTCAGATGAGATAACCAGCTTCTATAACAGATTATAATTTTGATTATTTTACAGTTCATGGAAAGCCTGCAACATTGATGATGTTAAGAATAACTGACAAACCTCCATCCATATCCTGTTCCTCCCATCAAAAGTCTGACACTCAAGAACAATCAAATTAAACAATTTTCTCATATTGTACATGCCTGTATATTTTCCATTATGATCATATAATCTGCTCACTATGCAACCCAATGAAGAATAATTTTTATTGAAGCAATGATATTTTTGACCATTCACTAGGAAAAAAAAAAAAAAGATAAAGTATTTTTATTAGTTTGGTTCATAAGTGAAGCCATAACTGGACCTAGACAAATTTAATCTCATATTCCAGCTTTATATTTATAGTTTTCGGTATTGGTGTTTAAAATTTTAAAAAACAATTATGAAATGTGAGAAAAACAGATTATAAAAATGTGAGAAAAAAAAATGATGAATTGGGAGCAGATTATGAAATGTGAGAAAAAACAGATTATGAAATGTGAGCAGATTATGAAAATTTATTCCCTTTAGCGTTTGATGAAACGTAGCTAAATGCCCTTCGTATTATTGTCATTCATGGTTGAATGTATCCTTGAATATTTTATAGCTACGTTTCTTAAATGAAGACAGTACTTTTCTTCTGGCCGGATGTCAGTAATTGAGCCTATTCAACCTCTGCATTCCCAGTTTAAAAAAAATAATAATAATGATAAAATTTGCACTCCATGAATTAAGGAAACAAGGAAGAATTTGTGTTACATGAATCAATAAGTTTGCTGTTCAAAAAAAAAAAAAAAAAAAAAAAAAATTTTTCCCTTCATAGAGCGTTATGATGAAAACGTAGCTAAATGTCCCTTTATCGTTTTGTTTCATTCAGTGTTTCCTGAATTTTATTTAGCTACGTTATCATTAATGGTTTTTCTCTCTGGTTCCCGGATGTAAGATAAATTGAGGGCCTATTCCACCTCTGCATCTCCCAGTTTTTTGTTTTGCACTCCATGCATTAAGGAGGAGAATTGTCAGTACATGAATCAATAAGATGTTGCTGTTTTCAAGGAAAAAAAAAGAGGTATTTCTCTATATAGCTTGCCGAGACTACCTCAAATTCGGACAGTACCATTTTCATTTTTTTTTAGTCCTTCCATCTTCACTTTCAGAGCGCTGTCTGTTTCTTCCTGCTTTCAACAATCAGTGTTCCTTTTTTTATTATTACTTGGTATTACAGTTTCTTCCTCCATTCTACGTGTCATCATACCATGTTAACTTCCTACATCGGACTATCACATTATCCATTTTCTCTCTCTCTTAGAATCCACTTTCCTTCCATCAAAATTACAGAACGACAAATCACTGTTAGATTCCCACAAGAACAAAAACCTTCAAATAGCTTCTTGAATTAATTTTTTAAATTGGTTACAACATATGGTTTATAAAAAGGAGCTGAAAATTTCATATTACTATCAATTGACGCAGGGAAATAGTTAGAAAAAAAAAAAAAAAAAAAAAAAAAAAAGGTAATTTCCTAAAAGCTTCCGACTACTACCAATTGGAAGTACCAATTATCATTTTTTTTATCCTTCATCTTCAACTTCAGAGCCGCTGTCTGTTTCTTCCTCTTCACAATCAGTGTCCTTTTCTTCTTCTTCTGGGTCATCATCATACATTTCTTCCTCATCTAGGTCATCATAAGTTTCTTCCTCATCACTATCCATTCCATTCTCTTCAGAATCATTTTCTTCATTTACAGAACGACAAATATGTTAGATACACAGACAAAAAATTAAATAGCTTTGAATTATTTTTAAATTGGTTACCTGGTTTAAAGGCTGATTTCATATCTATCTTGACGCAGGGAATGTTGTCTATCTTCGATCTCACTTGCCTTTTATTCTTCTCATAATTCTTTTTTAGCAGAGGACAATCTATTACATACAGTTCCAAAAGTGAGGGAGGTAGACTGTTTGGGAAGGAGGCAAGCTTGAGGCAACTCTGGAGCAATAGAAGTTGAAGCGAGGCAAGGCTTTCAAAGCCTTTCGTGGAGAGGTATTCGAGATTTGGGAAATCTCTAATGAACAAGGGAGTGAGTGAGGAAGGCAACATCATTCCCATTTCCTCATCTGGAAAGGACAGCACGTCTGGACATCACCTCTGATATGAAGTTGTCTAAGAGATGTGAACCTGTGCAACCCCACAAACAATGGCTTGCAGAAGTTGGACAAAGAAATATCAAGTATTGTGAGGTTGGTGGGTAAACCTTCATCTGGAAAGGATATGTTCCTTCGACAATTATATAAAACCAATGTTCGAAGAGATGTGAGGTTGTGTATGTTATCAGGAAGGGGCTCAAGTTTCAAACAATCTCTAACCTGAAGTAGTTTCAGATGGGTGGTGGGCAACCCTCTACATGGGAAGGAAACAAGACTTAAACAACCAACTATGTTAATCTTACGGAGATTGATAAGCTTGTGAAGGTCGTCAGGTAAAGATTTAAGATTATGGCACCATCTAATATTTACACGTTCAAGAGATGTGTTGTTGCCAAAGCTCTCTGCTATTGACTCCAAGCTTGAACAAAAATCAACCTTAAGGTCTTTAAGCGTGAGCAGTAACTTGCTTGCTGCTGATAATGATGTAAGAGACTCACGACTAGAAACTACCAAATTCTCAAGATGGGGGATATTACAAGAGGAAAAGAAGAATCTTCTTCCTTATCTAGTAAGCTGTGCAAATTCTTGCAATATCTTATCTTCAGCCGCTTAAAAGTTGGAGGTAGCTGGCCTCTTTTAAATGACACCAGAGAATCGCACATGTAAATTTCCATGTCTTCAAGACATGCACTGCTGTGAACTGCATCAGGTAAAGAACTGAGATTCATGCACAGTCTAACCCGAGTAGCTCTCAGACTTGGAGGAAAACCAGCTTCTGGGAAAGAAACAAGTCCTGGGAAACATTCTATTGTTAGAAGTCTAAGCGACATGAGGTTAAGAAAGCATTGCAGCAGGCTTTCACAACAAATTAATTTCACAATTTCAATTTGACTGGTAGCCATATAACTTGTTGGTAGCGTAGAAGGAAATATATCTCCCATGATTTTGCTCAAAGTTGTTGCCTTGCATGAACGCCTCTTTGAGTGTTACGTTATTTGAAATTTCATGGAGTACCAAAGAGTTTTGTGAACCAAAGACATTCATATATCTACAATCCACCTCTTTGCAGTTTCTGATTTCTAGCTTGGACAACATTTGGAGGCTTGGAAGCAAAACCACCATTTGGTCACAGTTTCTAATCACAAGCTTTTTAAATGAAGAAAGATGGCCGGATAAATTTCCTGATAATTTGGGACAATCTTTAATGGTAAGCTCACTCAAGCATGGGAATTCAACCTCACTCGGATTCCATTCTTCCAGTTGAACCATATTCATAAATTGCAGAGTTTCCAGTTTTGGAAAATGATTCATATTTCTGTCCCCATGAAATTCGTGATCCACCCGTTTTATACCATACATTCTTTTGACAACAAGGTGTTTGACAGATGGTAACAGCCCTAGGTGAGGTAAGCACCTGCATTTTTTGCAGTCCTCTAAACATAAGGTCACTAGATTATGGAATGAAGGATCTCCTACCCAAGAAGAAAGTTCCATACCACTGTAGCCTTTTACGGTGAGCTCTTTCAGTTTTCCATGAGGTTGCAGTCCATCAAGTACATCTCTGTCAAGTCTCTCATTTCTCACATCATCATATTTCCATTCTAGCAACAAAGCATCCAGGTCTTTTTTACCTATCAAATTGGCCTCCCTGGCATGTAGAGCATCAGTCACGTTCTCCAACCCAGTAATGCAGAGTGCCCCCCGAAGAAATTTTAAGTTCAGCAGGGCTGATATATTAACACCATCTTTACCCACTGGAAAATAAGACAGAGCGCGGAGATTTTTCAATTCTTTGACTCCCATTGGCATCCCATCCACTACAAATTCAAGATGACGCAGGTTAAGCAAATTTCCCATGCTTGAAGGCAACTTCTTAGATGCCAACATCCCTCCATCAATAGGTTTGTAAGTTGCATAGTGAAGTTACTGACTCAGTTACAATTCTGATTTTAGTGTATGAAAGATTTAGATATCTTAAAGGTTTCAAATCACCAATTGAATCTGGCAACTCAGTGATGTTGTAGTAACTAAAAGATAACACTCTTAAGCACTTAAGCTTTGGTAACAAATCAAAAGGAATTTTATTTGACAAGTAGTTAGTTGAATCCCATATTGGCAAAGGTAGGAATGAAGTTCAAACTTTTTAATCCCATCAAGTTCGCCAGGAATGAAAGAGAAGTGACAAGCTCTATATTTTATGAATTCTTCATCAATCCTTGGTTTATCATCCAAATTGAAGCATGTATCTCCAGCATGTCATTGTGCTAGATCATTCACAAGGTCATGCATAACCAAAAAAGATTCACCATTAGTTGACGGTTGAAAAAGTGATCTACACAATAGCTCGTGAAAATACTCAGCACCTACATCTTCCGTTTCCTTTTCACTATCCACTGGCTGTATCAAACCTTCTGCCATCCATAAAAGGATCAATTCCTTCTCCTCAAACTCATAATCCTTTGGAAATATTGCACAATAGGCAAAACACCTCTTTAAATTTGATGGCAGCTGATGGTAACTTAATCTCAAGACAGGAAGAATGCCACTTTGGTCATTTTGTGAACTCCATATATTGCTGTTCAATATATATTTCCACTCAACTTCATGTTTTGGAGCGTAAGATCCCACCCAAAGTTCTTGCTGCCAAAGGCAAGCCATTACACTTTTCTATGACCTTTTCACGGATGAATTCCAGATCTGGACATGCACTGATACTTCTATTCTTAAAATGCATGTTTGGAAAATAGTGACCAACAGCCATCATCTGAAATATTTTGCAGTTGGTGAAACTCAACGGTTCCCATCATCCGTGAAACAGCTATGCTACGTGTTGTCAGAAGTATTCTACTTCCTGGTGCTCCATCCATGAATGGGGGCCGCAGAACACTCCAATCTTCATAATTCTCGGTCCAAACATCATCTAAAACAATCAAAAACTTCTTCCCTGCTAATTCTTCACGCAATGTTAGCTGAACTTGATTAAGTTCGTTCAGATCGCAGGACTTCATAGTATTCCGACTAAGAATGCTCTTTGTTATTCTCAAAATGTCAAACGCATCAGACACAGAAACCCATCATTTTATATGAAAATGTTGCACTGCCTCATCACTGTATACAAGCCGGGCAAGTGTTGTACTGGGAGGTCGTTGCCATACCTTACTGGATGGCCCTCCAACATTCTCCCTCAAATCTAAGTGATTTCTCTGTGCCGTAATGTCTTGTAATCTGGTGGTTATCTCCTTTATCTTGGTCATCTCAGAATTAAACATAACAGCTCTTGGATTGAAGGCCCTGGCAACAATGTGAAAGAAATTTCGAACCTCACTTGTGCTGGCTCGAGTTTTGTGCTTCAACCGGCGCTGTAAAGATTCAGTAGCAAACTCATCCAAGAAGTCTACCACATCATAAGCCAAGTCTTTGAGCTCCCCAAGCCAGATCTTCACCAATTGCTTTGTTATTTGCTTCTCCTCTGCATCATCAAGCAGAGCTTGAATTCTAGTCAACATTTTTTCCCATTTCTTGATCTCAGCATGGACTTGCTTTCGATCTTGATATTTGGAGCTCAAATATTCCATGGAAACAGAAGCCATCTTTTTAATAAGCAGTTCCATCAAAGCTGATAGTGCAGCCTGTCCAATGAAAGACATGTCCTTGCAGAAACAACAGAATTATAAGACAAGAGGTGGTTGTCTATGAGAAAGATTGAAGTAATTGAAGCAAAGACAGGGAAAGAGGAACAATTGAAGCAATGAAACAAAATAAAGGACAATTCAAATGAAAGACTAGACAAATATTTTATTTTTTGAAATTTCAAAAACTAAAGTTATTCGATATCTTCTTCTTTATCAATCATTAAATAAGGTATGGAATAACTCACAGTAGACGACTTGCAGTCGAAGTATTGTGTTTCTCTTCAATGGGCTCCACAAAATTTGGCATGCCATGAAATATCAGGAAAAGAAGGAAAAAGCTAATCCATGTAAAAGCTAAGTTTCTGTTGGATTTGTTTTACTAAATTTGATAAACAGAAATCTTTTGGAAAGCCAAAAAAGGAAAAGCAAAAAAAAAATGAAATGTTTCTCCGATCAAAATAAGTAAGAAAGCTATTTACATATCTTTTTGTGCTAAAATCTTCCATATTGGTTGCTGAGAAAATTCTAAAAGCAGAGAAGGGAAAATGTTTAAACAAGAATGAGCAGAAAGCCAGAAAGAAACAATAGTATAATATTAAGTACTAGAAATACAAAAGCAGGTAAACATTAACTAAAATCATAATTATCTCAATCTCAAAGGAGAATTCTCGCAAATTAATAAGCATTTTGATCAATTGAAAATTATGATCATTTTGAAACCTGAATTCTACTTACTAAAGTTTCCATTTTTTCTTCTTGTTCTTTTTTTTTTTTTTTTTTTTTTTTTTTTTTTTTTTTTCTCTTTTTTTTTTTTCTCTCTACTCACTACTTTTCTCATTCAACATCTGCTCTACTGTCTATGCATCATGACTTCTTTTACATTTCCTTTCAAACTTCAATCGCCAGACTGTAGGAGCCTAAATTTTTTTTTTTTTTTTTTTTTTTTTTTTTTTTCTTTTTCTTCATTATCTCTAGCTTCTGCTTCTGCTTCTGCTTCTTTTACCTTTCCTTTCAACTTCAAATCGCCAGACTGTAGGAGCCTAAATGTACTTTCTCTTAGATGGCTATCCCTTTTAGGCTCAATTGCTTGTAGCACAGTGATAAGCGGCCGGCATGCCGGTTGCCACGGTGGCGCCGAGGCCGTAGGGACGGAGGTTGAAATGGTGACGTTGTTTGTACTTGCTTGCATGAAGTCGAACTACAAGTCGTACGTGATAGCGTCACTGGGAAAGCAATTTCACAATAAACGAAGCGTTTTATTCTGTAACTTTTGTTGACAAAAACGGCATCGTTTTAAGAATAACTTATTTATTTAGGTCTTCGGGCAAAATAATACCTTTGAGCAAACCCTAAAACTGCAGAAACAGCGGGAGCAGAAAAACTCATAACAATGACGCAGAAAAGCAATCTATTCAAAGGACAGCAGAAGAAGAAAACAATCCCTTCTAATCGCCATGGAAAAGTTCCTGTTATGCGCAAAGGTCTTTTCTTTTTTCCCTCTTTCTCTGTCTTTAATATGCACATCTCTGTGTGAACTAATGCTTAAGAAATATTTTACATAACTTTTATCTACCTTTATGTTTCAGGGAAGAGATTTGTGAAGCCATCTAAGGTGACAAAGGAGATGGATGCTGATAGAGTGAGTTCCATTACCTTCACTTTTGTTTGTTTTATTTTTCTTTGATAAACAACGGATTAAACAAATTTTCTTCTCTGTTGGATTTTGAGTTAATGACATTTACATCACAAGATTTAGGGTTCTGATTAACTAACGGTTTCATGGAAAGAGTCAAGTGAGGAGTGCATATTTTTTTCAACACCCACAATTGTCTTTCTTCTTCCTTTGATGTGGTTTTCCTTGCTTGTAAATTTTCCACTAAAAGGACCATGATTTGACAAACTATTTGAAACCCAAATAAGTTCTGTTCTATGATGATAGGTTGCAGAGATAAAGGACAGTAACATGCATTGGTGATTTTTAGATTTTTTTTTGGACTAAGCTTGGTTAGACAAGAATGGATATTTGTGTTATAATTTGCGTCAAATACTGATTGCCAGCACTCTTTTTACTGTGGGTGATGAGTATGAGCTGACGCCACAGCTCTTCCATTTCTGCAAAACCGATGTGGTTAGTTTTGCAAGCCACATTTTGCTGATATGGAGACATTTCTTTATTTTTTATTGTTTTGATTTTTTCTTAAATAGTGGACGCATACCCATATTTATAGTGAAGATGGAAGCGATTATTATCTCCAAATGATTGATATTGGTTCCACTAGCTTGGAATTAAGATTAGTTGTTATTTTAATATCGACCTTAATCATGCTATGCAATTTTTTCTCTATTGAGAATCCAGCCAGTCTTCTCATACATCTTCGTCTCTTATCCATTTTGTGCATATTTTTTTCTTTCATCTTTTAATTGTCCTATCCTCCCCACTCTTTGCTTTGGAGGAAAAAAAAAAAATTCAAAGCAGGTCTTATGGTTGGAACCCAAGTCCTGCGGCATTTTAAGGCATACTCTTAACAATTTCCCTCCCCCTTTATATTTTTGGCTTCACCGTCTCTATGCTCCTCTCATGTTGGACAATTATGACAATCTGAGAATTTGAGTTTATAACTGGTGTCAAATTGCCTTTTTCTTATTGCAATTTCCTTTTTGTTTCTTGCTTGTTTGAAATGAGTTGACCAATGTCGATGTAATTTATAATAATTTGTTATTCATTTTGTTCTTGTATATTATGACAATGCAGACTGTCTTGCATTTTGATTGCAACCATTTCTTATCTTTGATTTTTTTTTTCCCCCTCTTCCAATATGACCAGGAGCTGAGCAAATTCATAAACCACTGCAATGAGGTGAAAGCAGCCACCCTTGCTAACAAGGAAGGTGGTCAACTAAGTATTGTCAAGGCACCACCCGAACCTGCTGGTGCTGCAAAGAAATAAATTTAGGTGATACTGCAGAACAGAAGTTTTGATATAGAAATTTACATTATCTTGAAACATGTTGAGGACCTCGTCTTATGGTGAGGTCTTGTTCTAATTTGCGTTCACTCCTAGTCCAACCCAGTTAATGTTTGTGTTTTATGTTTTGAAATTTTTGAATGTATAGTAGACTGATTGCTTAAACGAGGTCTAATTATATTTTTTGGTCGACTTGTAACATTTTCTTTGGTAAACTGCTTTTGATATATGACTGAAACAAGAAATTTTGTTCTAATGACTTTTTGTCCTTCCCATCAAATTTTCTTAAGGTGCCATTTGATGTCTTTTGAAAGGTCTCTTATGACCAGTATTTCTTATATAATATATACATAAATGCAGGATTTTTCTTGTTTGCTTTATACATGTCTTTGTAAAACAAACTGACAAAGCACTGTTTTGACTTTCATAGAGGAATATTAACCAACAGTTTGTAGGCATATGCATCCAACAACACAATAACAAATCATCTTGAGCAAGAAGGCCAATTTTCATTTGCTTATTAAAAAATCTCACTTCTCTAATCAAACAAACTCCCATCATCTATCCATTTTGCAAACTCCCATGGTTTCAGCTGCCCCGTATGATCAACCCAACTGAATTGAGTGATTTATCTTATCTACACTGAATTTAAGGGCCTTTTTCATAACTAACTAGTTATTTTACTGTATTTGATGAAGCAATTAATGGGAAAAGAAGCAAAAGAAGCAAAAGGGTCATACGTGATAATGATTGATTGATGAAACCATTTTGTGAGAGAGAAATGACACGTATCTGACGTGGATCCAAGTCATCTTTCTGCAATTTTCCATTTACTCACGTTTTCTGACATCAATGGTGCCCTACCTACATTTCTTTGAGCCTTTAACCAGATCATCAACCTTCTGGCACGTGATCACTCTTTTCTTTATATATTACAGAGCTCTACTTCCCAAGTTGCCTGCGAATTTCAGTCCCCATTTATACGTCCGTTCTTTTTCTTGGTTCCGTGCAAATTTGTTGTCCAAAAGTGTATTTAATATTAACTTTTTATATCTTAAGTCTTTGAATAAGTCATAGGGAAAATTACATTTGGATCCCTAAATTATATCTTAACTAACAATTTTATTCCTCTAGTTTCGAGAAATTACGTCTCTAATTTTTGCTTCGAACTAACTATCGGTCCTTCTATTTCAAAATTTAATTGTTTACCATTAATCAAACTAACTTTTTTAAATATAATATGCACACTTTTTTTACAAAAATATTTCACTTTTTGGACGAAAGAATCCGATAATAAATTTGCAGCAAATGTTAGGAACATCAAAATAATTTCTGAAAAATAGGGAGAAAGAAGTGTTAATTAGAATATAATTTACGGACCCAAGTGTATTTTCTCTAAATAATAAAGTATTTTAATTCATAGTTATTAAATAATAAATCATTCTAAGGTGTTTTATAGACCTAAATATTTTAATTAACAAATGTTTAATAAGAAAAGGAGAGGATAATTATATAAGCAGATTTTATTGATCTATAATTTTTTGAAATTGATTCTCTTATTCTAGAAAAATAAATTTTAGGACTTAAATGTAATTTAAGTAATGGAAGGAGAATTCATCTCTTCTTTCTTATTCTACTTTCTGGAAATCAATGATTGAAATTTCTTTGTCTTTTACAGTAAAATTATAGTTTCTAGATGTCTCTTAGGATCAAATCAAAGTTGTAAGCTTTGGACCTTTTACTTACACTTGTAAGTTTCAAGATTGCTTGTTTGCTCTTGGTAACTACATTCCAAGTCCTTTTAGATTATCCCACACAATGGAGACAACTTGAAATTTTCATTATTACTCCCTCTATTTTTTTATATTTGTCATTTTAGAAAATAAATGATGCTTTATCATTCTAATAATTCATTAAATATTTAATTTATCTTTCTATCACTAATAATATTAATAGTTCTAATGTGGTTCTAATTTATTAATATCTTTCTTTACTAGCAATTCTGATTGATTATAATTTCAAACTCTTAAGATTAGGTTAAGAATCACTGGACCTCATTTTTCAATTTGGTTTAATTCAAAAATGAAATTCTAGAATCAATTTCATACCGATTTCTATCGGTTTAATTCTAATTTAAATTGATTACATAATGGGTATATATATATTTAGTCCTGTAGGAATATAAATAATAAAAAATCACTCCATACTCGAACCGGTCGTCATTTCTAAATAAAATTTCAGGGATTAAATTAGTGCATTAAAAATGAAGGAGTTACAATTTAGATGAAATTTGAGGTACTAAATAGTTATTTATCTAAAAATAAAAAAAATGGAAAACTCCTCTCTAATAAATAATTATGTCATAAGCTACTAATAAATAATAAATAATAAATAATAAATAATAATGTCTTGCCCAAGAAAGGGTTCCTCATAACCAATAATAACGGTCAAGAATGGCATAGAGAGTGGAAAGTGGAAACCCCTAAAAACTGGTAAAAGTAAAAAGTAAAAAAGAAAATATTTACTTTTGTAGTGTCCTATTAGGCCTGTGAATTTCCTGTAATGGAAATCCAGATAAGCCTAGTCTCTTCGTTTGCTGTCAAAAAGTCAATCTTACCCACCTCATCATTTGAGCCCATTAAAACTGAATCTCAGCCATTGATCATAATCATTTTACTCTTTATACCGTGCACCAAACAAGCACGGAGTACAAACCCAAACTCGCACGTGCTCTGTTCTTTTTTACACATATTCACTTCGCTTCTCTACCATTGGTCCGTGTATTACACGTAAATAAATCAGCGCGTTATTCGCGTGGATTCTTGGATAATAAAATTATATAGAAGAGAAAAATAAAAAACTAAAAATAAAGACGTTAGCCACTACTGATATTAATATCGCCAACAAACAAGAAACACAAAAATCATACAAAATCCAACAACGGTTTTCATACATCACCACCACCATCACAGCCGCCACCTACACCGCCGGAAGCTGAAATCATCACCACCAGTCCACCATCACCATGGGTGCTACAGAACGTGTATGAGAAACTTATTACACTTGAATTTCTCCATCTTTTACTTGTCCTTTTGTAATGTCTTAGCTGCTAATAATTTCAAGAATTTGTTTTCTTTAATTAGGAGCTAGAGAGAGAAAATGAAAGAAAAGTGGAAGAAGAAGAAGAACAAGAAGAAGAAGAAGAAAGAGAAGGAGAAGAAGAAGAAGAAGAGGAAGGAGATGAAAGGAAAGAAGGGATAGAAGGAGAGAGAGACTTAGAAAAAGGAGAGATGGGTTTTAAAGAAAAGGTGATAGAGAGCAATGTAATTAATGATCAAGATCAAGGAAATTTTCATATGTCAATGTTGCAAAGATTAAACCCATCAAACCCTTTAAGAATTGTTATTAATAGTTCTTCTAGAGTTGCTACTCCTTCTCCTTCCCAAGCTCCTCTGCCTCGCTCTACACCAACCCCACAAGTAAGTTGTTTCTTGATTTCGTGATCTTCAGCAGCTTCTTTGCTTTTATGAATTTGTTAAAAAAATGACTTTTTAAAGTGTTTTACTTTGGAGTTTAATTATAAGTATACTTTGAAACTTATATAAATTATAGTAAATATTTGTCAATTTTCTACCTAGTCAAACAATTTTAGCAATTAATGAGTATGTTTATCTTCTTAATGGCTTTGGTGGACTGTTATGGAAAATTCTGGGTCTCTCTCTAGTTAAATATAAGTTTCTGCTGAAATTTTTCAAGTTACTAATAAATTGTGTTTTTTTTTTTTTTTTTTTTGAAAAATTCCTGGGTCCTCTCTCTCCTTTTAAAATATAGTTCTGGGGGCTGAAATTTTCAAGTTACCTAATAATTGTGTTTTTTTTTTTTTTTTTTTTTTTTTTTTTTTTTTTTTTTTCCGTTTTCTTGTCTTTGATCACCAGCCATCAATAACGACACTTAATTCAAGAAAGTATACAAACAGAATATCTCTGTTTCTGTTTGTCCTGCATATGGTTTTAGCTATTGGACTAGTGTGTTTTCTTATATTCAAGGGAATTCAAGGACTTATAGAAGCATCAGATACTGTTAAAAGAAAGGAGAAAAGGATATTGAAGTATTTCCTTCCTCAAGTTGAAGTTGCATCGCTATTAAGCATTACTCTTGCTTTTGCATGGCAAAAGGCCGTCAGGGTATGGCCTCGATTCATGATTCATTTCATATTATGGAGTTCTTTCTTCATATCACTTTCTGCCGGAATTCTGCTAATTTGCTTCCAAAGGGCTCCTACTGATGGTGTTGGAGTTTGTCTTATTGCCTTTGCAATGGGAAATGGTTTATATGCTTGTTGGGTTAGTCAAAGACTTAAATTTTATTCTAAAATTTTGGTCAAGTCACTTGAACCTGTTCCAAAATTTGGTGATTTGAATCAACCCACTTATTGGATGCTTAGTGTTGGGTTCTTGTGGATGTCTTTGTGGATTTTAGCTGTAATTGGAGCCTTGAATTTCTATTTTCCTCCTTTGACTATCATTGCATTAGTATTAAGCTTGGCTTGGATTACAGAGGTTATGAGGAATGTGGTTAATTTGACAGTCAGTAGAGTAATCTCTCTGTATTATCTTAGAGGAATGCAATCTAGTACTCAATTTTGTTTTCAAAGAGCTACGACTATAAATCTTGGAAGTGCTTGTCTGGGGTCTCTATTTGTGCCAGCAATTGAAGCGCTGAGAATTGTTGCCCGAGGTTTGAATTTGCTCGAGGGAGAGGATGAGTTCATGTTTTCTTGTGCTCATTGCTGTCTTGGATGTCTGGGGTCTCTATTTGTGCCAGCAATTGAAGCGCTGAGAATTGTTGCCCGAGGTTTGAATTTGCTCGAGGGAGAGGATGAGTTCATGTTTTCTTGTGCTCATTGCTGTCTTGGAGTCATGAACTCCATTTTCAGATTTGGCAATGGCTGGGCCTATGTACAGGTATCATCACTGCTAAAATCTTGAAACTTCAACAAATTTCCTTACCCTTTTTACTGCATTTTGCTGAACAATCTGATGCTTTCTTTTTTGTGGTTGCAAATGAATATAACTGAGTTTCCTCTATAGAGCCAAGAAGATAATATGGATATGACTTGCTACTTAGTTGTCCTTTTCAGGAAGTTGAAAGCTTTAATGAATTTTTTCTTTACAAGATTCAACGTTGCAAATTCTCTATCAGGACCTTTAATCTGATCTAGTAGGGATTTATATTTCAGGAGTCATTTTCAAGTAATTGCATAATCTATAATCATTTTTGTAAAAATCTAAATAATGCTGGATAATTCCAAAATTAATGAAAATACACTCTTTCTGCTATGTTTCATATATTTACCAATCTAATAATGCTTTCCTGGTTAATTATTCTGGTTAGACACAACTCTCAGACAACAAACACAGCTAACTTATTCTGCTACGTTTGTTTATACCGAAATTTATCCTTCAAATCAACAATGCAGATAGCCGCATACGGAAAAAGCTTTGTGCAAGCATCACAGGATACTTGGGCACTCTTCGAGAGGCAAGATATGGAAAGGATTGTAGATTCTGATATTACAAGCTCAATTTGCTTTCTTACAGGAGTATGCAGTGGCTCCATTTGTGTTATTGTAGTTGCTGCTTGGACTCATGAATCATATCAACCTTTCACAGCCACAGTTTCCCTTCTGGCTTTTTTCATTGGATACCTAATGGTTGGTATCCCTGACCACATTGGATTACCTAATGTTTGGTATCCCTGACCACATTCTTTAAATGGAACATTTTTCTTTGCTAGGTATTCTATAATCTTTTTATAAGATTCTTTATTGACGTTCAGCAGTTAATTAACTTTGTTTTTCGCAACTATATGATTTACAGACCAAGAATTGCCTATGGCATTGCCCCATGAACTGTGTGAGCTGCTACTATGTCTTGTTATGCAGAAAAAATGTTTGTTATGCAGAAAATCCTGACAACAGATTATTCGATAAAACAATCAAAGAACGCCAAGAATTGATAAAATCTGGCCGCGATGTGGTGGTTCCGACGCCTAGAGTACCCCGGCGGTTTGCATCATAGTTCATAAGCCAAGGCAAGATTTTTCCATGAAAATGTACAGAAGCAAATTAAAATTTGTGGTCACAGATTGTCAAAAATGTACTATTACTATAGTCCCTTTCCATTCGGGGTCCAGTAATTCAGAATTCAAGCTAATCAAGCTAGAGATGAGACAATTTAACATTATCATATTTGCATATTCATTTTAGGATATTCCTTATTCCTTGATTAAAGAGTTCCTCCATTATTTTATTTATTTATTTTTTTTTCTTTTTTATGGTAAATTAAAAACACTTACCATAGTTTAATGTAATTTTAGTATCTGTTTATGCAATCTCCTTATGAGTTGTGCATTTTATATTAATCTATGAGTTGTGCATTTTATATTAATCAATTCTTTTTTTTTTTTCCTTATCATAGTTAAAAAATTAAAATATGGGTTTTTCTTAAATAAAATAATGCTTAGAACAGAAATGGTGTGTTAGGTTTGCCTTCATTAAAATATTGCACAAACTTATCAAAAATCAAAATAAAATAACTTAAAAAGTACAAAATAGACTATTTTAATAGGTTTTAGTTGGATATGGAAACAAGCAGCCAGCAAGAATTAATATTATTTTATTTTATTTTATTTTTTTGGAATTATTGTTGGGAATCATCCAGTGGAGAGTATACATGGAGCAAATTAGAAAATGCTTTCTATCTTAGCAACCATGAACTAGCCAAATTAGAATACTTCATGTGTAATCGTAAAATGATTGAAACAATAAATTTTTTAAAATTACTAAATTAGATATAATCTGATTGATTTCGTAACAAAAAAATATTAGAAGACTAAGAATAGAAATATTTCTTATTTTCTTGAAGATTATATATAAATTAATGGTATGAGATATTTCACTCATAGAAGTAAATGTTAAGGGTATGCATACTGATAAAAGAAATTAGGAGTATAGCTAGAATGGTAAGTTATTCTCTAGCCTTTTTCTTCTTCTCTTCCCTTGATTTGAAATGTGACAAAGAGAGACCATACACCAAGGATGCAATTTTTTTTGGAATAATTACTATATTGTCCTTAAATTTTTATTAAATACATTAATAAGGACTTCGGATTTCAAAATTATGCTATTTAATCCCTGCATTATAATTTTGTTATACTATAAGTTTAATAGTTAGTTATGAAATATCAAACACCCTTAAAAGTAACTACTATATAAGGACTAAATAGAGTAAACTTATGAAAATTGAGATTCTTATTAGTGCATTTCATCAAACCATAAGGGCTACATAATAATTACTTTTAGAGGGTATTTTTGATATTTCATAGTCATTTAAAAAGGAAAAAAAAAAAATAATTGTATCTTATAGTGTAAAAAAATTATAATGCAAGAACTAAATAGTATAATTTAAAATACTAAGATCCGTACGTGTTGGAGCAAAACCTAGAGACTACATCGCAATTGCTCCTTTTTTTTTTTTTTTTTCCTTTTTCCATTTTTTTTTTTTTTTTTTTTTTTTCCCTTTTCCAAATTGAAATTATATTAGAGTTCCTCATCAAATTAGCAACTTCTAAATATTCAAAACAGAAAGATGAAGTGTTTTATTGAAATTTGAATTTATAATGTAATAAATACCATCAAGAAAGTCATCTTCAAATTGCATAAAGCCATCTCTCTCTCTCTCTCTCTAAAAAGCCAAAAAAGGTTTGAACTTTGCAGGAATACATTGAATAGGACAGTCACTACGTATGTAATCATACCATATGGGAAACTCTTCAATTATTGATTATTTCTTCCATGCTCAAAAAATGAAGATTTTATCTAGTGGGTTATGGAGTAGATTAGAGGCCAAGACTTTGACTTTTTATTGCCATTTTGACCGTTTGTATTTATATTCCAACTCTACAAAACAAGAAACATAAATAATTAATGGAGCAATAAAGCAGAGTCCTTTCCATGAATGTCTCTCTCAAATAAAGGCCAATTAGGTACTTTTTTTTCAAATAAAGGCCAATTAGGTACTTTTTTTTGTTTTTTTATTTTTTGATGATGCTATGGCTAGAAGGATTGGGTGGAGAAGGAATAATTTGGAACATTAACAATATATCAAGAGGAATATGCAATTCATTTTCCAAATCACATTTGCTAATTTCTTTTGATTTAACTAATTATGAATGCTTGTTTTGATTTAGCTAATTACCAACGCTTTGACCGAGATAGTATTCTGATAAAACTTACCTTTCAGTTGCAATTTCAAATTTCGAATATTGGTAAAATTCTATTTGAATAAACTCCACTTTATTGTAGCTTTTTTTTTCTTATTTTTTATTTTTAATTTATAAAAATTACAAAAATATTTATTGTCTTACAGTTCGTTACAAGAATTAAAAAAACCTACAAAAATACGAATGTTGGAAATTATTAATGCTATTTTTCACATGATGATTTTTTTTTTTTTTTTTTTTTTTTTTTTGTGCAATTAAGAACCAATAACTATTATATTTCATAATTTCATTTAGGCATATGGAATACTAAATTTATTTATATTTATAATTTTTTTTTTTGTGCAATAAGACAATAACTATTAATATTTCATATTTCATTTAGGCATATGGCAATCTAATTTATTTATATTTTAATTTGAAAACTAAATTATAAAAAAGGTGGATCAATGCCAATATGCATTCACCCAAGAAGTGCATATAAAAATTAATAATCTCAAAAAAATATATTAATAAAAAAAATAATAAAAAAGATCATTTACATCATGTAGATACATCAAGCGAAAAACTTCAGCAAATTCTATAATCATTACTACAACGAGACTTATAAAGTATAAATGAAAATAATATATATCATAGTTTCATTAATAAATATATTAAAATTGACAGAAAAAAAAGAAAAAAAAAGGCAATTGTCTTTATAATTCCCAGATTAAAGCAGCTTCAAGCCTCCAAAGGAGGCAACCAGACGATGGAAGAGGAATTATAAAGTTTTGAATACTTAAAAATTAAAACCACATTATAAGATCCAACAGAAATATTGGCGCCATAATGCTATCCTCAGAAGAAGGTTTAGCAACCATTGCACAACCATGATCATTAAAATATATGAGGTTGCAATGACAGAAACAGCCATGCAACTTCCCGGTCCTTAAGTGCATTATTATCCCTGAAACAAACTATATATTACTCGGTACAAAAGCAATATTACTGAATCACATACCAAAAGAGTATAGCCCAGCTCTCCAAATACTGGATGCAAGTCTCAACATCAACTTGCTTTGGATTCTGACTTTGTGCTGGCTTTTGCCTCTGATTTTGAATCCGGTCTTGCTTCCACTGATTTTGTATCAGCTGCACAACACCCACCACCATGATGATGGTGGTGGTGGTGATGATGATGCCCATGATGATGACTTTGTTTCCCCTTGAGCTGCTTCCGCATATCATATGCATCCTCCCCATCAGCATAATACTTAGCCTCCACATCATGAATCTTATATCCCAATGTTTCAGTGTACAGATTGAATGCTGCACGGTTACTCTTCCTCACATGCAGCGATACATACTCAGCACCAAATACCTGCTCCAGATAACTTGATGATGAGACAAACACACAATTCATTTACATGCACTTCACAAGTATGTTTATCCACTTTTGCCCATAACTTGCTCTGGTAAGTAAAATTTCAAACAAACTGTAACCATTTGCAAAAGAAGCTTCAACTTTTACTTCCACAACCATGAATGAGAATTAATGCAGAACAAGCTCACAGCAAGAAAAGTAGTTCAGTAGTTCAATAATGTCGATCATCTTGGAAGTTTAATATCTATAAATGTTCATATCGAATCACCTCAAATTTACAAATTGTGATCTCCCAATTCATTAAACTAATAATTTATAAGTTGCATTTGGCTATTCCAGATCTTCATACATATTTTTCATAATAATATATCCTTCCCCTTTGGGACTGATTGGTGGTACAAGCTAACCTGATAAGCATAAACTGATATAAATCAAAATCGATGCTCTCATCAAAATATAATATACTCGCTCATCATAAAAAAATTGCATTAACAGTTACTTCAAATCCAATTTTAGATAGATTCTGATCATTGTAACAGAAACTTCAAATTGTACTTCAATTATCAAATCAGCATATGGAAGTACTTTTCGTCTTCAATAAGTGAACGGAATAAAAAAACTTGCTACTAGCGATAAAAAAAAAAAAAAGAAAAAAAAGAAAAAATTCAGTGATACTTATATCTAAAATTAACACGTCAAAACCACCTCAAAAAATTTAATTGAGAACCTACAGATTAAGCCGTCCCTTACGCTATTGTTTGGTTAGTCTGAGCAAATTGAGTGGTTGCAATTTAACTACACATGCAGAGAAAATAATTATCAGTTCTCTTGCCAAAATTTACAGACTAGCGAATTGAATCCCAAATTACATTCATTTCATAAAACCACAAAGCCACAGATAAATCTTATGAATTTCTCGCGCCATTCAAAAATTAAACAATCGAATACATAATTCTATACCTGCTGCATAAAATCAAACACAAAATGCGTAATTATCGAAGTAAAGTTTGACCTGTTCCATGGCGGTCTGAGCAGCGTTCATGAGCTTAGTAGCAAGGCCCAACTTGCGGTGAGTACGGAGGACAGCGAGGGAGGTGATATGGCCGTGACACTCATTTGACTCTTCTTCCATCTTGGCCAATACGTAGCCAACGATACGACCGTTGTAGTCTTCGGCGACATAGAGGAGCTGTGGCCAGGAGAGTATGTGGTAGAAATAATACTTCATCTGGTAATTCTCCGGTAGACATAGCAGGTTACAAGCCTGCATCGCCAGTAAGTCATCTATCGTGGCTTTCCTTATGCACACCATCGCTGGATTTATGGGTTTCTCAAATTCTTGAAGGGTTTAGGGTTAGGTTTTGGAGGACTGTGTTATTATGGGAAAGAAGAGGGAAGGGAAGATTTAGCGTAGATATGATGGTTTAGTTGGGCTTTGACCAAACAAGTTATTTGGGCCCTCTTTATTTCTTTATTTTTTTACACGTGTATTCACGCTTGGCGAGCCAAAATCTTACATTTAATTATTTATATTTGTAAATTGATATTTTTTGAAATTACAAAATTTATTTCACAAAAATATTTCAAAAAAAATAAAAATAAAAAACCAAGGTACAATTTTTATGAGTGAATTACTCGATCCTATAATTATATTCAAATATGCTAGTTAAAATTTTTATTTTAATAATTTAATTATGTAGTCTCTCGATTTTAATTATAATTAAATTCTAAAATTATAACTATTGTATTTGAGATAAAAGCTTACTTAGAATGCTAACCCTTTTTTGGAATAAATGAATTCCATAAAATTGTGAAATTTACTTATAAACTGAAAATTTTATATTTGGTATTCAAAAAATAAAAAATTAAATTCTATGAATTTGAATATAATTAAACTAAATTATACTAAAATGTGAAATTTTTATATAAATTCTACAAACTTAAACAAATAAAACTTTATGACAAAACATTCCATCTTTTTAGCAAACTTAGAATTTTTTTTTTTTGTGCAATAAGACAATAACTATTAATATTTCATATTTCATTTAGGCATATGGCAATCTAATTTATTTATATTTTAATTTGAAAACTAAATTATAAAAAAGGTGGATCAATGCCAATATGCATTCACCCAAGAAGTGCATATAAAAATTAATAATCTCAAAAAAATATATTAACAAAAAAAATAATAAAAAAGATCATTTACATCATGTAGATACATCAAGCGAAAAACTTTAGCAAATTCTATAATCATTACTACAACGAGTAATAAAGTATAAATGAAAATAATATATATATATTTGGATGCCTCATGCAAGTATTAAAAGAAATAAAAGCAAAGAAATTTTTAAATTTTGAATTTATTCCAAATATGAAAAAACCTATATTTGCATTTCTAGTATCAATGAAAGATTCTAGTAAAGAGAAACTGCAAATTCGCATGCATGGATTAGTTTATTCTCTCATTTCTTGAATTTCCATACTCTGATGTACTTGCTATTGTGTGTGGTAACCACCTTCTTCATTCCAACAGCCAGGCAAGTGATTGAAGGTCGATCACTTCTAGGAATCTGATCAATGTTGATGTCACTAGGGAGTTTTCGCCCTTTTCTTCTTTCAATTACTCCATGTGCATATCTAGAGGAGCTTGATGAGGTATCATGGTCGACAGTATAGCTCGAGAGAACAACTCCTGAGTCCTGATCCAGAATACGCAGCACCCCGTCTATTCCACCGGCTACTAATGCTGATTTGTCATTTGTCAGGTGCTGCAAAGAATATATAACATTTGGACTCACTCGTGTCTCCCATAATTGTCTCATCATCCTGCAAGATAACAATAAAAAATCAAATTGCAACCATGGGCAGGAGCTCCTATAACAAATATGCCATAGTCAGTTTCGACCTAATACTGAAATAAGGCAAAAACAAAATCAATTATCAGAGCAGCCATTTTGATAATCAACCCTACAGAGTAACAGGATAAAGCCTCTGTCATGTTTACTTCTGCTACAAACTAGCTATGATAGTACAAGTCCTAGAACCTATATCACAGTTTCGCTCTGGAAGCCTACTCAATCTGTGTATGGATGACAGGATACGTCACAAGCAAATGTCCTAGCAGCAGAGTAAAGAAAAGAAAATAGCTTGTCAATATCTCATTCTACATTCACATAGAGCGCAACAATGAAGGCCACCGACAAAAATTTAGGCTGGGTCAGAATTCAAAGTACACTAACTACCCAGTCATCATTTTTAACTCTGGCAGAAACATCTAATTTAGTGATTGAAATATCCTACTTATTGCTACCACAGATATTATATTACGGAGGAATGAAAAATAAAAGTTATTCATCTGGGAACAGTGAATTGATACCTGAGGTCCCAACAAGATGTATATCCAGCTGTTGTTCCAGCAAACACTAGATGAGAACGAGGGTTGAAACATAAAGTCTTTATGCCTGTACCAGGAAGTTGAATCAGAAATTCAGAATTATGTCAAGTCGCTTGTAATGTGCAGTGCATTATTAGTTAAAGAGAAGGTGCAGTGGAAAATTTATCATGTCTCAAACTGGCAGATTAGGAATCAAGAAAAGCACTCAGAGCCTGAAGAAGAAGCTGCAAGGAAACCACTGTTTTTTTCTTATGAATATCTCATCTGTTATTAACCAAAAGACAAGAAAGCAACAGCTTAAAAAAAGGAATGAAAGAATAACTGTAAAGAATGCAAGAACACATGATGAGAATGCAATCATAATCGTAGTTATTCTTGATTGAGTGAAAAACAGTACGACCTGTAGAATCAGTGGATCTCAGTGTAGCTGTCCACTTATCAGATGAATAACCAGACACCATGATCCTCCCTAGTGACGAACCACTAAGAATTAACTGATCATCCCCCAAACATAAGCAAGTCACAGGCTCTGGATGCATCCTACAATTTGGAGATGAAAACATAACCAAATAGAATCCATAGAGAAAAAAATCTTTACAAAATGTAAGAACATAATAAGAATACAGTCTACTTTCTTCTATTTCACAGGCATTCTTCTATTAAACAATTTATTCACTTGCCAGTGTCTAATAGTCTATCCATTTTTTGCACACCTCCAGAAATTGAAATGGCTTTCCAAGAATTAATTGTCTGACCATAACAGACCACCTTCTCTCGCATGTTCACTCAATCACTCAAGTAATAGAATTTAGCATCCGATTATCTAATGCACGAAGCATCCGATGTTTGTGGGGCTCTAGAGTGGGTTGATGAATAACAACCAAGAAAATTTTAGCTGTACATACCTAATGATTTTAGAACATTTCCTACTGTACATATCAAAAACACGAGCTGTCCCATCCTCACATCCAACAACAGCTTCTGGATCAAAGTAACTTCAAGCAAAGAATACATGAATTATTGGTCTGCTCAAAAGAAACCACACAACCTTGCACAAAGTTGAAGTCTAAAGACAATTCAACTGTGAAATAAATGAATATAAACTAGTTTGATAGGTTGATATAAGAAAATAAAATTTGCTTCTGTACCGCATGCATAAACCCTTCATAAACGTGCCTTCACGAGAGGGAAATGTACTCATCTTCCCATTTCGCCTCCATAAGCATATTCGTGTGCCAACCAAACCAACAATCTACAAGAACATGCATTAAGCAATTGGGATAAAAACAGACACATTACATCAATGCCTCCCAATGTGAGATACTTCAGAATAATGACAAATTACTAAAGGTACCTTGCTCTCATCAAAATCAAAGTCAATTAAGGGGCTTGCATCTTGGATTGAATATTCTTCCATACAATTGTATGTTTCTAATGACCAGAGACGCATAACCTACCATGATACTGATAGCTATACAAAAAAAGTCAGCACAATTGAGTTATATAACATATATCACATTTTGATTTAGGAGAACATCAGAGATATGCCACAGAAGCAATCACATCAAAATAAGTTTAAGTTCTAGAACAACCATATAGCCAGCAAGTACTTTAGACAGCTTTTACTGGTGTCAAACATGACATACGAAACATTGTGTGTGTGTGAACAGGTCGATAATTAGACTAAAGCCATCAGTAACAGTAGGTTAACGCCACCATTTCAAACTACGTAAAGGAGAAGGTCACCAAAAATTCAAATGGAAGGATATTAAAAGGTGTGGAATCCTACCAATCTTTCTTTAATTTCTCCCAGTGCACCCGATTGGTAAACGAATTTTTTAATTCATAAACTAATCCAAATAAATGAGCTTGTTAATTCACAAACTAATCCACTACTCCAAAATTGAGGCCACTACTCCAAAATTGAGGTTGGCTAAATAAGATTACAATATCTAGTCGTCTATCCAAGAAATCAAACAAAACACAAACTAAGAGCTTGTTTGGCATAAATGAATTCCATGAAATTTCATGGGATTCATTGACATTTACAAAGCCAATTTTTCAAATTTGGTATAAATAAAAATTCATTTGGAATTCCATGTTTTAAATTCTACAGAATTGGTTTTTCTTGAACCAAATACTAACAAAATTGGTAGAATTTGCAAATGAATTCTCAACTTTAAAGGAACAGAAGTTACTAAAGTTAATGAAGTTTAAGTACAAGATATCAAAACATATTTAGAATGAATTCTATGAATGATCCAAGCATGAATTTCCATTTATTGATGAATTTTTTTAATGAAATTCATTTATAAAATGGAATGAATTCCATATGAAAATTATTCCAAAACTATGTAACAGAAATAGTAGAGAGTGATCCAATAGAATCTGCTTTAATAAAAGGGTAAATAACAAAGATGACTTATAATAAAAAAACCACCTATCAGACACCATATTTAATTAAAAAAGTGATCATACCTTGTCCCCCACACCAGTAAGAAGCAAGCCCATCTTCATTCGACACTGATCAACCCTAATACAAAGCAAGGTTAGAGAATTAACATATACAAGCTGCAAACTCCTGCATATATACACTTAAATATACCGCACATATTACTCAAAAAAAAAAAAAAAAAACCTTTATTATTTTCGTCATCTTTCCATAATAAAATTTTGATACCTTTTTTTATCCACTCAACAGAAAAAATAAAACATAATGTGATTCAGCTGTTTTAAATTAGCTTGACAAGAAAATGAATGGAAGAAAAAAATAAATGGGAAGAAAAAAAAGAAGAGGAGAATTTCAATAATTACCCAAGTGAATGGCCTTTCCATTGGTCAATATCAACAGAAGAAGCTTGAACTAAAGATTGTCTATGATGCTTCATAGCTAGCTCCTCAAAGTACATATTTAAAGTCTTCTCTGAACCGCTATCTATATTTGAAATTCCTACATAATTATCCTTCTGCTGCTTCAAATAAAGCGCTTGAAGTAACTTTGATCCTTTGATTATTATATTCCTTTAAATGCACAAAAGAGAAAAAAAAAAAAAAACAAAATTATACACAAATATTTGGGGAAGGCAAAGAGAAGGAGAGTAAAACAGAATTTACCAAGATTTGCAGACAGCAGAACAGCGAACGAGGTCAAAGAGGTCCAAGACTGAGAATATTATGCAAAGGATGTCATGCTCCAAAAATTGGATACTGGTCGGACCTCTCCAGCTCCTCTTCTTCGCCGGCGACCACTTTCCGCCTGGTGTGGGGCTCATATCTTCTCCGTGAACTGGGTTAATCAGAGGAAACGAGCGACTGAAAATCTCATAAAGCTGGAAGGGTGAACGTCGTTTCGGCAACGACATCATAAAGCTGGAAGGGTGAACGTCGTTTCGGCAACGACACAATAAACACACTCACAAAATAAACCCAATATCAGATGTATTGTCGTTTTTAGGTAATTTAATTTATGAGTTTAAGAAAAAAAAATACTATTTAGTCCCTAGAATTTCTAAAATAAATGTTTCAATATAATAAAAAAAAATTAAAATTTTATTTATCTATATAGTGCAAAATTTATAATGAAAGTGAGAAATTGGGGTGTCTGGATACGAGTATAACAATATGCCAAATACATGATATTTTAAATGGTTTACTCGAAACAAATGTTTTCTTTACCATTAACAATTATGCACTTTACATCAAGCACAATACTCATGATTCATCACAAGTAAGGGTAAGTATTTGGTTCGGTCAATTTGGTTAATTTGATTGATTCGGTTAATTAGGCCGATTTAATCCAATAAATAAATATTCGGTTAGAAGTTCGATTAAAGAAGATTAATGCAAGAGTCGCGGACTCTAAGAGATAACTTTGTAGAGTAAGGTATGATATTCCTCAAACTTCAACTCCCCTTCTTTTGGAAGATAATTGGCTATTTTTTTCTTGTTCGATCCGTATAGTCTAGGGCAGTGGATTAACAAGCATTATGCTTTGCTTAGTCTACGAATTCCTGTATGAGTTTTGAGTTCTTACAATAGAGCCTTAACTCCGGTTGAAAAATGAGACGAGACTCTTATTCTCCTCCCACTCATATGCCACATGTGATTATTGGTTAAATGTTCGGTTAAAAGTTAATTTAATTGAATTAATTAAATTAATCGACTCTCAAAAGTAAATCATTTTGATTAAATATATAATAAAATTAAAAATAAAAAATATTTCAATTTTTATTTTAATTAAGTAGTGATTAAAATGTTTGGTTAATATTTATTTTGGTTAAATTAGATCGATTAATCAAGTTCATTTTCTTTAACTTCAATTTGATTAATTAATTCGACCAAAAACGGTTCAGTTAAATAAAAAAAAATTTCAATTAATTTATATAAATTAATAATTAAAATTAATTCGATCAAAATGATTTGATTAAAAAATTAATTCTATTAAATTTAATTATGTCAAAATAAAAATTTCAGAAAAAATTTATTTGAAATAAAAATGTTACTTAAATACATCGAATCGGTGAAATGCTGACTTGCAAATTCACAAAGTACGAAATCGTTTTCTTTTTTATTTTCTTAAAAAATTCCTTTTAAGTTTTATCCAATAGAAAAAAGAAATTTTTTTCATTTTTTTAATGAAACTTTTTAAAATTCTTTTAACTTTACGTGAAACAAGGATATGCTTTTTCTCCTCTAGACAATTTTATTTGGGTGGACAACAATCCTATTAAAGATTGTCTTGTCAACTTCAATTTGGATAAATGGGACCGCAAATGCTAGAAAAAGCTGTTTTTTTTTACGTGTTTATGAAAGTTGAAGGTTTAATAATGGAAAACACATAAATAAGACAAAGTTTCTTTATAAACAAAGAAAATACTGAAAGTGAAAGAAAAGAAACATTGATGTAAAGGTGATATTTCATTCATAAGAATCCTTTACATTTATAGTGATGAATTGAACTGAAAACATAAATTGACGCAAACACGACGCCACAATAGCACCAACTGAAGTAGTGCTTGATAGTAGCACCAACTGAAGTAGTGCTTGATAGCACGAAAGAAAAAATCTGCAGATTCCTAAAAACTCGATTTAAAACATTTAGGAAAATAAATAAATAAAAGACACATGACAAGCACGTGAGTTTGAAGTAACAGAAGCAAAAAACTAATACTTCTCCTTGCTTTTGTTACTGTAAACTCCAATTTTCTGCCTTAGAAGCTCAAACTTGTTAACTGGAAGAGGTTTTGTGAACAGGTCTGCTATTTGATCTTCAGTTTTGCAGTATACCAGAGTTGCTCCTCCATTTTCTTGTATCTCTCTCAAGAAGAACAGTTTGATGTTGAAAAAGAAGAACAGTTTGATGTTGAAATGCTTTATTTTTCCATGAAAAACTGGATTGTTAGAGATTGCAATTATTGCTTGATTGTCAACAAAAATCTCAACACCACTTTTCTGCTCCATATTCAGATCACACATAAGCTTCTTTATCCATAAAACTTGATTGACTGCTGCTGTTGCTGCAATAAACTCAGCTTCTGCAGTAGATTGTGCAACAATCTCTTGCTTCTTTGAGCACCAAGAGAAGAAACCTGAACCAAAACTGAAACAATAGCCTAATGTACTTTCATGTCATCAACAGAGCCAGCCCAATCACTATTCGAGAATCCACATAGTTTGAAATCATAACTTTTTCCAAACTTGACACCATAACTGATTGTACCTTTAATATACCTTAAACACTCTCTTTGCTGCAATTAAATGTAACTCACTAGCACAATGCATAAAGCGGGATAAGAGATTTACAACAAATAAAATGTCAGGTCTGGTGGCAGTAAGGTACATAAGGCATCCAGTAGCCTTCATCAACTTTCTCGGTTCCATCTCCTTTGCTCAGCTTCTCCTTTTGATTCATGGGTGTAGCAACAGCTTTGCATTCCTCCATTTGGAATTTTGTTCAGAATTTCTTTGGCATATTTCTTCTGACAAATGAATACTTCATTCTGGCTTTGTGTAATTTCCATTCCAAGAAAATAGTTCATGAGACCAAGATCCGTCATTTCGAAAACCTGCTCCATTTCTTGTTTGAATTTTTCAATCAGCAAGGCATTATTTCCTGTCACCAAGATATCATCAACATAAAGAGAAACTATAAGAACATTATTGTCCTTATGTTTAATATAAAGAGTTGCCTCTGATAAGCTTTTTTTGCCTAAGCTTTGTAATAATCATCTATCTTGCTATACCATGCCCTGTGGTGCCTATTTCAAAACCCATAAAAGAGCCTTTTTGAGCAAGTAGACTTTATCTTCTTTCACCTTGCATAACAAAAACCAGCAGGCTGCTCCAACATATATTTCTTCCTGCAGAACACCATTAAAAAATGCAGATTGAAATCTAAGTGGAATACTTTCCACCTTTTTTGACGGCAATGCTAGAAGCATTCTGATTGTGTCCAATCGAGCCATTAGGAGCAAAGGTGTCTGAGTAAGGTAATCAACACCAAAAATCTGGCATAACCCTTAAAAAACAGGGCTGGCCTTCGTGTTTATTGATGGAGCTATCTGCATTTAATTTTGTTTCTGAACACCCACTTCACTCCTTATGATTTTTCTGTCAGAGGTTTGTCGACTAACTCCCATGTTGTTATTCTTTTTGAAATCATCGAACATCTCCTCCTCCATTTGCTTTTTTCCATTTTGGGATCTCTTAAGAGCTTCTTCATGTCCAGCCGGCTCATAGACTGCCATATTTACAACTTTTGATAATTTTCAGAGAGTGACCTGTTCCTTCTAACTGGTGAATCATCAATGTTCCTCTTACCATTTGTCTTTCAACTTGCTCTTCGGAGAAGGTCCTGGTGAGCATTCAATCCCATTGCTCCTCTTCATTTAAATTCATTAAAGTGAACATCTCTGGTAATAGTCATCTTTCCAGTTTGTGGATGATAGACTTTGTAAGCTTTGGAGACTAAGCTGTAACCGACAAAAATACCAGGAATGGCTTTTTTTGTCTAGTTTGTCACACTTATTCTGTGGAACATGAACAAAACAAAAACTTCCAAACACTTTAAGAAATTTCAATGAAGGCTTAAAACCATACCAGGCCTCAAATGGTGTTTGATCCTTCAATGCCTTACTTGGAAGTCGATTTTGAAGAAATACAGCTGTGTTGGCAGCCTCTGCCCAAAAAACTTTAGGCAAATTCTTCTCATGCAATAAACATCTCACCATCTCCATCACATATCTGTTCCTCCTCTCACTGACTCCGTTTTGTTGCGCCGTGTAAGGTGCTGTGAATTGATGTTCAATTGCCAGCTTTCACACAAGGAATTTGAATTGAGAAGAGGTGTATTCCATCCCATTTATTCAGACCTTACAGCTTGAATTTTGCAAACCACTTTTGGTTCTCCACCAGTATTTTTGAACTTCCAAAAAACTTCAGCCACTTCTGACTGTTATTTCAAGAAGAAAAATCCCAACACATTTTCTTGTTAAAATCATCAATAAAACAGATAAAAGTAGAGGCTTACCTTGGAGAGATGGAGTTTCTTTGGTTCCAGGCACTTGTGGTCCAGCAACATCTGTATGAATTAATTGTAACTTCTGTGAAGTTCTCCAGGTTGATTTTGGAAAGGGCAATCTGGTTTGTTTACCAAATTGACAAGCATCGCAGTTTGGCAATTGTTCAGTAAGCATCGGCAAGTCTCTTATCATATCTTTCTTTTTTATCTCCAACATGCGTTGAATATGACAATGGCCAAGTCTCTTATGCCAAATCTCGGTGATGTTGGTTTCTGCAGAAAAGACAGCATGCTCCTCTGCTGTTGGATCGAAAAAAAAACTTTTAACCCTTATTTTAACTCGCAGAACCTGCTCCCCTTTTGCATCATAAATGGCACAATATCGATCTTCAAATGTTACTTTGAATCCTTTTTCAACAAGCTGGCCCACACTCAACAAATTTTGGTCAATTGTTCAAGCAACAAAAAGACATCAGAAAATTGTTTTATACCTGACGTTTGTTGTAATTGCAAATGGTTCCTTTCCCTTTGCTGGAATATAGACACCATTTCAATTTCTGACGTTAGTGATCTCAGTAGGACTCCAATTCCTTAAATAGAGTTATTCATAACTTCATGTGGTTTTGTAAGCCACTGTCGATCAACCAACTTTCAGATGTGCCACCTGGTGGAAAAACCTGTTGCCACAAAAATTTTGATCTTCTTTCATCCTGAATTCAACAACTTGGCATTAGCTTTGGGCATTAGCTTCCTGATTCTTGCTTTTGCAAATTATAGCTTCATGTCCAAGCTGATTGCATTTCTTACATTTGGCATCTGGCCTTCTCCAACATTTGAATGGTGCATGACCTGTTTTGCCACAATGTTTGCAAGGAGGATATTCTTTTAAGCCTCCACCTTTACCACGATTGCGATCAGCTGTGATTTGCTCATCGTTTGAACCAGCTTGCTTCCTCTGAAAGTCCTTTTCTTCATGATGTCTGACTGGGAGAGCTCCCTCAACAGAACCATTCTGCCTCATAGATCTCCTCTGTTCTCGAGCCTGAAACGAGTTTAATAACTCTGCCAAGGTGATTGTGGACAAATCCCTTTTATTCTCCAAAGTGGTAATGGATGCTTCATATTTTTCAGGAGCAGTAACTAATATTTTTTGAACAATTCTTGAATCGTCAAAAGTAGTGCCAAGTAACCTTACTTTATTGACAATATCGAGCAGCCTTTCAGAGTATTCTTTGGCTGTCTCTGACTCCTTCATTCTTTGCAATTCAAACTCTCTTATGTAATTGAGAGCTTTCATACCACGAATCCTATCATCACCGGCATACTCCTCCTTCAAATAATCCCAAACTTGCTTAGCTGTTTTGAGAGACATAATTCTGGTGAAAATAGTGTTTGAAACAGCGGAAAACAAACAATTTTTTTTCGGCCTTTGATTTTCTGGTTTTTTTCTGGTTTTCCTCTCCTTATGGTTTTTGATCTGGGCCATGGTGGGATTTGCAGGCAGCGGAACAACTTCATAATCCTCTTCCACAGCTTCCCAAAGATCAAGAGCATCCAAGTGGGCTTGATTCTGATTGCCCAAATTTCATAGTTTTCTCCGTCAAAGATGATTGGAGCATTTGGAGAAAAATTCCCTTCAGATTCCATCACACAAGTCCCTTAAGAATAGGGCTCTGATACCAATTGAAGGTTTAATAATGGAAAACATAGAAATAAGACAAAGTTTCTTTATAAGCAAAGAGAATACTGAAAGTGAAAGAAAAGAAATATTGATGTAAAGGTGATATTTCATTCATAAGAATCCTTTACATTTATAGTGATGAATTGAACTGAAAACAGAAATTGACGCAAACACGACGCCACAATAGCACCAACTGAAGTAGTGCTTGATAGCAAGAAAGAAAAAATCTGCAGATTCCTAAAAACTCGATTTAAAACATTTAGGAAAATAAATAAATAAAAGACACATGACAAGCACGTGAGTTTGAAGTAACAGAAGCAAAAAAACTAATAAAAGTAACCAGAGAGTAGGAAGAAGAAAATAAATTTGTATTGAACAAAAGTTAAAGTAAACGTCCTTTCTTGAAGACTACATAACTCTTCTTGGCCATTTTAGCTTCGCACTTTCAATCACCAACCAATTTTTTTGTTTGTTATTGCATCTTCCTTCCTTATGAGTCTTTGATATTGCAACTCCACTTTCAATCACCAACCAATTCTTCAACTGCTCGAATTTTCTGCTGAAAGTTTTGGTCATGCTCTCTTTGTGATGGATTTGTGATGGAAATTGCAGTTGCTATTGGAGGTGCTCTTCTAGCACCTGCCTTTGAGTCTTTGTTTAATAAGTTAGGCTCCCAGGATTTGCTCAATTATGCCCGTGAAGGACATGTGCTGACTGAAATCAACAAGTGGAAGGAGATGTTGGAGAGCATTTATGGGGTTCTAGAGGATGCAGAGGAGAAGCAGATGGTGAGCAGGTCGGTGAAGATGTGGATAAGCCAGTTGAGGAACCTGGCATATGATTTGGAGGACATTCTTGATGAGTTTGATCTTGAGGCTCGTCGATCCAAGTTGAAAGTTGAACCTGTGACTGGTTCAAGTAGGGTACAAAAGCTCTTCCTTAATATTCTTGCTGTTAAATCCAATCCCTGCTGGTAAGCATAAAACTTTCATGGATTCTTTTCTATGTTTTTGGTTTCTACAATCTACAACTGTAATTTTATAAAGACTGCTATTAGTTAAGCTTGCAAATTTTGGAGAGATACTCCAAATTTTCTATTGATGTTTTATTTTCACTTAGCATTTCTAATCCTAAGAGGGGTGTATGGGGGAGGCCTGTTGGTCGGGTTTAGATGGGTTAGTTATGTTAAGTTTTTCTGGATGATGTTTTTAATAATAAAATTTAATTTTCAAAAAAAAAAAAAAAAGAAAAGAAAAAAATACCAATCCTTGTTTCTGCTACATATGACTACAATGAGCAGTTCCTACCAATATCAGACAGAATTATGTGTTCCTATGTTTGAGATTACTTATATGAGCATATTTTTTATTTATGTTTATTTATTGACAAAGATTTAACGCTCTGGAAGTATTATTTAAAGTGAAGAAAGTTTACAGACATTGGTTGAGAATTTTTCAGATGGAAATTATCCTTTTTTTTTTTTTGTTAAATGGAATAGGGTCCGTCCTTCGTACAAAACATCCAGTCAAGAGTCAAATGATCTCAAATGACTTGCTATTCATGCAAACTACAGGTCGTCTGCACTGAGATGCAAATGGCTTGCATTTGCAAGTGAATTTGAGATTTTATAACTATATTGGCAATGTGACTTCATGGAGCAAAATCTGATTCTGAATGAAAAAAATTACATCAAAAGAATCTGTATATTTCAAAACCTGATAATAATTTATTTTCTTTTTTTTTTTTGCGTTGAGGAGCGAAATTTGAATCAGGATTTATAGTCAGGTTATATATGCATTTACCATCAATCTATTACGGCTTGTTGCGCATAAATCCAATAAACTTAAGCTTAAGGTACATAGATAATGAAATTTTTGGAAGAGGCTTGCCAAGAAGAAAGTGGTGAATAAGTGAGAGTGCTCTTGCAGGTTGAAAGGCAGGCACTTCATGTCCAGCCCCTCTCACAGTAGCAAAAGTTAAGTCTCCTGTCTCCTTCATAAATCTCAGTATACCCACCAACCTGAAATATAAATATTCATCCACAGCAAAAATAGTTATTTCAATTTGTTTATTACAATTTATAAATTATATAATTAATTAAATTTTAATAAATAATTAATTTACCTCCCCATTAAGGTACCAAGGGTACCATTCAGTTAATAGGAAGCCTCAGCTTTGCGAGTGAGTATTGAGTAGAAGTAACAGGTACCCTTCCATCCGTATCCCCACTGCATGGTAAAATGTTTTTAAAATAACAGTTATTCATCAGCTTGTTGAGTGTTTCTTTTTGGTATCCTAAATTTATTTTTATTTAGGATAATTACATTAAATACTGCATTTCTGACAGTTAGTTTTTAGCTCTTCAATTGTTGATTGATTATAATAATCTAAGGTTTGTTCGGTAAGATTAATTGTATTAGTAGTTATTGATAGTTTTTCATAAAATGTTAAAAGGTAGACGTTCAGTAAGTTAAATTTTTATAAAACGTTACTTTAACCTGTAAAAACTAGTTCAAATATTACGTTTTCGATCAAAACATAATAGCATTTTAACTGATCAAAATACTAAAATCTATTTAAAAAATTATTGTCAAAAAATTTTAAGATATAATCTATATTTTATGGAAATTAAAACGAAACAACGTAGAAACGCAGAAACAAAGAAATGCGAAAACGTTTATAATTTGCATTTTTGTTTCTTGAATCCAAATTATGTGTTTATATAAGTATAGGGGTGTGTGAGTGTGCAATGGAGAGAAAGTATCTATAGAAGGATTTTGTTTTCTGATTTCCTAATTTAAATCAAAGGATTTTGTTTTCTGATTTCCTAATTTAAATCAATATTAGTTATTATTCCCTCCATCTTATAAAATTATGCTTGTTTCTATTTTCTCACAAACTAATTAAATGTAATTAATATTTTTGAATAATAAATTTGTCCTATATTTCTCTTGATATACCCCTATTGTAATATTAAATATCATTTTCTTTTTTGATATAATCAAATGGTGTAATTTTTATCGGCCCCTCGGGTAGTAGAGGGTAAAAGTTTTTAATTCTCCGTGCAAAATGAGTTTTCAGAGAATCGAATTTGTATTATCGCCCTTATGGAGATTGAGATTATTTATCTATCCAATCAATACGTAATTTTAGAAATCACTTTAAATAAAGAAATAAGCGAGAAAAATTTTAATAATAGGAATATTAAATAAGAGTATATAAAGAAATTAGTTATATTTTCAAAAGAGAAAGTAACTATAATTTGAAACAAATAAAAAAAAAAAAAGGAAAGAAAACCTGTTTTCCAAAATGAGTCAATGTCAAAATACACAGCTTTATTTTCCATATAAGACATTGGACGTTTATTTTGCCTTGCTATGGCTTTAATATATTAAATAATAAAAAATGAAAAAAAAAACTATGAACAATTTTTTTAAAAATTCTTATTTTCATCAGTTTGGTTTATACGTAAGATTATAGATCTAATTTAGACAAATTTCTGTGTGATCAAAATAGTGTTTTGGAAGAATTTTATTTTCTAATTTCCTAATTTAGTTGATATATTATTAATTAATTATTAACCGTTTAAATTTTAAAAACTACTTACCTACTACTGTGGTATATCCATACACCAAACTAATAATTGAGTTCCTAAATTTATATTCACTAACAGCTTAATTTTTCCATATCAAACACTTTACTCATTCGACCAATGCATTTACTCCTTTTTTTTTTTTTTAATTCAATCAATATTACATATATTCATCACTACTTGTACACCCACATTTTCAAGATTCCAAAATCCAATTCCAGAGAATTTGCAAAAGAATTTTGCAAATCCAAATATTTAATTCAATAATACCAATTAAGAAATAGAGGAAAAGAATCACTTCTTATACACCTACACACCCAAAACACCCAAATCCAGCACAATTTGCAAATTAATATTTAAAGGCCGTTTGGAAAAAATGAATTTCACAAAATTTTGTGGAATTCATTTAGAAATCTAAAATTTTATGTTTGGAATGAAAAAAAAAAATATAGATTTGAATTTTACGAATTAAATTCTATGGAATTGGACATGTCTAATTTAAATTCTACTAAAATTGATGAAATTTGTAAATGAATTTCACAAAATTGACTATTGAATTTTTTATAGACAAAATTACCCTCCACTATAAACTTAATTATTTTTACTTTTTTTCCCTTTTTGTTTATTTTCTTTGGAAAATTCCAAACTGTAACAACATTTTTTTTTTAATCCAATAATAAACGTAAGTTTATATTTTTATTTTTTTCCTTTTTTTTTTTGAAAAATTCAAATCTAGTAATGATGTTTTTTTTTTTTTTTTATAGTAATAATGTTAGTTTTTTTTTTTTTTTTTAAGTATAGTAATAATGTTAGTTATTATTACTGTGAAACTATAAAAACTGAGTATCAACAACAACAATTGTTTGCAAATGCAATTAAAAACAATAGTAACATTTTTAATATTTTTTTAGTTTCTAAATTAATTTCTTAAATCAACATTGATTAATTAAAAATAATCATTATGATTAATATTACTGCTTATGCAATTAATTAATTAGCGTGGAATATTGTACTTATTTATATGAAATTTATTGTTTATATTTTTATAAAAAATGTCAAGTTATTATATTATACATACTAAATATAATAAGTGCTTGTTATTTATTTTTGTTAAATTATTATGTCAAGGGTATTATCAGAAATAAGGACAAACGAATTTTATTTTAAAAATTTATTCCAAACATAATTTTGTGGAATTTAATTGAATTCCTTATTTTAAATTGTAGCATACCAAATATGACAAATTCATTTCTAAATGAATTCTACTTGAAATTCATTTATAAATGAATTTTACAATCATGATTCATTTATTCCAAACAGGCTGTTGTGCTCTATTTTTTTCCGTAAAATAAGTTGCACGAAAAAATTACATCAAAAGAATCTATATATGTGTTAAATGCCTATAAATCAAATATCTGTTAACAATTTTTAAGATATTTGTGAAAGCATCAATCTTTTTTTCCTAAAGAACCTAAATGTTTATAACAAATTAATGCAATAAAACTCTAATAAAAATAATAAAATTGAGGTACATAGATTATGAAATTTTTGGAAGAGTTTGCCAAGAAGAAAGTGGTGAATAAGTGAGATTGCTCTTGCAGACTGAAAGGCAAACACTTCATGTCCAGCCCCTCTCACAGTAATAAAAGCAAAGTCTCCTTTGTAAATCTCAGTATACCCACCAACCTGAAACACAAACATTCAGTTTTAATTTGAAGATTCAACTTTGCGAGTGAGTATTGAGTAGAAGTAACAGGTACCCTTCCATACCAGAATTCCCATTAAGCTTGGATTTGTAAAGACTTCACTTTGCCTCTTGCTATGGCTCTGAGATGTTAAATAAGAAAAAATGAAAAAGAAACGAAATAGCAAACACGGGTTTTTCCCCATTGCACGAAAAGGTTTTAGGGTTTTTGATTTTTTTTTTTTTTTATTTTTGTTTCTTGAATCCAAATTATGTGTTTATATAGGTGTAGGTGTGTGCGCAATGGAGAGAGTATCTAGAAGGATTTTGTTTTCTGATTTGGAATGAATTCTACGATTGATCGAAGCATGAATTTCCATTTATCAATGAATTCTTTAATGACATGAATTTCCATTTATCAATGAATTCTTTAATGAAATTCATTTGCAAATTGAATGAATTCCATATGAATATTATTCCAAACACTATGTAACTGAAATAGCATATAGAATCTGCTTTAATATAAAGATTGCCTATGATGCTTCATAGCTAACTCCTCAAAGCACATGTTTAAACTCTTCTCTGAACCGCTACTTATATTTGAAATTCCTACACAATTATCCTTCTGCTGCTCCAAATAAAGCGCTTTCAGTAATGTAGACTAATGTAGTCATAAGTGATTGTTTCTAATTGCTGATAATTAAATAGGATAATTCATTCTTTCTTTCTTATGAAAGTAACCAGAGAATAGGAAGAAGAAAAGACATTTGTAATTGTACAACAAGAGTCAATACATTTGTTTTTGACCAAGTCCAATCCTGCAGCTTCCATGTAATTCTTGAAGATTATTAGTTGCTTTTGTTTTTACATAACTCTTCTTGGCCTCTTTAGCTTTTCAGTTTCAATCACCAACCAATTTTTTTATTTGGTATTGCATCTTCCTTCCTTTTGAGTTTGCATCTTCCTTCCTTTTGAGTCTTTGATTACTGCAACTCCACTTTCAATAACCGACCAATTCTTCAATTGGTCGAATTTTCTGCTGAAAATTTTGATCATCCTCTCTTTGTGATGGAAATTGCAGCTGCTATTGGAGGTGCTCTTCTAGCACCTGCCTTTGAGTCTTTGGTTAATAAGTTGGCTTCCCAGGACTTGCTCAATTATGCCCGTAAAAGGCATGTGCTGACTGAAATCAACAAGTCGAAGGAGATGTTGGAGAGCATCTATGGCGTTCTTGAGGATGCAGAGGAGAAGCAGATGGTGATCAGCTCGGTGAAGACGTGGGTGAGCCAGTTGAGGAACCTGGCATATGATTTGGAGGACATTCTTGATGAGTTTGATTTTGAGGCTCGTCGATCCAAGTTGAAAGCTAAACCTGTGACTGGTTCAAGTAGGGTACGAAAGCTCTTCCCTAATATTCGTGCTGTTAAATTCAATAAAGAGATGATTTCCAAGATAAAGGAAATTAGTTCCCGATTAGAAAAGATCAACTCACAAAGAAATCAACTAGATTTGAGAGAAAGGCCCGGTAGATCCAGCGAAAGGATTCCTGCGACGTGCTTGGTGAATCACGCCGAGATTTATGGGAGGGAGAAAGATAAGAGGGCGATTCTTGAACTTTTGAATTCTGAATTTCTGAATCGTGAGTGACTAGCGAAGGTCGCTCTATATCTATAGTTGGACTGGGAGTATTGGTAAGACAACTCCAACTCTAGCGCAGCTTATCTTTGATGAAGCTGGAAAGAAGTTTGATTTGACGGCTTGGGTTTCTGTCGGTGAAGATTTTGACGTGGTTAGACTTACAAAAACAGTTCTTGAGTCGGTTCGCGGAGATTCTACTTCCAACGATTTGAATTCGCTTCAGTTAAACCTGAAGGCAAAGCTGTCAGAGAAGAAGTTTTTTATGGTTCTAGATGATGTTTGGAACGAGAATTATGACCATTGGACAATCTTTCTTCGCCCCTTTGAGAATGGGGCAAAAGAAAGTAGAATTATCGTCACAACTCGCAATCTTGGCGTTTCACGGACGATGGGTGCTATTCAAAGTTATACACAACACTTGGGAGTGTTGGAGAATGATGATTGCCTGTCTGTGTTTGCCATCATGCTCTTGAGTAACCAAAATTTGAGAGCACTATGATCTAGAAGCAAGTAGGTAAGAAGATTTGTGGAAAGGGTCAAGGCTTACCTTTGGCAGCTAAAGCTATTGGAGGTCTCTTACGAGGTCCAACCAACTCGCGATGCATGGGAAACAAGTGCTAAACAGCGGCATTTGGGGGAGAAAGCCGACATTCTATCCCAGCAATTAAAACTGTTGAGCTAATCACCATTCTTCCACCTCGTCTGAAACGATTGTTTTTGCTATTGTGCCAATTTTTCCAAAAGATTACGCGAATTCGATGAGGATGAGTTTGTTCTACATGAGGATGAGTTGGTTCTACAGTGGATGGCTGAGGGATTTGTACAGCACGCACAGGAAATGAAGCAAATGAAACGCTCGGGTCATCTATATTTCCATGATTTATTATGGAGATCCTTTTTTCAACAATCTACTGGCAATAAATCACGATATGTGATGCATGACCTACTCAATGATCTAGCTAAATCTGTAGGTGGAGAAATATGCCTTCATTTGGACGATGACGAGTTGAAGGGCATAAAATCACATGCAAACGTTCGCCATTCAGCATTCACTTGTCATCGCTATGAAAGGTACCAAAGATTTGAAGACTTTTATGAGATGAGTAATCTGCGAACATTCTTAGCATTATGGACTGATCAATGGCGACTTAATTTTTTATCTATTAGAGTGGTGCATGACCTAGTGCCACAAACTGAAACGTTTAAGGGTGCTTCACTAGCTCGATACCAGTCTTGAAAGACGTTGCAAGTTCAATTGGGGCCTTAAAGATTTACGAATCTTGACTTGTCTTACAACAACGAATTAAAAGATTACCTAATTCACTGAGCAATCTTCAGAACTTGCAGACATTGAAGTATGTTATGTGTCGCAATCTTATTGAGTTGCCACAGTCATTGGCGCTTTAATCAATTTTGATGCACCTAAGATCTTAAAGTACGGGTGCTTTGCAGGGAGATGTTCATTTGGCAGTAGCCAAATTTGACAAATCTTTCAAACATTGTCTAGTTTATCGTTGAGGAAAAAGAAGCAGTAAATTTGGGCCCTTTATTTGGAATTTTAAAGAAAAAGAGCTAATGAACCTCCCTCATCTAGAAGGGACAACTTCTTATCAAAGAGTACGGAATGTGGCAAGGAATTTGGATTGAAGATGCAAATCTCGTTGATTTAAAAAAGATTGAGAATCTTGGTGATTTGGCCTTGGTATGGACCCATAAATTGCGTGATTCACCACGGGAAGAGGATCATGATGAATTCCAGGTTCTCAACTTGCTAGAAACTCATCAAAAGTTGGAAAGGCTTTCGGTTCGATTTTATGGCGGTAAGGAATTTCCTTTGTGGATAGGAGATCCTGCATTCACAAATATGGTGGATCTAGAGCTCTTTAATTGTCGGAATATTACATCGCTGCCACCACTAGGTAGACTATGTAAACTGAAAAAGCTGAGCATCAAAGGCATGGATGAACTGCTAGAAGTAGGGCTTGAGCTTTCCCCGTCTCTTAAGATTCTAGAAATTGGGAATATGATGAAGTTGAAGCAATGGGCTCACTCTGATGACGTCAATGTAGAGGTTGCAAGAAAATTTCCTAGACTACGTGAAATTAGTGAAATTACGTATTCAATTGCTCCTAAATTGGTTGTGACATTGCCTACCCCCTTTCCTTCCCTTGAGACTTGACATTCTTGGATGTCAAGATATTTATTCTCGAAAGTGTGCGATGATCTATGTTTCCCTTCAAACCTTGTCCATTTGGAGTATTTCAGCGCTTGAAAATTTACCGATCAAGTGGTTGCGCAGTCCTTGTGGTGCCTATGACCGGTCTGTGGATTTCGTGATTGCAGCCAATTGATAACACCTGTTGGCGGGGTTCAACTAAATTTTAGAACAAACTTTCTAGCCTTGAAATCTTTTACAGATCCAAAAGGGCTGTCAGAAAGCTAGTGTCATTGGTAGGGGAGAAGAAGGGAATTTGCCTTGCTGCCTTGCAATCTTGAAATTTTGGAGATATCGCAATGCGATGGATTGGAGTTTCTGCCAAATGGGTTGCACAGCCTCACATCTCTTAGAGAGCTGAATATCCGTCAGTGCCGAAACCTTGGGTCCTTCCCATCTGCAGGTTTACCTTGTAGTCTTACAAGTCTCAAAATCGTAAAATGTGATTCTCTGGAGTCCTTGCCTAAGGGCATTGTGCATGATAGTAACCCCAGGAATGAGATGTCTCATCTTGAGGTTGTGCGTGTCGATGGATGTCCATCTCTTACATCGCTGCTAGTTGGTGAATTTCCCTATTCAATTAAAAATATTGAAATTTGCTTTTGGACAACACAATTATTGGAGTCGTTTGATAATAGGTTTTCGCATCTCACCACATTAACAATATCTGACTCTGAGTTGGAGTCTTTCCCAGAAAGGTTGGAGTCTTTCCCAGAAAGTGGATTGGCCATCCCCAACCTTAGCCATTTCACCATAAAAAACTGTGTGAATTTGAGGTTGCTTCCCAATCAAATCCAAAATCTCACATCTCTTCTCGATTTACACATACGTAGCTGTGGAGGTCTGGTGTCCTTTCCAGATGAGGGTTTACCCCCAAACCTTATTTATTTATACATATCGTGTTGTGAGAATTTGAGATTTCTTCCCAATCAAATGCAAAATCTTACATCTCTTCAACATTTAGGAATAGATCACTGTGGAGATCTTGTGTCCTTTCCAGATGAGGGTTTACCCCCAAACCTTATTTATTTATACATATCGTGTTGTGAGAATTTGAGATTTCTTCCCAATCATGGCAAACATTTTATCTTTAACGCGTTTAGGAGATATTGACTGTGGAGGTCTGGTGTCCTTCAGGTGGGCGGTTTACCTCAAACGTAGGTCATGGGTTACAATTTCGATTGCGGGGAATCTGAAAGCAGCCAATCTCAAGAGTGGAGACTCAAAAGACTTGCCTCTCTCACCTGGATCATAATCAAAGGGGGCCAGTCCAGAGTACAGATACGGATCCTTCCCAGATGAGAAGGCCTATGCTTACCTCTTTCGCCTAACCCACTCTTAGATCGAAGATTTTAAATCTGAAAAATCAATATCCAGGATTCACCGATTTCACCTCTCATTGATGCATTAGAATCGAAATGCCCTAAACTCCTGTCCTTTCCAAAGGAGGCCTTCGAGCACGCTTGAAGTTTGGCAATAATCGAGTGTCCCCTCCTGGAAAGGGGACGATGGCCAGAAAAGAGAAAGGAGATACTATTGGCGCTTTATTGCCAATATCCCCTACCATACTATAATATGAGGTATTAATCTTTTTACTTTTGCTTGCAGCTTAAACTATAACTGATATATGCACCATTTTAAAGCCAAAATAGACTAGATATAAAAAAAAATGAATTGCATTCAATTATGTGGTGTTTCAAGTTTCAACCATATTACCACATTCTGTTCAGAATGGCGGTTGATAATCAATTGGTGGTTGAGAATCAAATACATGTTCTGTTCAGTTGGTTCTAACTCATAATGCATATAGATGACATTTTCTCATTTCAGTACTTGAGTACTGCTATTATAGCTTTTATTCTTCATTGTTCCGACATTGACATGAGCTGATTTTATACATATCAAATCTTGGCTGCAAATAATGAATGCTTATGTTTCAGGTCCGCTAAAACGGGACTGCTTTAGCAGAACGTCGAGATTGGTGGGTAATGCGTCTCATCCAAAAATCCAATCCCTGCTGGTAAGTATAAAACGTTCATGGATTCTTTTTCGATGATTTTGGTTTCTACAATCTACAACTGTAATTTTGTAAAGACTGCTATTAGTTAAGCTTGCAAAGTTTGGTCAGATACTCCTAGGCATTTTCACTTGGCATATCTAATCCTAGGAGGGGTGTATTGGGGAGGCCTGTTGGTCGGGTTTAGATGGATTAGTTATGTTAAGTTTTTCCTGGATCATGTTTTTAATAATAAAATTTAATTTTCAAAAAAAAAGAAATACAATCCTGTTTCTGCTACATATGACTACAATGAGCAGTTGGTACCAATTTATCAGACAAGAATTCTGTTGCCTACGTTGAGATACTTATATGAGCATATTTGTTTATTTATTGACAAAGATTTAACGCTCTGGAAGTATTATTTAAAGTGAAGAAAGTTTACAACATTGGTTGAGAATTTTTCAGATGGAAAATTTTCGATGGAATTTTTCAGATGGAAATTATCCTTTTTTTTATAAATGGAATAGGGTCCGTTCTTCCTACAAAACATCTAGTCAAGAGTCAAGTGATCTCAAATAACTTGCTATTCATGCAAACGACAGCTCGTCTGCACTGAGATGCAAATGACTTAATTTGCAAGTGGAGTTGAGATTTTATGAGTAACTATATTGGCAATGTGACTTTATGGAGCGGAGCAAAATCTGATTCTGAATGAAAAAAATTACATCAAAAGAATCTGTATGTTTCAAAACCAAATAATAATTTGTTTTTTTCTTCTTTTGCTTTGCAGAGAGAAATTTGAACCATGATTTATAGTCAGGTCATATATGCATTTAACATCACTCTATTTCGGCTTTGTTGCGCATAAATCCAATAAACTTCAGCCTAATAATTTGACTATTGTTTATAACAAATTAACACAATAAAATTCTAATAAAAATAATAAAATTGAGGTGCATAGATTATGAAATTTTTGGAAGAGGTTTGCCAAGAAGAAAGCGGTGAATAAGTGAAAGCGCTCTTGCAGGCTGAATGGCAGACACTTCATGTCCAGCCCCTCTCGCAGTGACAAAAGTAAAGTCTCCTTTATGGAGATTGAGATTATTTCACTACAAAAAAAACGCCATTTTGCGACCGATAAATCGGTCGCAAAATGGCTAACATCGGTCGCAAATTGTACTTTGCGACCGATCTGCGACCGCGACGACATTCGGGTCGCAAAATTTACCTGGTCGCAAAAAAAAATATGAATAGCGACCGATTATACCATCGGTCGCGTATTTGCGGACCAGTAATTCGGTCGCCCAAAAGCGGAATAATCGGTCGCAATTTTGGGTCGTGGTTTAATTTGAATTCAGTCGCCTAATTTGGTCGCAGGAAAATCACGGTTCTGCAAAGTATTTTTAATCGTCGCAAATCGGTCGGCCAAATTAAAAAAAAAATAAAAAAAGCAGTTAAATATTTATTATAAACCAAAATTTTCACGACCTGTGAAAATTGACATATATACACATTATATATACACACAGCAAATCAAACAATGTAAAAATTGAAATTTTTTTGTAGCGACAATTAAAATTTACAATATAAATAAAAAACTTAAAGGTTTTCCAAAAATCAAATCCTATGCTGCTGGCTCATCTGCAGGATCCGATTTCGGATCGCCGGGAGCGAGTACCTGCTGGAATTGCTTGATGTAGCGCCAGGGAGGGGTGACCAAGGTGGCGGAAAATATTACTATCGATCTCCTTATTGCAGCATCGGGAAGTGGCTGCTGCTGAGACATCGAAATTGGTTCGGTCACTGTAGCAGGCGCTCTGGATCCAGAAGGAATGAAGTACCTACTCGGAGCGCTCAACGCGACAGACTCGCATCACAGCCGCTCTTAAAGCTCGCAAAGCTGTTGTCTCTGCTGTAATCAGCACAGCTGAAGCCCGATATATCGATCATTATACTGCGAGTCTCGAAGTCGTGCTGCGCTGGTCGTGCTGCGCTGGGCTGTAGAAGCTGTGAGCTGCTTGAA